TTGATTCGTAAAATTGAAGAACTCGGTATACATGGCGACCTCCTCCGTTGGCTTACTTCATACCTCAGAGATCGTAGCCAGGCGGTTACAATTAAAGGTTACTGCTCTACGTTTGTGCCTGTTACTTCTGGTGTGCCCCAAGGTTCTCATCTTGGACCCCTTTTATTTAATTTATTTATTAATGACATTATTGCGGTATTTAAACATTCTTCAATTCTACTCTATGCTGATGATATGAAGATATATAAAACCATAAGTAAACCTTCTGATTGTAGTTTATTACAGGATGATCTGAATGAATTGTGTAAGTATTGCAATGATAATCTCTTACAACTTAATATTAAAAAGTGTAACGTAATATCATTTTCCCGCAAAAAAAATACTATTAATTTCAAGTACACTTTAAACGAAAATCTTATTGAACGGGTTTTAGGGGTGAGAGATTTGGGTATTCACCTTGATTCCTCGTTAACCTTTAGTCAACACTATAGATATGCGACTGCAAAAGCCTATCGGATGCTTGGTTTTGTTCTCAGAATTAGTAAGGATTTTAAGAATAATACCACCCTGATTCTTCTCTTTAACGCATTCGTTCGCTCTATACTAGAATTCGGTTCGGTGATTTGGAATCCACATTACAAAGTCCACATTCAAGAAATAGAGAAAATTCAAACAAAATTCTTAAAGCATTTAAGATTTAGATGTTCCGCTACTGATCAAGTTGTTCCTAATTTGACCTCTCTGGAAAAACGTCGTAAGATAAAGGACCAAACATTTCTGTTGAAATTACTACATAATGTTATTGACTCTCCATTTCTTCTTAACATCATTAACTTCCGATGTCCAAGACAATCTTCGCGAATTAAATCTTTATTTTATTTAAATACTACACGTACCAAATATGCACAAAATGCCTTCATTCATCGTTCTTGTTTATTATATAACAAAGAATACTGTTCAATTGATTACTTTACGGGTTCGTTACAGAAGTTAACTCAACAAATTAAGAAAATGACCTAGTTTAAATTATTTTTATTTGTATTAAATTATATTTGCGACTCTTTATTAACTATAATTATGTAATTATTACTAAAACATTAATTATTTTCTATTCATATGATTATTATTTTATTTAATGTTAATTTTTTTTTAATTGTAATTAATTTGCTCGCATTATTCTATGTACTATTTAATTGTGGAAACTTTATTGGTCAATGATTTATATTTTATGTTTTGTTTTTTAATTTGTATCAATTTGTACTGTTTGTTTCCCTAATAAATAAAAATAAATAAAAAAATAAATAAAATAATAATGTTTATTTCAATAAGATTTTTCAAAAAATATTTAATGTACAGATTCGGCTTGGTTACAATTTTATTATATGTATAGATTTGTAATTTGTTGTCTTCTGGGGCTGAGGCTGGTCATGAAGTCAAGAACTCTATCGCTGGCGATGTCTTTGGCATTTGGCAAATATTTATTATTTTATTCTCATATGGAAATATTTAATAGGGCATTTAGTTGCATTTTAGTATAGTATATATACCTACATATATTTGTTTTTTTTTGTTTAACAAGGACAAGAAAAGTTACTTTACAGAACTTTTCAGTTACGAACGACAAAAATATGAAGATATTTGAAGCTTCGGGGGCAATAGCAGCCCTGAATAGCATTTTTCTGAAAAATTGAAAAACACATTTTCTATTGGTGTGGTAACCATGGTGAATAAATCCAAGAACTTTTAAAAAAAAATTACCATATTTTTAAATCATTTCAAAAGTGTGCATCAGGTTTTTTTTGGTGTAATTTTTGTGCAATGTTTATTGATATAAAAAGTACGTAGTACATCTTTTGAAGAGAGACAATTTCATTTTGTAATTTACGTATACAAAGCTTCCTTCACTAATTACGTATATTTGTACGTAATAGTATGGTATAGACCGGTTTATATATTTTTGTATTCTCACCTTTTATTAAATATTTTAGATTAGCGGCTCACCCTGGCATCGTTCGGAATCGCCTCTAGGAAAACAAAAACAAATCTATCCCACGGAAACCATACATTTTTCCAGGATAAAAGTAGTCTATGTACTATTTCAGACTATAATCTATCTCTGTGTAAAATTTCATTCAGATCCATTTATCCGTTCTGGCGTTATTGGTAACAAACATCCAAACATCTATCTAAGCTTTCATATTTGTAATATTAAGTGTAGATAAAACCTATCGATTTAAGATTAGTCCATCTTACTGTTCACTTAGAAATATTTAAACTTAATAAACGACACAATCTTATCACTAAATTTTCCTGACGTGAGTGCTTAATAAAAAAAAACATTAGATAGGTACGCACTTCAAAAGTTACCTCAAATCAAAGTATTTAATTTCAAATAGTTCTTTGTATGGGACCTCACTTTTTTGGGAACATGACAATTAATTCACAATTAGCAAAGTTATCCCAAACATCAAACAACATTCAAAATGGTTCATAAAAATATTTTGTCATTGTTAAATAATAATTGATTACTATCGACTTTATCAATACGGTATCAGCTTCCTAATAATTGTATGCTGATTTTGACATGTAAAACAAGCTCCGTATAACTATATTGTATACTAGCATTGCCCGCGGCTCCGCCCGCGTTCAGATGACCAAAAACCAAATCCTTAGGTTTTACATATTAGTATACTCTTACATTTCAGTTCTCATAGATGAGATATTTTTCCGCAGTAAAAAGTATCCTATATGTTGACCCGGATAACCAGCTATCATCACACCAAATTTCATCAAAATCTGTCCAGTGGTTTTCTCGAGTTGCGGTAACAAACAGATAGACAGACAGACAAAAATTCTAAAAATTATAAATTCGGCCTCAGTATCGATAATAATGACTATTTCAATAAGATTTTCCAAAAAATATTTAATGTACAGATTCGACTTAATTAGAATTTTATTATATGTATAGATTTTGACATTTTTCATGAATATTTTAAGAATTTTTCATGCATATTTCAGGCTCTTTACGATGTACATAATCCGATCTTTAGAACGTCGCGCATTACATGCACACATACATCGATGAACTATGTAGCAATATTGCTACTATAGATCTAAGACATGTTTGTCTGTCCCCTCTAATACCAAAATTACCGCATTTTCTCTTTCTCTAAGAAAAAATTATCTTTGCGGATAAACACAAAGTAAGTTACCCTTTTTGATTGTATTTTTTACATATACTACAAGTTATTAATTCACTTTAAAGTGATTTCCAAATATATACAACTAACGACTCACCCTTGCTTCGCTCGGGATCATCCCTAGATGCCTTATGACGGTTAGTATAAAATATACTATATAGTCTATCTATGTACATAGGTATGATGAGCTTTATATCCCTTACTTGAAAATGATTGATTCCCCATACGTAGCTCTACCCCCCTTTTCACCCCTTTAAGAGATGATTTCCGGGGTAAAAACTATCCTAATTCCTTCCCCGGGTCTCAAACGTTCAGCGTATTAAACGTGAAAAAGTAACAGACAAACAGACAGAGTTATTTTCGCATTCACACTCCCAAATAAAAGCGAGCGATCAACCCAAGATTTCCAAATCTTAACTAAAAATATGTTCTGAAAGCAAAATTGTAGAGTATATACGTATGTGTATTTGCTAAAGGTTGAGGTTCGTACCTGACAAGTTATATTTGTTATACATATACACGTGTTTCATATTTTTGTGAAAACTTTCACACAATATTACACTGTACTGTAATATGAAAATAATTAAGCAATAAATTACAATGATATAAATATTACTTTCTTATATTATAGCTAAGAGTATTTTTTTATAACATTATATGTTTTTATAAAATTAATATAAAAAACATGCGATACGTACAATTGAAGCCCGGGAGCTTAATTCCTGAACGCATCTTTCAGGCCTTGACTCAGCAGGAAAAGAACGAATGAAACAACTTTAGGGGCTTACCGAAGATATCCTCACATTGTACTATCCCGTTTTGAATCATCTTAAAACTGAATATTTACACATATATAGAACATAAGCGTTACCAAAATCAGAGTATTTTGAATGGAAATTTGTGTATTAATTAACTAAAAAGTAGTGTAATATGCCCATCGATCTTTCTCTTCAATAACGCTCGACCCTATATTTTATATTCTTTCCACAAATTGCAATATTAGTAAGTATGTACATTTGTGAGTGTACGATAAAACTCGAAATATTTAACGTCATATTTGATCAATTTTCATTTGAATTAAACTTAACTACCTTCACATTTTGCTTTACAAATCTTATTTCAATTACAATTTCACTAAATATAAAAAAGAAAATTAAGTCTTGAGTTACGCCAAGCGCTACGGACCGCTACGGACTACGGTGCTACGGTGTCACGCATGTGCCAACTGACTACACTATTCCCTTTATTCTTAACATTTATTAACACTTGCTTTTATTAAATACTCTTTAGTTATTAAAACAATAATATAATCAAGTATATGTAAACAATACCGATGTTACTAAGCGATTACTATATTATCAGTTTACAATGATACAAATTATTTATGCCAAAATTATCCGAATAATGTCATCTTTGATAAGAGCTGAGCTGATGCTCATATTCGAGACATTAAATTCATATAAATTATATAAAAGATGATAAAATCGGATTCAGGATGAAAGCAGCAACTAATCAATAGTTCTAAACGTGTGAAAAGACACGATCCGAAAAGTATGTAATCTGACACAGATTTTGAATAATGCAGGTTGCATGTGCATATACGGCGGGGTGAGAGGGACGCGTGTAGTACGGCAGCAGGGCCACGAAACGAGAGGCACTGGTGGCGCTAGCTGAAGGTCGGGAGTCGGGAGCAGGGAGGGCATCAGGTAGGACGAGAGCACCAGGCGCGGGATAGTAACCATGTCTCCGGGCGTGTCAGTCACGTTACGCAAGAGGGCGGCGGCGCCGGTCGCGTCGTTACCTCTCTGGCCATCGCGGCATGACCGCCGGAGGCCGCGGGCGCGCGCTCACGCCGCCATCTTCGAGGGGCACAGCCCGGGGTTCGCGTCGCGACTCGCGGAGCACTTGAGCGGTGCGCCGCGTGGGCGGCGATCGATGTGACAGCGCGCCTGCGCCCCCGAGCCCGTCCGACGCCGCCCGAAGCCCCCCGACGCCGGTGCATCCGCCCTGACCCACTTCCCGCGCACACTGACCTCCTTCGCACTTCCAATGGAGTTGCGAATCGAGATGCGATGTACACCCGGCCGCTAAATATCCTATGTAATCTCCTCGTGCTATTTTAAACTTAAGTAGTATTACACAACAGTCTAAATCAAGTATTACGGCATGGGTTCGGGCTGAGTTGTATGCTACATCTATTGCACTAAGGTACCCATAAGTTACTATTTGTATGCCGCAGAAGCAAACGATAAATAACGAACCATAAAATAAAAGCAAACTTGACATTTCTGTTATTCTAACTAGTTAAAACTAAATCTTTGATTGTTTATTTAACAGTCACTTATAGCTATTACGTTTCATATGTGATATGTACTTAATAAAATAAATAAATATATAATATTCATGGATTTATATAAATCTAGATATCCAGTAAGGTATCCCTTCACCGGTTATCCAATATTAGCTACGTATAAATTAACACTAGTAAATTTTTGGCTCATTTTTGTAACTTAAATTTGTTTATTTTTAAAATTAAAATAAGTAGATAAATTAGGCTATGAAATTGTAAAAAAAAGATTAGAAATTAAATATTACTTATTCTTATTTTTAAGTAGTAGGTAAAAGTTACAAATACTTATTTACAAATCGGCTCTGTGAGAATATAAGTCGAAGGTCAAGCTCATATAATCGCATTTACTTAAGCCTATTCTAGAAATTTATCTGAAGCCAACTTATTAATGTTTTCGTACTTCAGATTTTTATTATTTAAGTATTAGGAATTACAATAATAAGACAAGCAACAAACATCTACTTCAATAATAATATCATCATCTTTATCTCCTAATATATTTAAGACACAATATATTAAATAATAAATTAAAGCTATTAAACCTTTATGCTAATTAATTTAAGCCTATCATACTATGGTTGTAAATATTATTTTACGTATCTAAATTAACTGAATACATTTTATGTCCAAAGCTACTTAGAAGTAAATATTTAGAATTTTTATTTATTGTCACATCATTATAACATATCTATGCTAAATTACATAAACTATTATCATTTTATGTTTTAATTATAAAATAGTTTTATTATAATTATCTTTTTTGGACTGAGTTTACACATGCTATATATCACCGTGTAGAGCATAGTATAAAATTGTATTTGTCATCCATGGTATAAAAAAATGGTTTTAGAATGGCAGCACAGAGCTGTATTGTCAGTGTCAGAATAATATCAAAGTAACTGTCAAAGAAAAATCGAATGTCATAAAAGATCAAGAAACATATACAGTGTGAAGTGAGAACCACTGAGAATTAAGAAGTGTTGTGAACAGACTCGTTTTTCTATCAAATATTTGTTTGGAAACATTAGTGAAAGTTGTGTTACTTTGCTGTATATCATACATGCAATAGTTTAATTAATTATGTGACTGTACTTGGCGTGGAGTGTTCTATAATAACTAAGATCGAACATCGAGACGGATGGACCGCAGTGGGGAAAGTAAGTGTTTCTTATTTTGTATAAAGATCTTGATTTAGTTTATTATTGTTTTATATTTATGTAATCATTTCATCAATAATTATTGGATAAAATCTCTGTCACATTTAGAATTAATTTGTAAGTAAACAGTATATTTATAACGCCTACGTAAACTCATTTCGTTTACGAACCAGTTTTTCACTGAATTACTGTACCGATTACGCGTTCATAATATAGGTAATATAATAAAACAAATAAAAAATAAGTTCAAGATTGTTTATTCGAAGATTTGCCTTTATTTACATTGTGTAACTAACAAGTGGTATGCTTAATGTTTGCATTCTCGGTCATAAAAATTCCATTTATAAGTTACTTAGATACCTTCTTATAGTCCATTCTTGGAATATAGGAAAAACATATAGTTACAATGTAAGTAATCCTGTTACAATTTAAAAGTTAATGTCAAGGTTTTTACAACCAGTAGATGTAGAATATTATTTAGTATTCCAAGCCATTATTTATGTTCTATACCTATGTACAATGATTATAAATAAAATATGTGTACACATTATAGTACAAAAAGTTAGGCTGTATATATTTGTGTTCAGTTGTCACTATTTTATAAAATATTGCTCAACTTATTTTTATAATTCAAAAATCTTATAATGATGATCATAAATTAAGCTAATTAATTCGAATATCCTTATTAGACTTTAATTGTTATCAAATATAATAGATGTTTCATACAGCAACAATATGGTCTTATAACTTACCGGTAACTAAGTTACGCTGCATTGGGTGCATCCCTACTTGCAAATCATCAAATTATATGTGCATACTAAATGTCATCAAAACATACACATGTAACAATTTTTTATTTATAATTGTAGTATAATATGACTAAATTATGTTACCTTACTCTTTTGTTAAATTTACAAGTATCTAAAAAAATGCTCTCATGAAGACTTAAGTAGTTTTTTGTTTATCGAAGCATCTTTTATTTGGATAACTTATACACCAGAAGTAGTTTTTCAGTTTTTCTATTATTTTATATTTTTATTTGTACACAAGGCAAGCCCTACATTTTTCTCTAAACCATAAAATTACAAAATCAGTGCCAACTTTTGAAAATTGCTATTGGTATAATTTGGCATCACGCAGAGTTGGCAATATTGTTACATCCAGTTGTGTTTTGTTGTTTTTGCTGAGTTAATGTTTTCTCTTTATAGAAGTAATCATTACAATTTGGATAAATTCAAACAAAAAACCTTGTATTTTGAAGCTTATTATTATAATAAAATATTCAAGCATGCAAAATCTAATTAATAATGCAAAATAATGATGCTACCAAAAGCTCAAATAAATTTTATAAGTCATAAAAATATTTTATTTGAATACTCATAAAACAAATTTTAATGTCATCATCATCTTCCTGCCATTTTCTCAATTTAATTGTGATTGGCACAATATGTCTTCCTCTTCCATTCTCCCCTATTATTTGTCACCTTATCATTTTCATACCTTTCTCTTTCATGTATTGTCACTGTTCATCTACATCACTCTTCTTATCACATGCATTTCATCCCTCCTTATCATTTAATTTTATCCATACCAACTCAGATGATTTCTGTTCAATTTTTGTATAACTGGTGCTACTTTTAAGCTTCCTTTTATGTACTCATTCCTTAGAACATTCTCATATCTGCATCATGCAATATTATTCACAGGCCAGCATTCCCATCCATACATAACCACCAGTTATTACGGATTTATAGATCTTACCCTTCAACTTAAGGGGCATCTGCAGATTACAAGTAGTCGCTTTGACCTGTCTCTATTTCATTCTCCAAGAGTTGATTTGATGTGTGACGTCCCGGTCAATCATCGTTACTTTGCATCAGATCTGATTTATAGCTCCTTTTACTTCATCCATATCTATTGTAACTCCTACATTTACAGCTTTCCTACAAGTCCTACATTTTCAGCTTTTTCGTCAAACCTACCACTCCATTGATTTTCTTCATTCCTCAGCCTTTCAAAATAGTGTTTCCATCTATTCCTAATTATAACATCATCTGAGAGGACCTCAGCTGCTTCATTCACACTTTATTCGCGAACATCTTTTCTCTTTCTTTAGTCAGCCATTAAAGTTGTTTTTGGCCATTTAAATGTTATTTTAAATGAAATATATTTATTTATAATATGATGGTAGTACATGACATGCTATTATAATACAAGAAAACCACCCTTGCTACACACACTATAATTTTTATCCACCATTTTATATATTTATATATATTAGCAGATCACCGCGATGATGCTAGTGCGCCTGAACATGCGCGTGGCATTGGCAGCCCTCTGTGGAGGCGTGATGCTTGTCACGCTTTATTGGGGCCGATGCGGGGACATGGGGCATAGACCCAGTTAGTATATTATATGTTCTAAATTAAAAAGGATATCCCTTATGGCGTAATAAGGTTTATCGGAGGTCACGACTTTGATTCTCGGAGTAAATGTTTCTATTATCATTCCAAATGTTGGTGCTAATTTAATAATGATAGTTATGCAATACTGACGGAAAAGATACTATTGTACCTCTAAACTACAAGAGGAGTCAATTCAGAGAATTGACAGACAGACAGATATTAAATATAATGTTTTATATGTTCAATGTATTATTTAAATCTACAAAAATGACAATTTTGTTGTCAAAAGTAACCTTTAGATCCTACATCTAATAGTCCATTCCTAGTAGGTTCTATGCCGTCCAACGAGCTGATAGATCGCGTAAGCGATGAAATCGAGTGCTCTATTAACGGGGAGTACTCGGTGGCATGTCGCCGCGACCACGATCAGGTGTATGTGCCTTTCTCCTTTATACACAAATATTTTGAGGTATGTATAGAATATATGTATAATTAATGTCGAAATATTTGTCCGTCCGTTTGCTGGAATAATTCCTAAGTGCCAAACCAATAATAAATTGATTGTATAATAGACTGCATAATAGTAAAAAATTAACCTGATTAATAATTGCACTTTAAAATCATTTATAATAACCATAGAAACCCTAAAAAGAGATCAAAATATAAACAACGAAATAGAAATAAATGCGTATTATTATTTTGTGTTCAAAAACAAAAATATAGTTCCAACATATTTTGCTATACTATCTCAATTTTCAATTTAAAACCACCTCTGATTTTTTTAAATATATATGAAACTCATATTTTAGATATACGGCAAAATAACGTCGGTCGATGGCGTGGAAAAGTTCGAATGGTCGCACAGTTACAGCAAAGTGTACCATCCAAAGAAAAAGTACGATCCCCGCAGTACTTTTACGACCTTCGAGAATTACAATGTCGAAGTACGGGACAGGGTTAAATGTATCAGCGGGATCGAAGGTGTACCGGTCTCCACGCAATGGGAACCTCGGGGTTTCTTCTACCCCACCCAAATAGCCCAATTTGGTTTAGCGCACTACAGCAAAAACATAACAGAACCACCACCAAGAGTTAAAATTCTTGATGATGGGGAGAAGTTTCTGGAAAAATGGATAGTTAGTAATGATGCAATGATGACCAGGGAATTTGATGCAGAGCTCAAATCGAATGTGATAAGGTTTTCTACATCAGACCACGTCTCCAGTCAGGTTTGGCTGAAGCTCAATTTGAGTCAGGACTTTGTTCTTAGTATGGATCTGAAATTGAAGCCGAATTCTTCCATGACAGTTGTTCTACAAAATAAAGATAAAAAGGAGACCGTCTATTTACATTACATTACGAGTTTACAGCTTATTTATGCTCAGGTAAGTTTATGGGGAAGTTTTATGTTCGCTTACGACTTAACAAGGCTCGGCTCGCAGCTTCATCCTTATATTATTGGTTTTGTGAAGATTTTGTTTACTTTTTTAAGTTTTTAATCTTGGCATCTAAAAAGTTTTGATTAAAAATGATGAACCTGATTGCTTTCTTTATCAGTGTATGGCCATGGAACTATTTTATTTGCCAACTAGATGACTATCTATATGTTACTCCAAGTCCATCTATGTGTTAAGTATTAAGTTTCATCTATATCAGTCCAGCAGTTTGAGCATGAAAAAGTTACAAACATACACACATGCAAACTTTCGTATTTATAAAAGTAGCCCGAAAAATAATGCATTTATATATTTTGTATAATAAATATAAATTTAATTTGTAGACTAACTCAATCTTTTTTTCTACTTAATGTACTTAACATTTAATACTTTTTTACCGTGATCTGTGTGTAATATTTATAATTCTGCAGGAGGATCACACGTACTACGGTATAGGCGTAGATCAAAAATGGCGTAAAATCACACGGGACCTGATAATAGATATGCAAAAAGGCTGGGCGTTGCAGGATAAACCGAAGCGCAAGTCTCCTAGGAATAAGTTTAAGGTAAATTATATTACAAATTAGTGACTTACGTTCCTACGTCATTAGGTACTATTATTTTTTTAAGGAAATTCTTTTTCTAAAATAAAAGTAGCCTAAGTTACTCCTTATAACATTAGCTATCTGCCAGTGAAAATTCCGTCAAAATCAGTTCAGCCGTTTCGGAGATTAGCCGAAACAAACAGACTGACAATTTTTTTAAAATTGCTTAATTTCATAAGTACAGTATATACTTTCAAATGCATTCAGTAAAAAGTTGTTATTTTGACATTGCAAACAGATACTTTATTTTTATTTATCATTATAGAAGATTTTAAGTAAAGCGTAAAATTCAAGGGATTTCCGATGATGAACATGTCGAGTAAATAATAAGTGATAAGGGTGGTCCACCCTTATCACTTGTGGAAAAAGTGAGGAATACCATGCCAAAATATAGATGGTGTTAATACTATGGTATATCAACCTTTATTTCAATATACACATTACTCGAATGTGGGAAAAAATGAAACTTTATTAAATAATTATTGTCCCGCGTCCGTCAAATTGCCTAACCTATTTGAAAGGGAAAGAGGGGGCTCCTAAATATCTGATGTCTAAAGAACACTCATCTGCTATTTATTTATGTCGCTTCATGTAAATACAAATATTACAACAATATAGTAACATATTAAAGAGGTGTTATTTATTTACATAGATATCTAGCCTGATCCTGTCGGGGTCGGGCGCGGTGGGCAACGTGCGCGTGGCGTCCAGCTCGCACACGGAGCACTTCTACGCGGCGGCGCGCTGGCTGGTGGCGGCGCAGCGCGCGCGCGGCGGCTGGCCGGTGCCCGCGCGCCGCCGCGTCGCGCCCGGCGTGCCCGACCTCGAGCCGGGCTGGTGAGTCACGCTATACATACTAATATTATAAATGTGAAGGTGTGTTTGTTTGTCTTTCTTTCATGTCGAAACGGAGTGACGGATTGGCGTGATTTTTTGTGTGGACATAATTGGAGAGCTGGAGAGTGACATAAGCTACCCTTTACCGCGGGATATTATCTAATTCCCACGGGAACACACATTATAATTTAATCCAAAAAAAATATATTTATGACCGGAATTACTTGAAATTTTGTATTGATGTTCTTCAATAACATTAAATAAATACGTGTTTTAACATTTTCCAAAATTCCTCGTATAAGAGGGTAAAATAGGGGATGAAAGTTTGTATGAAACCTACCTTTTTAGAGTTTTTTTTTGTAGTTTTAGCGCTAGCGAAGCTGCGGGTTCTGCTAGTACATTATAAATATAAATAATAAATATATTGTGACATTAACACACATCACCATTCAGTTCCATGGTAAGCTAAAAAAAAGGCTTGTGTTATGGATACCAAATCATTAATTATAGTATTATGTCGCGCCCGGCGTGCCAGAACTCAAGCCGAGCTGGTGAATCACGCTATACACCATCAGTATTATGTCGAGTCTGGTGTGCCCGACCTCCAACCGAGCGGGAGTTATCCTATTTTTCTATACTCACCTCGGTGATCTAGTTATCAGTATGTATGGCTGCAGATCCGAAGGTCCTGGGTTTGAGTCCTGGACAGGGCCATGTTCATTCATTGAGTTTTTCTTTCAAGAAATTCTCAATAACATCCCAGAGTTGGGAAGTGGGCGGTGTGTCAGGACTCAGCACAGTGCCTTTGAAACTCGCGCAGGATTTTCATATTTTTCTGTCAACTTAATACGTCGATGTCTAAAAGAACTATATAATATAATGAGTAAATGTGTGCGACACTAATTGGAAAGACAAATCTAAAATTAAATACATTTTGGCTAAAATTTATTGTTTATGGTGTTTGACCTATAAACAAACAGCGGTTGTTAATTTTTATTAGCGCGCACTAAAAATATATTTTTACACATGCATAAATTTAAACTTTAACTCGAACGTCGCAAGATTCAAAATAATAAAACTGATTCCAAAGTCGACTGGAATCGAATTCAATAAATCTTTGAGGAATGCAAAAGAATATTGTCATTAATTGTTGCTAATTGACGTAAATGAAATAGTGTTAGTTAATTTGTTGTCTTTATGTGTTCTAATAAATGTCGGAAACCACTTTAGAATATAATTTATAATATTTAAACAATCATTTAATTTTGTAGTGGGAAATAAAAGGTTTTAAATTTATTTTTTTATGTTACTCTCGGTATATTACACACAGATGAGAAGTGAAAGTAGAGAAGTATATAGGGTGTGAAAATTGTTTTTTTTTAATAACATTATTGAAAATCTGTTGCGATAAAATGCTTTTGAGAAATTTATACCGTTAACTTATATTCGTATATTGAAAGCAATTTTGTGATGAAATTCTTTGTCAGACCACTTTGCACAGATTACTGGAAACAGCAGAAATATAAATATGTAGGGACATTAAAACACAGCACCATCTAGTTCCATGGTAAGCTACGAGGCTTGCGTTATAGATACCAGATAGTTGATACACTATACATATATTGCTTACATATTATAAATATAAACACCCATGACTTGAGGACAAAAATTCGTGCTAATCATACAAATGAATGCCCTCAGTGGGACTCGAACCCGCGACCGATGCCACAGCTAGCAGGGTCACTACAAACTGAGTCAAACGTATAGTCAAAACGTATCGTATAAGCAAGCAAATATAAAAAAATAAATTACTAAAACATGTTTCTAAACATGTGCGCGTAGAGATATTTGCGCCGCGGTTTTATTGCGCGCGCGCAGTATAATCACGCGGCTAACTGGGCCGGAATTAAAGGTTAAATAGTATACCGATTACTGCATCGCTGAGGTCGTCTGTTGATGTATTATGTAATTTAGTTAGTATATCTTCGGTGGTGTAGTGGCTAGCATGTACGGCTGCACATCCGGTGGTCCTGGGTTCGAATCCCGGGTCGGGCTCATGTCGAGTCACGATTAATTGCCGAATTTGCCAAAAAATTAATATATTTATTTAATATATTTCCCCTTTAATTTACTGCGCGCACACTTGTGCGTTATAAAATATCCTGCGCAGTTGGTTAGTCTCAGTGAGATTGGCCACCATGGCTGAAAACGGTCAGGAAAGCGTCATCATGGTCATGTTACATTACCTAGACGCCACTACGATTACCTGGACCTTTATAAATGTACTAGCGACTCACGCCCGCTCCGCACCTCGGGTTCGTCCCTACTTCCTAGGTAAATAACGGTTGGCTTAGATTTCTCAGATGAGGGATGAGATATTTTCCACGGTAAAAAGTATCCTATATGTTGACCCGATTAACCAGCTATTGCTACAAAAAATTTCATCAACATCCGTCCCGAGTTTTTCTCGTGTTGCGTTCCCAGACAGACAAACAAAAATTCAAAAACTATCAATTCGGCCTCAGCATCGATAATAATGACTATTTCAATAACATTTTCCTAAATATATTTTACGTACAGATTCTACTTATAATTTTATTATATATGTATAGATAAGTACTTGAGAAGTTAATGGATATAACATTAGTTGCCTTTAGTAGATATCCGCGTCAGAGCGGCCGCGAGCCAAAGATGCAATCAAGTCTTATAAATAGAACGGTTACGATGCATATTCATTAAAAATGATGATTTATTGCAGACTTAACGAATTGCCTCTCTTACGGCGTAAAATTTATTCAAAAAAAGATAATTTATTTTCAGTCTTAATTTTTCTTAGGTTTTGAGTCTATAATTTTCCTTAGAAAATAGAGTAAAAAGTTAAAAAAAAGAATTTTGTATGTCTATGTTACGCCATTTGTTCATCGATTTTTAATAATATTATTTTTTATAACACCATATTGTTGATATTATTTAAAAAAAATGCGGCAAATTGCTAATGTCAACTTCCATAGATAAATGTTCGAATTTTAAATAAGTTTTATAATCAGTTTATCTATATATGGCAATATTACACCACGAATAGTTTTCATAGAAAAATGTTCGTACTCCACCAAATAAGGTATTTCTAAATGCCCGTTTATGCCATTATGGCAATACATTCAACCAGGCATTCGCCCTTTAAATAAGGTTTTATTATATTGTTTATAATAAAATTGTTTATAATTAAATTGTTCAGCAGTGAACGGCGATAGGCTGATTGATTGATATTGTTTATATAAAACAATTTTCCACTGAACAATCCTTCCTTCGTGTCTTCTCCATTCTTAGTTCTATTATTTAAGTGATACTTCTTTAGAATCGTTGTGATTTGAAACTCGATGAAACGGAAATGCGGTACAAGAAAGAGACAAACATATAAATATATAGGAATAGCGACTTACTCTCGCTTCGCTCGGGTTCGTCCCTATGTTGCTTCCCCATACAAACTTTCAACTTTCATCAACTTAAGGGATGATTTCCGGGATAAAAAATATCCTATGTTCTTCTCAAGGTCTCAAACATCTTATCAAATTTCATCTAAATCATTTCAGTAGTTTCGGAGCCTATTCAGTGCAAAGAAACGAAAAATCAAATCATTCCTGTTTATAGTATTAGTATAGATTAAGCCGGCGCGGTGTGAGAATGTGATAGAATACATTGCCATGTTGCCATGGTAACCGTTGTTATTGTCTGACATTATAATATTAAGTTTCACTTCTACCATGTGGGAATTGCACACACACGCACATTTTTATTATTTGTGTGTATTATTGTAAGTGATAGTAAATAAAGCTAAATAAATAGTTAAAAAAAATGTGTAATGAAATTTTATATTAATTAATGTGTAATATGAATGTGTTCACGCGCAAGAAGTAGGTAAAACTTCTGTAGGTTATCGGTACTCTTTATAAAATTTAATTTATATTTTAAATAATTGGGTTAGGTGAGATACTAAAAATAACGCATATCAGGCATATTACAATCATATATTTATAGTATATCATTTAAAGAAAGAATATAATATTTTATATCATTTGTCGGACAATAACAACGGTTACCATGGCAACTGACGTGCGTACATTTTTTCGTAACGCATTCACCAGCTCACCCCCCAAGTCAGGCGTGCGTAAAGAAGTTTTACTTCAATAAATAAATGTACCAGGCACTCGGCGATGAGCCAAGGGCACGGCATCTCGGTGCTGGCGCGCGCGTACCACCGCGGCGGCGACGCGCGCTACTTGCGCGCGGCGCGGCGCGCGCTGCACCTGCTGGATGTGCCCGCGCGCGCCGGCGGCGTGCGCGCCATGTGGATGGACAGATATGTGTGGTCAGTGTTCGGTATTACACTTTGGATTCCCTTGGAACTGGCAGGATGTGTGAGTGTGTGCGTGCGTGCGTTCATGTGTGTGTGTTTATGTGTGTGTGCATGTTTGTTGCTCCTAAAATCTATTTTACTCTTTAAATCAAATCTGTAACTGCTAAATGGATTTTGATGAAATTTTGTATATGACTATAAACTGGAGTAACAAATAAATTACTGTTGTGTAAACCATGGAATTTGGGCTTAATTGGTTTGTTTTGACTAGTCACATATATTACACGTTTTGTTTTAGCTTTTAATTTTATTTACATTAAAAATACATTTATGTTATTAAAACATGTACTTATAATTAAAAGAATCTGCTCGAAATGCAGTTTTGCTGATGAGAACCATTGAGAAACTAACCAGATGCTATTCTTAATCTCTAAGAGTTGTTTAGTCTGAATTAATATGAAGTTGTATGCAAATGCACGCAGTCCAATATTGGTCAATTAATAGTCATTAATTGACGGCCGATGAAAAGTCCATCGTGCGATTCAAATGTTATAGCTTTTTTAAGTAACCTATTTCCATTTCTCCGTAGAGTTTTCTTTTACATTTAAAACTAATTAAATATACTCTTCAAAATCAAAGAAAAACGTGTTTTTCTGTGTATGCGACATTATCGCTAATTTTGATTTAATTTTAATTACCTATTTAAAATGTCATTAAAAACGGTTGTATTATGGCAATGTGATTAAATATTGTTCTAATTTACATAATAAATTCTATTTCATTTCACTGTTCAGGTACGAAGAGTATCCAACAAAGCCACCTCTGTTTGTGCTTAACGGCTTCATCTACACGCTGCTTGGACTCTACGACTTACACGTGATCGAAGGTGAGAACTCTATATCGTTAGCGAAGAAAATGTTTGACGACGGCATGCTGTCTCTCAAAACACTCCTTCCACTTTTCGATACCGGCAGTGGCAGTTTCTATGACCTTAGGCATTTTACTTTAGGCGTGGCCCCGAATATTGCGAGATGGGACTATCACGCGACTCATGTGAATCAGCTATACCTATTAGCCGGTCTAGATCCAGACCCGATATTGATAAACACGGCGAAGAGATGGGAAGGTTATATGCAAGGGAAACGGGCCGCTCACAATTGAGAAAAATATCGATTTCCTGGTGGCTTTATGATAACGAATACGATGTCGATTTTGAAAATCGACATTGGAATGTGGTATAGGTTTTTTAATAGATGGTTAGCAACTTGCGCTTGGCAAGTTGCGTGGTGTTTTGTGGTGGAGATCTGAATATTTTCGATCTTTTGTAGATCAAAAGCAATGTGATGCGAATAAATATATTTATAATGTTACTATATTAAAAAAGAATTTTTCGTTAAGGATTAAATATGACATTAATGTACCTTTACTAGAATTTTCTTCACTTTTTTAAAAATCATATTTAAAGTTCATTCTTTAATAAATGAAATTAACGAAGTTCCAAGAGTAAAGGAAAGGCATCGGAGAGGAAAAAATTTGATTATGTAACAGACTAAACGAGTGTTGCCAAAAAGATATTAGAAAGGAATGGAGGGGCTAAAGTTAAAATAATATGTGGAATTTAAATAATTTAACAGCATTCTCTTTATTATCAAGTAATGAAGTATAAATATTCTACACTAACAAGCCACAATACTATTTATAATTTTGCAATTGTATATTTATGTATAAATAAATATATGAATATATGAAATAATAATCGTTTAAAGTTGGCTTTTCGCTGTAATGCCTTTGCCTTATTTGTTAAAAAATGGGGTAAATATTTGAATGTGACAGCTGTCAGTTGACTTTAAAATTATTATTTTTAAACTGCCACAGTCTTGTCGATGGTCCATGTTATTGTAGAATATAAATACAAGTAGAATATATATCGTATAGACTAAAATGGCTGTCTTTCCTACAATTTGGTAGGCATTTAAAGTTTTGTATATAACTATGTATACAAAAAGTTGGAATTTATGAACCATACCATTGAAGACTGAATATTTTCTAAATAGATCGCCATTGTAGAAACAGACCTTTGCCTGAATTGAGTATATAAAAAAGTTTCATTATATATCACTTATTACGTACTTAAATATTATAAAGATAGTGCAACATTTTAGTTTTTAATTCAATTACTGTATGTTGCAATATTTCCAAGTCATCATAACTTATTGATTGTTTTTTAAATACAATTGTTAAAATGCTATGCTGCTATCAATTAATTAAAAATTAATTGAGAAATTAAGTTAAATGTCGGTCGTTCAGGTCGTGTGACGTCACGTAATTATTCTTACAAGCGCAATTTTAAAGTTTCATAACTTTTTCATTTGTTGAGATATTTTAATAATTCTTTCATATTTTTGTTTAATTTTACTAACATTTTTAAATTTAATAAATACATTAAAAAAATTGAAACTTCTCCATTACGAAGATATTAACTTGATATCTAAACAAAGCTAAGGCGAGATGTTAGCTATAGAAAGTAAATGCGTTTCACGAAAAATGACGACGACTAATTTAGTGCAAACGTTGACTTAAAATATTGTAATGTACAGTAATTTGTCACGTATTGTAAATATAATTTATTTTAATCGAATGTATATAATTTTTTTTTGAAGACAACGTGTAATGTAGTGGTAGCCTTCTACTAACTTGAATAATTAAAAAAAATACTTCTAAAATCACAATATATATCATAGTAAAGATGTCTATTAGAAATGAATTCTTTGATCTTTCAATAATTTTTACGTATAATCAAATGAGTGAGATGTATACTATTAAATACAATCGGACTTCAAATTAACACAAAATAATAAAAACATAAACAAAATGAAAAACAACTATGCATATTTCAATTTATAATATTTTAAATAATTATATATTTTTTGTATTTTTTTTTAGATACCTACTGCATTCTTTTCATCCCTTTCATTAAAACTATAAGCATGTTATTACATTTTATTTGTACGGTAAGTATATATAAGAAAAAAAACTATATGTCACATTTGAAGATGGCGATTTAAGATCTTATTTTATTTATTTTAATATTTAAGTGAAAATACAATATTAAGTCCAGGAATTGAATTTCTACACTTTTGACACTAATAAAATTATATAAATCATTGTACATAATCTTGCCGCACCTTTCGAAATTTGCTTTGATTTTCAAATATTTAACAACTATATTTTTGTCAAACGAAAATGTTGAAAAAAACGGTTAAAAAATCGACTTTAATATTTAGGTACTGTATGAAAAGAAAAATGGCAATTAAAAATTTTGCCGGCATTGATTCTTGCATTTGGGTTTTGTTTTTGCTTTAAAAGTCACAGATTAAAATATAAATTATTTAATTAAAAACGAAATATTTATATTTATTATTTACATATATTCGGTTGTGATTCCGAAGCACAAATTTTAATGTAAGAAACCTTTAATGTTGTGTATGAACAATTATATCGTATAAGTAATTATGATGATGATGATGTTCTCCTAGCCGATTCCGGCCACGGCGGCCAATCTTATTGAGACTAGCCAACTGCGCAGGAGATATTATAGTGCACAAGTGTACGCGCAGACACAAGTGCACTCTCTATTCCTGTCACTCTCATACTCTGGTGGGACGACCATTCGACATGACCAGTGAGAGTTAAGGCGCAGGACCGACGGCTTTACGTGCTCTCCGAGGCACGGGGGTGAAGCACCGCCAACTTCCCAACTCCGGGTTGTTACTGAGACTTACTATACATAAAGACTCAATAACTAAACTTGGCCTGACCCGGGACTCGAACCCAGGACCTCCGGGTGTGCAGCCGTACATGCTAGCCACTACACCACCGAGGCAGTTATAAGTAATTATATATTCATTGTGTAAATGGAAATATGGTACAACTGCATGGACTTATCTTTTACAGTAAGTCGGATTAAAAATGGCGAAATCTTTTTTTTTAAATTAATAGATCTTTTATTTTATTTAGCTTAAAGTGGAATTAGACAACATTTTTTATTAATTATTAAGTTGTATTAAAAACATGTATAAATAAATATATCGAATAAATAAAATTAAATAAATATGGCGCTACCAGAAAAAAGTTTCAGTTCAAATTATAACATGAACATTTGCCTTTATCCTTATTTATTTTTATTAAAAATGTATGTATGTGTAATTATTTTTAATTTCAATTGAAATCGACTCTTCTTTATAAGTTGCCTTGAATCTTGCCGTGTTTAAAATTGTACGCAAAAAGATACACTATTTTATTATGAGGTCGGATTATAATACTACGATATAAGTTATGGTATACACACATATGTATATATAACTTTGAAATTTCCTCAAAAAAGAAGATCCAAAAGAATTTTCTCCCTTTTTCTATCTCCTTTCTCCCACGGGTATAACAGTAGAAACATACCTCTATATAAATAGTTAAATCCTGTAGTAAAAATATATTTATTTAATATTTATTGATTTTCCTTTAAATAGGTACTATAGGTTCAAATCTAGTATAATACTAAAACCTAAGTATTATATTATGCAAAACCGTATATCGCCAGCTGGCTAATGAAATATATACCATGTTCATAATCCGACTTCTAAAATAAATAATGTTCTCATTAGCTTGAAAATAAGACCTTCATCTTTATTTAATATATTATGTGTACTGAATCTTGTAGATTATTGTATAGAAACATACTAATTTACGTTTATATTAGTGATGTTACGTTACACCAATGTAGGATAATCCTTATGTCGTTTGAAAGTCGACGTGTAAAATAAAGAAATATATAATAGTAAATAATTGGCAATAGATCAGATATTGATAGTCACAGAAGTGGCCCATTTCAAATATTTAAAATAATAAAATAATAGATATATAAATATATAGCCATTTTTATTGAAGTGAAATCTTCTATAGGCCGGTTTGGATGGAAAAGTTAAAGCTAAAGTTTCTATTTATGTATATTTTTTTTTACTTTATACACTCTCACGTTGACTTTCCTTACGACAGACAAACATTCCAATTCTAAGAGCTTACTAGTAGTTACTGTTTTATAGTTTATTTTTATTTTATCCGTTAACCCGTATGAGTGTATTTCAATGGTGTTATATGGACGAGGTAATTTTTTATAATAAAATTATGCACATCTCAAATCTGAACACGCACGTATAACACCATAGTGTGAAAAATAACAAATCTATCCGTAGTTTGTAGAAGTTAGTGAGCACTTGTGAATGACAATAAAAAGTCTTGACAAATTAATGTGTTTTATTTAAAAATGACAAAACAATACCTTTATAAAATATAGGAAGCTCACAAAATATCTACTATATATAGTCATAAGAGGGAACCCTAAAAACACATTTTGCACACATTTTGTGACTCTTGAATCAAAATTATAATATAAAAGCTCAAAAGAGCAATGAACTAATTAATAAGCACACACACACACACGTCTATATCTATCTATCTATATATATAAAACAAGGTCGGCTTTGTTACAACACTTGTAACTCGAGAACTGCTGACCGATTTTTATGATCTTTAATTTGTTGGATTTGTCTATTCCGATTAGCAGAATAACTATTAAAATATCGGAAAAATTAACCAAAAAAAACTAAAAAAAATTCTATTCCATACTAAGCGTCAAAACGTACCTAGGGACGAACCTGAGCGAAGCGAGGGTGAGTCGCTAGTATGCATATATAACTTTAAAATTTCCTCAAAACAGAAGATCCAAAAGATTTTTTACCGCCCTTTTTCTATCTTCTTTCTCCTACGGGTGTGCACAAGTCTGCAACTTGACCAGGGCGCGTTTTTCCGCCATCATCATTTTATCCAACACGTCCTGCATCTCGGGCCAGGGCTCGTAGCGCTGGTTGATGATCACAATCTTGTGCACTGAAGGGTTACGGAGGTTCATCGTACGGGATATATTCTCGCGGTTGTGCGTCGAGTATACTACATCCACCTGTTTGTACATAATATGTATATAAATAAATAATAAATAAATATGTTAGGACATTAGCACACAGCACCATCTAGTTCCATAGTAAGCTACGAGGCCTGTGTTATGGATACCAGATAGTTGATACACTACATATATATAATTTTAAATACATACATATTATAAATATAAACACCCATGACTGGAGTACAAACATTCGTGCTCATCACACAAATGAATGCCCCCAGCGGGACTCGAACCCGCGACCGCTGGCACAGCAAGCAGGGTTACTACAAACTGAGCCAAACGAGCTGTCAAAATTCTTATTTATATTTTCTTATTTGATATACCACATATAATATAACAATGATGACCGTAATAACGTAGTGGAGCATATGACAGAGGTCGTGAATTTGATTTTCAAACGCACCCCGGAGTGAATGTTAACATTGTATATACAAATAGTTATCTACCGACACCCAATACACAATTACTCTGAACTACAAGAGGTGAAAAATTTATCGAGCTAGTACGGAAATAGACTCACCTTATTTATATAGGCCCAACCTATAGAAAGCACCATGAAAGTCAAACTGGTACAAGTCACTAAGAACAATGGTATTATCTCCCAATAGGTCTTTAACGCGTATCCGAGATGTAGTTTCCTGGGGATGGGCACATCGTACTGAGTCGGAGGTATCAAACTCCCAGCTTTTCTTATCTGGTAAGCAATTGGTAGCTTTATTTTTGGTAAAAGTAACGATTTTACACGAATTGCAGCAAATTTGAAAAGCATTTTTAAATTTTAACTTTTTTATTGTTGACGTTACAACGCAATGCAATATAATATAATGTCAAGTGGTATACCTATACATTTTTTTTAACTGCCGGTGCCTTTTCGGTAAATAACTTAAAATAATAATACAAATATAAAGGAACAATTTTTAATAATATCGAATATTAGTTTAATATTAGTATTTTATAAATATTCGATTTTTATAGTTTAATATTAGTAAAAACTTCAGCAACGACTTTTATACATTATTATTAAATACTAGAGACTTACCCTCGCTTGGCTCGGGTGTGTCCCTAGGTACCTACGTTTTAATTTTTTTGGGCGGAATAAAAATAGCCCTAATTACTCCTTATAACATCAGCTATCTGCCTATGAAAGTTCCGTCAAAATCAGTCCAGCTGTATCGGAAATTAGCCGGGACAAACAGACAGATAGACAAATTCTTTAAAAAATGTGTTTTTCTTACAAGTAATGTATTTATATGCATTTAGTAAAAAGCTGTTACGTTGACATACAAACAGACACTTCAATTTTATTTATCTATATAGGTTATTAATTTATCTAAAGTAAATCTGGCACATTACAAAACTCTGACACGACTTTTTTTTAAAATAATATAGAATTTATCTGTAAAGTAAAATTGAAAAGTTATTTTTTAATTTAAATAAAATAAAACATAATTATATAAGAGAAATATATTTGGGATATCATTTATAAACATTCAAAACTTTATCTTTGCAATGTATGTAGGATCTATTGATTATCAAGTTTTATTTAAATTCCAGTGAGTTTGTCAGAACTTGCGATCTGATTTTTTTAATGATAGAACGATGTTTGAATTATACACCTCATAAGTCACGGTAGCAGGTGATGATCATCCACACACCGCGACGTCGTATATCGCCTCGCACCAAGCGCAAATATAGGGCTATAAAGAATTTTTTGCAGAAAGCCTTAGGTAAGCATTAAGTACCAATATTCTAAACATAATTATTGTACCAACCTGTCTCTTTATATTTTCTTTAAATGGTAAAACTGTAGTCTGCCTTTAATAGAAGGTATATTAGGAACTGTATAACGTTTCTTAAACGCATAATAAATGGCAATAGAGGTGTGTGTAATATACAAATATGAATATTTTATGAACCAATTGTCAATACTTTAATTTATATAATTCCTAATTATTTTTTGTATCGTTGTAGGTACATCATCTCAAGGAAATATTTATACAAATTCAACTATAGAAGTAAGTGTCTCAGATATAAAAACCAAGATCGAAGGAATAGAACAACAACTAAACAAAGTCAGCAAGCATTGTCGAGATCTCTCGTGTCTTGAACGCAAAGTCCGAAGACAAACAGCAAATCTCTCTGTTTGTAGCAATCTTGACGATAAAAGTATCGGAGAAAATTCTAAATCTGAAAGAGATCTTAAAAATGTAGAAACAAAACTGTTATATAAAAAGACTGATAGACAATGTAACAGAACTGATGAAGGTGAGAGTGCAATTGATAATCAAAATCACGAAAATAAAAATAATGAAAATATGAATTCTACAGCTTTTGATCAAAATTTATATAATTTTCATGGTAAACTAAAAAGACAACATAATGAAAATGAAAAATACAAATTTCATAGGCATCAACGTAAAACAAAATCAAAACATGAAACTATATCGCCTGTTTATTCCACCAGTAGCTTCCATTCGTTCGTAGCGTCTAAACATAAAAAATATGCAGAACTCAGTTGTTCTGATTACCATCAAAGAGGACGTTTTGAAAGCGAAGATACTCATTATATACCAGATCCTAATTTACATAGAAATAGAAAGATTGTGGAATATGATTGTAGAAATAAAAATAAAAAATATGAAGAGAGACGAAAAGAGAAAAGAAATAGGCGTGAAAATTCAGAGCTTGATCAAGATTTTATAGAAAAAATTATCAAAAAACAATATAAACCAGTTAAAGTATTTGGTAGACGAGATTCAGACTTTAGTCAATTTTCTGCACCCGTGTGTCGCGATCATGAATTTGACATTAAAGAAGAAATTCAAGAAGGCAGCGAATTGTGCTCTTGTTGTTTTGATGAATATAGAAAACGTAGACACCGTTATATTCGAAACAATGATCCGAGTGATATGAGGAGCGTCTGTGACACTCGTTTGTACAGTTCTAAAAAACATCATCACCACAAATATCGTAACAGACACATTGATGATTATAATAATTCAGCATATTATGACGTAGTTCCCGTAAGAGAGAAATCAAGTCCACTGTCGAGAAGAAAACTTATAGAAGATAATACAATGGCTTATCAGTACTGTAAAGAAGTACCACCTTCTCCTAGAACCCGTAGACCGAGATTGAATTTAAAAGCTCAAAATAACGCAGAATATGGCGATAGTCTCATAAACGAAAGATATCGGAGAAGAAACACTCCTATTCGGTATCATAACTACGACTTAGCTTCAGAACTTTCTCTCCATCAAAGATCCCACGAAAATTTGGCAAATATTGAAACAATGAGTAGTTTTCAGAGCGCCAATTTAATAGATGAAAAAACGAACCAAACTAATAACGACACGACTTGGAATACAGAAATAACAAATGTGACTACTGACAAAACTGATAAAGCTCTTGGCGAAATAAAAGATATATTACAAAGTTTTTTAATTGAAGTAAAGAAGGAATCTATACACAGTGACAAATGTAATATCACGAGTAAACTTGAAGGCAAAAGTTTTAATAAAACTCAAGAAAGCGATAAGATTAACACAACAATAATTCCGAATAGCGGTGATAACTTTGGAACACATACGGCGGGACAGAGTAGTATGGCTCCATTTCTACCCTCATTCCCAAATCCTTGTTGTTATCCAATAATACCAGTATGTCCTGTGAATTGTTTGCAAAATGGCTATATTTTACCTAATTCAAGTTTCACTTGCACAGCTTGTGCTAAGGCCTCTAAAGAGAACGCAAATGCTGAAAAAGAAAATTCTAACAGAAGTGACACGAATGATAAAATTAACACTTGCAACGAAACTCAAGAACTAATTAAAGAAATCTATAAATATGTTTCACAAAATCCAAAAACACCGAGAAAAGACGATAGTAATGACAACGATATTAATAACCATTCAAAAAATGGTAATCGTAGATTAGATAAAGTAATTCTAACAAATACAAGTGTCGGAGGATGTTCCAAGACATCTAAACATGATGCTAATGTCGGAACACCTTATATGAGATGTTTTTCTAAAAGTTGTGAAGCAATTGGGTCGAGAATGAATTCAGATACATATTACTCTACAAACGCTAGCTACTCTGATACAATTTTGGAAAAGCTTAGCTTAGAAGCTTCACAGTCATCAACAGATTCGGATACCAGCAGTGATATTTCCGAAAAAAAGGTGATATTTTCATTTTTGCTTTAAGTCACTTAATTGAAAATTCCATCCATTTTAAACGGAAATATCGACGATAATATGAGACAATTATATGATAAAGAGTGCCAGAAATAGCTTTTAATAATTAACATATTATACTATTTTTAGCTGTAGTAAAAAAAACAATTAAAAATTACCTAGCGTGTTAATTAGAAATATGTAAATATTAGTAATATAAGCCTAAATTTATACATAACTAAGTCATTTTTACATATTAATTTGATTTATTTCAGATTCATCGAAATAAATTTCACAAACTACTACATTCATTACGATTATTTAAGAGAAAGAAGAAAGATGTCATTGAGGAAGTCACCGAATCTGAGAGTACAATAGCGGTCAATACTAAGCATAAAGCAAAACCACCATTCAAACAGCACATTACAAACTATGCGATGCACGGTCAGGAATATTTCCATCCGCCACCCATACCAGGAACCTTCTGCCCTCCCCATCCCGAAGGACATTGTAGCTATGGCCAAGGTTATCCCCATCGGCCATTGCCTCCTGAGATGTATAGCCACTGCAAGTATCCTATAAATCAGTTCGGTATGCCTTACGATCACAGGATGCCACCCACATGCAATCCAATGGTGCATCCTCCATGTCCAAACTACGACCCATACAACCAAGTTCCACCTCAAGTACCACTATGCCTAAAAGAGATTGAAGTGAAAAGTATCGGTACCCAAAGCCAAAGGAAAATGTCGATGTTTAGCAAGTTTGCTAAAAAGGTGCAACCTACTCAACAAGACGCAAGTCAACAATACTCTATACCGTCCCCAAATAAACCAACTTTCTGGAAATCCTTACAAGAGAAAACAAAACAACAAAATTCGGATCCCTTGGATTTTTCTTTGAAAACCCAAAAACAATTGGCTCAAGGAGATATGAAATTAAGAAATGCTATGCTTAAAAAGTTATTTTATAAAAGAAACCCTTTTTCTCCAAGAAATCTGATAGTTAGGACTTTGCTTGGAAAAGACAAGTCTAGTTACGGCAATCCGCCCAAGATGTATCGACCAAGAATGTTCATTTAAATTCCCGTTGTTTTTGTAAACTGTGACGTATTTTGTATTTGGTATTGTTGATAAAATAAAAGCTTTTAATACTTTAATTTATCCATTTTTAAATTACATAGAAATTCACTACTACTTTTTTTTAAATAAAGTTTATGCATAATTGTTATAATAAATTTTACAATAAACTCTTCTGTCATCAACTTTCCACCTGCATATTCGCAAATACTTTAAGGATCATAATAATACAGCTCTAAGATATCCTTTGACTTCGGAACCATGGTTACAGTAATGTAACAACCGAGCATACCTATGACCGCTGGTCACATTATTACATCAAAGACTATATATTAGGATTTAGGCATATGTTTGAAGCAAACAGACGGTTTTATACGGTTAGATTAGGTAAGTTTTATTTTTTTAATTATGTGACAGATCCGACTTGGAAAGCGTAGATTGAGAAAGCTAAGGCGGGAGCTACGTTTTACTCGGAAGAACTCTTTCTTTCTTTCTAGGTTGGTTATATTTGAACAGTGACCACCATAAACGATTAGAACTTTTAGAACCAAAAATGCTTTAGAAGAATCCAAATATAAAATGAACAATTTATAAATGACCTTAATTTCAATAACTAGCCTCATAATAATCAAAGGCTATCGTTTTCTAAGTGTAACCATTTGTCATAGATATGCTCAGTAATTACACCAGTGTAACAAAATAGTGTAACCATGTGTCCGAAGTCTATCCTTTGAAGTTTTGACAAAATATCCAAACTGATTCAGATGTCGGCTACCGAAGTTTATGACAATAATTCAATCTGATAAAATAGATCACATAAGCAGCTAGAAACTTCTTAAATTAAATTATTGTTTAAAAAGCTAAGTTATATGTCAAATAACTAAAATGCTTCACAAATCTGATGTGATTCTTAAAGTGTGTTTGGTTTTCATTTAATTGTAAAGTATAAAATCTAATATCAAATGAAATTCTCAGTTATAAAGAACGAACAATTACTCTAATAACGTTTAAATCAGTCAAGTATAAGCGTATTTAACTGTACGACCTTAATTTTCCAGCAATTTAAATATGAGCAGCCAAAACTTACAAAAACCTTACAAACAACGTTTCAAAGGAGTTGAAAATTTTTTAAGAAGAGTTGCCTTCAATTTAGGTATATTTTGCCAATTTAAAATATATACATATAAGTAATTCCAAAAATTGTTTTGGACTGCAATATAATACTTTTCTTACAAGCTTCTTTTTTCTATTCTCACAGGCAACACCGCATCGCAAACTGAAGTAAAAATAATTTCGTGTATACCCATAGATGTAACTGATCTTCAACAGAAAATTATAAATCTCGAAAAGCAATTATATGAAGCAAAAGAGCGAACACGTCAAAGTAAAGTAAAACTACAAGCTCCTGAAAAACCTAATAGTAACAACCTAAAACCTAATACTGAGAAACCCAGCTCTGTAGTGAACACAGCGCTTTATAACGAACCTTTTGCTAAACAGTCCAGTACAGTATCCTATTGTAGTAAGACTCCGAACAATATGAGACAACAACCCGTGTCAATACACTGTGAAGACTGTTCTTCAAGGGCCAAGAAATCAAACGTTTCTTATGTATCCCCTGCTTTGTCAGCACCTGAGGCAGCCCAAACTACCAAAATAGATTCACATGATAGTTCAAATAATATGAACCAAAATGCCAATCTTGCTGCTATTGAACGTTACAAAAATATATTCTGTAAACGTAAAAGGAAAAAAGTCAAAGGAAAGGAAAAACTAAAAACTCAACTTGTATATTATGCCCAAACTCCTAATAATCCCTTTAATATGCATCTAAATACCCGAAGATATCTAGATAGTACTGAAGTGTTGTGTCTGTCCCATTTAGATAATGTGGTCAAAAGACAATATGATCCGAATATAGGCATTGAAGAGTTTTCCGACACCAGTAATTTTACAAAACCAATCTGTAGAGATACCGGCAAATGTTTAAAACAATCTTTCCAATATGAATCCGATGTATGTTCATGTTGTCACGGAAAGTTTCAGAATATTGATAACTATATGACTACACGACAAAATTACGATTATAACATTTTCCCAAGAGCGAAAGAACCCTTTGAAAATACTAAAATATATTACAACTCAAAAGACTACGATATAATCCCGGTAAAAGAAAATTCTAACAAAACGCTTAAAGAAAATCTAAACAAAAAAGAAACTAAAATAGATATTGATATTAAATGTTGGCCCGAAAAATATCGTACTAAATATCGTTATCATCCCTACGTAGATTACCAATTAGAACTTCCTACAAAACGTCGATCACCTCAAAGAATTGCTCCAAAATTATTAGAAATGGAGATACCAAAACGAGGCTATAGAAGCGCCAGGTGTAATAAATTATATCAACATGCTATGGATACGACTTCTAAAAGTTGCTCTATTGACTGTAGCAACGTTTACAAAAGGCAGCCCTTCCAAGACATCAAAATACGCAAATCTAAGCCTGTAAAAGTAATTATACAAAAGAATGAACTAATCTCAACCAACGATACACACCACGTACAAGTCAATACACAAAGTACTGATTTGAACACAGCTGACAATGTTAAAACTGAATCAACATTGGACCAAATAAAGACTATGCTACTAAATGTACTGGCGGAAGTGAAAACAAGTGCTAAGTTAAATAACTGTATAGAAGAAAAAGTCAGAAAAGATGCAGTAGTACAAAAAGGAACATCTCAAAATAACATGCCAGGCGCTTCTACATTACTTCATAGTTTTACATACAACAACTCTTATAATGCAAATCCTTATCTACCAACCTGCTCTCGACAAATTCCTCTACAGTATTGTTTCGCAAGCGTTCCATGCCAACCAATCAAGCTAGATAACTTCCCAGTTTTGGTACATCCTTCACCCAGAAAACATATGTGCGCGTGCTATTACAAAAATAATTCATTGCAACAGACCACCGCTGCTACAAATACTGACAAAGATATCCAACAATCCAGTACTAAAGAGACGGAAAAGCTAATTAAAGAAATATATAAGTCTATGGCTCTAAACCTAGATTTAACGACGAAAGAAAATTCGCTGAGTGAGTGCGACGATCTTAAATCAGCTGATGGCTCCACTAACACGTCATGGAAGGAAGTAAAGACCACAGAAATAGTGACAAGCAAACGAGACATGGAAATTGATGCTATCATGACTCCATATGATTCAAATTCAAATCATTCTAAGGTAGTGTACACGGCTAACACTCAGTTTGACCCTAATCAGTCACGAAAGAACGAGCCTTGCTATAACGCTGTTAACAGAAATATCGGTCAACCCAAAAATTTCTATAGACCAGAACATGAAAATAATATTATTAATGAAGATGAAGAGACTGATGAATCTGATCAAACAGAAAGTAATGAAACCGTAATCTTTGACCAATATGTAAGTATAAAGTAAAGTAAATAAATGTTATAAATTTCATATACAAAATCTATTTACTACCTATTTATAATGTACGATTACGGTAATTATTTTAATATTTCAGAACAAAAAAGAAAAGAAAGGTTTCCTACAGCGAATGCTTAAGTCGGTTAAACTGTTTAATAAGAAGAAAGACCACCAAGAACAACGAACTGAACGTGGACAGGAGGAGAGTGATTCTGATGATTACGAAACTATATATAGCTATCGTTCTGCTGCTCCAACAAACACACGAAGACGCAGGAAAAAACGTAGAAATTACTCAAAAGTCCAATATTTACATGAAAATAGGCGGGAAAGGGAAAGACCTTATTTAGAACAGGAGTACCGACGACAGTGGACTGAAGGATTGACGTTCCACATAAATCCAAATAAAATGACTGCTGAGAAACATTTTCCACAACAAAACTCGAAGCAAAATCCTTATTGGAAAAATTATAAAGCGGGAAGTGTAATTGTAGATAATAATGTAGCAAATAATAAAAATTTGGGTCATGATTCATTTGGCAATAATACTGCTATTCAAAATGATAAGAAACCTAAAGATAAGTTGGGATGGCTTAAAAAACACAATGGAAGAATTTGATACTTGAAAATTAATGTGTTGTATTTTGATTTGTTGAAAGTGTGTTGTCAAATAAAAAATCTTAAGGTTGTCATGGTAATTTATTATTATTAAAAAATCCAGTGTTTTGTCACAAAAGTGTCCTACCTTAGTCTAATAATAAATATGTTATTCAATTAAGCCATTTTGTCGAATTCTTCCTTCTGCACTTGCTTGATGTCATCGACCACAAATCTGCAACAATATATTGTTATGGGAGTATTTCAGAAGTATGTCAGGTAGGCACAGTAAAAGATGTAAGGGCACACAGTTTTAACTATTTTGTACAGAGTCAGACTCAACGGCTTCAACAACATTAAGAAAAGGAATGACGTACTTAATTCGTCGATTTTCCGCCCTTTTCCCATTTAAAATGACAATTTAATAAAACTCAAAAATTACAAGAAATAAATCTTTTCCGCCTTTTTATAAAACAAAATCTGTATATTATACTAATAAAATTGACATTTAAAAGTAAATAATCTGTAATAGAAACACTTTCGGTATATTGGTCGTTTGGACAAATAAGCATTGAGACGACGCATTACATTACGGTGATAGAGGCCACTCACCTGTATAAAAGTACGGGTAGCGGCGCAGTACTCAAATGCCACAGAGCGTGAGCGTCCCAGCCGTAGATGGGAGGAAAGTCGAATATCTCCAGGGATAAGGTGACGAGCGTCAAAAAGAGGAAAGCGAAAATCCTCCATACATAGTACTTGTACTTGACGATCTGGTACGCGCCCCACGACACCCACAGTAGAGAGCCCAGGACACCTATTAAAATCGTAATTATAACAGCTTCAATGAGTTCAATTCAATTCTTTTGCAGCATCGATCAAAAAAGTACTAGATACAAAATCCCATGCAAAAGTTCTCTTAAAACTGTCACCAATTGTATTTAAATAATAATTAATTGTTCTAGTTGAAATAAATATACAACAATGTAAATTGAACCTTAAATGCAATGCTTAGTTGTTTTCACAAAAAAAATTGAAAGCGTGCTCAAATGTTCAAATGAGCGCTCATTCGGTGAGGACATTTTAATATCGCTGATTGTGTATCTACTTACTACTCCTAAGAGTACTTTTTTGATCGAGGTTTTTTGTTATTGACTTTAAAGCCAGATTAATTTTCCAATATGACGATCAAAAACTCAATTAGACTACTAGAATACTATAAACAGAGTGTCATAGAACTTATTGATAGGCGATAGACATATTATGTATATCTATGTGTACGAGCTTCTTAGAATATTTGTACTACACTATTAAGAATAAATAAAAACACGGAAAAAAACAGGACGGATAGCGTAAGCTACATATTTAATCTATACTAATATTATAAATAGACAGAGTTTGTTCGAACCGATTTGAAAAATTACTTTTGCATTAGATAGCCCGTTTACTACCCAAGGGAGCGGAACGGTAATCATAAATGTCAACAAAACGGGCAGACTTCCATAGATTATTGTAAAACTGATGTTTATATCGTAAGATTGAACGCGGGCGAAGCGGCGGGTACTGCTAGTTTACTCATAATTAGCTATTCAATTGCTAACTTCCTATTATAAGCTAAGCAGAAATCTCCCAGGAACTCATTTGTAAGTATAGAAGCATAACACTTAACTGAGAGGAAAACTATATTCTTTCGGTGAAGACACCAGTCTCCTTTCTCTCTCACTGTCTCACACACATTCGCACACAATCCATCTCTCACACTCTCATTAAGTGTTTGTAAAAGGCTATTTAAATAAAATATCAGCATTATTCGTCAGAAACACAGCAAAACCCTTACCAAACACAATGTTAGTGCGCATATTGTACTCGTAGTCGGTCTTCCCCTGGTACAGATACAGCACGTAGTCCGCGTAGAACAGCAGAGTAGACGACACCAAAAATAAGGTAAACCTCTTCTGTTTGTAGGTTACTCTGGAGTTCGTAAAACAATATAATATTAATCTTCTTGCTAGTGCAGCGAAGGTGGCACAAAATCCGGCGCATGTCCTACATCGCTGAAGTCTACCTTGCCCCATATATTACTTTCTTCTTTAGTCAACAATCAACTGATGAACGCGAGCACACGCCCTATTACCGCATATTTTTGTCCAAAAAAATGTGATATAAATAAATACTAAAATTATTTATTGCCATAAAAACAGTAAAATAAGTTAACAGAATTAGTAAAGCTTAAACTACCTTATGGCAAAGGGTAATAACTCAGCCAATGCTGCTAAGACCGAAATCTCAAGCAGCGCTGATTTTCAGTTACACCCAGCTCCCTAGGGTGCTGAGCGGGAGCAAGGCAAGAGGACTATTCCTCCAGTTAACCTCTACAGGAATCAGAGAAAAAACGCAATTTAACCAAAAAGCAATAAGAAATAAAAAAAAGTGTGCGTGTGTGTGTGCGCGGGCGTGTGTGTCGTGTGTGTGATAAACTTAAGATTTTAATGATACTTTCTCTGTCTGCTAGAAAGAATACAAGCACTTACCGCACGAGAGAAGACAAGAACATTGCCATAATAACAGATGTAGCGCAGGCATAGTCCATGAACTCCGTGAAGAAGAAATCGCGCGTGTGGAATATCGCGGACCAAACCCACGCGTTCATGCACAACTGATAAACAAAACTCAAATAAATAAGTTACAACTTGCGACCCACCCTTACTTCCCTCTCATATACCAGCCGTTTGAATATTTTTTTTCGACAAAAATAAAAGTATTACTTTCTTAGATTTATGCGAATATTTGATATTTAAAAAAAAATATCTTTTTTGATTTTTCAACGGATTTATTTTGATTCTTGGTTGGAAGGCACTTTGGTGTCATTTTTGTATTTTTGAACTCATTTTGTTATTTTGGGGGTAGGCTGTCTCTAACAACTATATAATGCTTTTGAGACCTCTTCAACCTTAGTCTCTCCCGTGACCGAAACGTCGTGAACCAAAATCTATAATATAATGATCCGCAAAAAATCCGAAAAGACAGTTTTATTTAAAAAGTAATAATTGTTACTGCTAATATTTCTTAAAATATCTCGTAACCAATGTGCATGTGTGAGCTTTTAGCTTAAAATTAAACTTTTAAGAATTAATTACAAGTAACTGAATTCCAAGTATCATCTATCCATTGCGCATTTTTTAAACATAAAAATGTCTGCTATATTTTAATTTCAAATTATCGTCATTATAAGCTACTGTGTTTTCGTCAGTTCGACCTACTCTCATCCTTCTCCGATCCTTCTTTTTTACCGACTTCAAAGAGGCAAAAGGTATTTATTCAATACTCCTTTACGTTGTATACAATAACTAAGATGATGATGATGTTCTCCCGACCGATTCCGGCCACGGCGGCCAATCTCATTGAGACTAGCCAACTGCGCACTTCGCAGGAGATATTATAGTGCACAAGTGTGCGCGCAAACACAACGTGCACTCTCTATTCCTGTCACTCTCATATTCTGGTGGGACGACCTTTCGACACGACCAGTGAGAGTTAAGGCGCAGGACCGACGGCTTTACGTGCTCTCCGGGGCACGGGGGTAAACACCGCCAACTTACCAACTCCGGGCTGTTACTGAGACTTACTATACAGAAAGAATCAATTACTAAACTTGGCCCGACCCGGGACTCGAACCCAGGACCTCCGGGTGTGCTGCTGTACATGCTAGCCACTACACCACCGAGGCAGTTACAATAGCTAAGATATGTTATTGTAAAAAAATATCCAGCTCCAAAAAACTAAAATTTAATATAAAAGAAAAATTAAAAATACGCCATTTCGCGCGCTTGGCGTGACGTCAAAGTATCATTCATAGAAAAATGACAACTTTAGTTTGCGATAAAATCGCTAATCGCTGTTATGAGAATGCTTTGACGTCATATTCGGTCCAACCAATGGCGAGCGTTTCAACTACTTTAAATTTCCCACCTATATTTGAACTTTTTAATAATTATTTTCTTAATCAAAAAGAAATTACAACCAAAAATAATTATTTATATAGGCTTCATTCAAAACTAATAAAGATTATAAAAAAATTGTTTCACCTTTATTTAAATCCCATGCATATTAGTTACTACCTATTATGAATTGATTTTAATAAATAATTATTTTATACAGAGTTCTACCTAGTTCCTAATGGTGGAATGACTACCACCAAGTGATTGAGAGATTGTTTTATCTACATTGTCAAAAAAAGACAGAGAAATAGCAGTATGTATTGCCTACTTAAATGGTACAATTATTTATTTTGAAAAAATAATTTTTCCCAAAAATTTAATTTTATTTTTTTGGATATCATCTTTGTTTTCAATCAATCTTTATTATTTATTGTATAAAGGTTGCATTAAATTTTATTGTTTCGTTCATTTGTATGACTTCTTTTTTTAATAATTAATTTCGGTTTTTAACTTACTATAGCAAAAATATGCCAGAAGGGGACCAATATGGGTATCCTCTTCATAGGAAGGTCTTGATACATATCAAAGTACATGTACATGTGCATTGCCAAGTTCAGTAAAGAAGCAAATGCTGAGGCTGGCTCTTGTATGCCAAATAATCTTCTGAATGGCCACTGGAAATATTAAGAAAGTAGTTTATAATTTTAGCTATTTATAACAAAAAACATTTTGGTTGATCAAAAATGAAGGAGTTACTTAATTTAGACATGTATGCTTAATTGCATCTGTTATGCAATATTTTTGCTGATTGTCAAATATTTTTTATTATTATTTTATTATTGAAAATATCATACCTTAAAAATGGTTTAAATAAATTTAATGATTTTTTTTCCACCTCTACGAATGGAATAGTCAAAAACAATTTTATGTCAATGTAGTTTTTAGTTACTTTTAAAAGTAACTAATTAATGTTAGCTTCAAATAACACATACTCTTCCATGAAACTTGGGTATATCATAGCCTCTTTCTTGAAAACCACTAACAGTCCGCCACATGCAATTGTAACGGCATTCATCTCTGCAGCCCCAAAAAAGTAACCGGCTCCATGTATCTTGCATTTCTGCAGCTTTTGGTAAAAATTCTCCATCTAAGAAGTATACAAATACTTTAAGGATAAAACAAAAAAAGTTTCTTACTATTCAATAATTCTTAGGCAACAAAGGCCAAAATATTAATTTATAAAGATAAGTTCCTTTACCTAAAGTACAATTTGCCTTTTTGCAATTTTTCACACAAGTTTGATAAAAGGGTGATCTGTCGCCGTCGCTGCATAATGCAAAGGGAAATAGAAATAACAAAAACAAAATAATTTTATAATATAAAATATTCATATTGATAACTCGAAATAGAAACCAAATAATATAGTTTCTAAAGAATCACAAGTAATCTACCAAAATTGGTTTATCTTACTAAAATTCACTTTCTTTATAATATTGTTTAATATAATAGATGCCGGCATTTAGAATTTCGTTATCGCGGCTGATGTTATCATTATTCATTATCAATAATGACATATTATTGACCAGTGACCACTTGACGCTTCGTTTTGACAGCAATCAACGCGTTCATCTTTCCCACTTACCTATTTAATGCACTAATATTTTTCAAATGGTCTAAAATAATATCTAATTTATACGACATCAAAGTTATTGTGCATGTGTAATTTAATAATTATTTTTTTAAAGTGAAGTCTGGTTTATGTTTTTAAATGCCTCATTACAAAAAATGCTCATTACTTTCCATTTGACAATTGACAACAGACCAGCCCCACAGACAATGACTTTGACTTGACTGTTGACTAACCTAAAATCATGTAAAATGCATAAAACCAAAAACTTTAAACAAGAATGTTAAAAAGCTGTTTAAATTAAAACTAATTGTTAAAAATGGTGTTCCTGGGTAGAACACTGCATGCAGTAAGTAATATAAAACGCCCTCGTAAATATCTACTCAGTAAATTTATTGATACTGTAAGACTTCATGTAAAAGGTGGTACGGGAGGTACTGGACTTCCAAATTATGGCGGTCTTGGTGGGCAAGGAGGATGCGTATATTGTGTTGGAAAAGAAAAGGCAGGTCTAAGGTCCATTATGAATAAATATCGTGCTAAAACAATAACAGCTGGACATGGCGAAGATAGTCGAAAAACTAAAATAGTTGGTAATCCAGGTCAAGACATAAAACTTGAAGTTCCTCTTGGCGTAACTATTTACAGAGAAGATGGTGAAGTTTTAGGATCTGTTGATAAAGAAGATCAGGTACTGATTGTTGCCCGTGGAGGCCCAGGAGGCAATAAACAAAACAATTTTCTTGGACATTATGGTCAGGTTCACCATATACGATTAGATTTAAAACTTATTGCAGATATTGGTCTAGTGGGTTTCCCTAATGCAGGAAAAAGCTCGTTATTAAAGGCTGTATCCAGAGCAAAACCAAGAATTGCAAGTTATCCATTTACTACCATTAAACCAAACAAAGGAACAATTGAATATGATGATCTAAGGCAAATAACTATTGCCGATTTACCTGGACTTATTGAGGGAGCACATATGAATATTGGCTTAGGTCATAAATTTCTGAAGCATGTAGAAAGAACAAAATTACTCCTTTTTATAGCTGATGTCCAGGGTTTTAGGCTTAGCCCAAAATATCCAATGAGAACATGTTTAGAAACAATCATGTTGCTTAATAAAGAATTAGAGCTTTATGATGCTGAGTTACTAGATAAACCTGCTATATTAGCTATAAATAAAATAGATATAGAAGGCACACAAGAAACATTTGAAGAAATAAAAAAATCACTCGCTAACATTAAAGAAGTAATCAAAACAATACCTGAAGAAATAAGACCAGATAGGATTATTGAATTTCAAGATATTTTTGGTATATCTGCTCTGACAGGAAATAGCATAGATAAATTAAAGCTTGCATTAAGAGAAAGATTAGATGAATTTGCAGAAGAAAATAACCCAGACATCACAGATCCGAGTGAACTTTTAAGAAAAAATAGAGCCATTATTAGGGAAAAGGGATCCAAAATAACTTAGTAAAGCCAAAAAGAAAAAAATCTATACATTATATGTATGTGTATAAAATATTAGATATAAATGTATAATTAAAAGAATTTAAAAAGAGATTTTTCTTTTTCAAGTCTCCAAGTGTTAATATTATTAATCCTGTGTTTATTCCAGTATTTTTTACGCTCAAGGACTCATTTTTCAAGTTTTATATGTTATAGTTACCCTATCTATACCACATGCATTAAAAGATTAATGAATCAAACAGAAAGAGAGGTTTAAAAAAAACAACATTTTACAATCTATATTTATTAAAACAATAAAAGCTTCAGTTACTTTGCATCAATAGCAACTAATTGAAGAATTATTTCTCACATACATTCTTGACATACAAATAACTATCACAGCATATATCTTCCAATCTAGTTTGCTTATTCTAAGTACACAAAGAAAATATTTAAATATCTTGGGTTAAGATATTAAATGATTAAAAGAAGCTATAATAAATAACTATCAATTAAATACACATTTAGGTTGAGATATTTTCAGCATATACAATTACAACCCTTATTACAATTTTCAATGTAACATAAATTTATTACTTTCATAGATAAATACCATATTAAAAAAATACATTTTTAATTTTAATATCTCCACATCAAAACAGTATTTTAGGTTTTATGCAACCTATCTGAAAATTTGTCAGTCTAGCTAATTCCACTCCACAAGTTATATATGTTTACCTGTTTTTAGGCAATAAATCATTATAATGGTAGACAATAGTAATATTACTGATTTATACCCAACAGGGATTCCACAGTTAAAAATTACAATATACTTAAACAATAAATTTCATAACTTAAAAACATGTCTTACATTTTCCTCTTATCACAACCTTCCAACTTATATAAATATTTTTCAAATTAAAATAAACATTACAATAATTCTTATAAAAAAATGTAGCTGCATATTGAAAGTTGACAATTATTCAACAGAATAGTTCTCTAGCCAATCTCAATGAATTCTATAAAATTAACAATTTTTTACAAACACAACTATATTTAAGACAGACAATTATTTTTTTAATAAATTCTATTGTCTATAAGATCTGGAAACAGGACATCACGTTATTATGATTGTAGCAAAAACTCAGACCAAGGGATAATATAGACAGAATGTGATAGAACCAAACATGAAGCCAAACAATAATATTTTAAAATAGTATCACTCAGTATACAAATAACAATACTGAGTGATAAGTAAATAAATGTTAATAAAATCAAATAGCTAAAGGATTTTATTATAATAAAGACAAAAAAATAATTAAATAAGTTAGTATCATTCTATCACTCTTTCAGTCGAAAGAGAACTAATGCTTGAAACAATACAAAAGAATATATTATTAATCATATTATTCACATTTTCTTCTCAAATTAACGACTGAATAAAATTTCTCTTATTGTTTCAAGAAAGTGAACGATCTGTATGACAGAATAAAAAATAATAGCATTAACAACAAATCAAGCTACTATTCTTTGTGGCTATATATATAATTCTTTAGTTTGAGAGCAAAAAGAAAATAAATACTAGAAACAATGGTGGTTCGACACGCACTTACAACGTAGACAACAGACTAGAAAACACTAAACTACTTACACACTAATCAATTATGCATAAAATATATTCAAACAAGCTTACAAAGGTCAGTCCTAATTTGAAACAGAACTATTCATAACGCTATATTGATGAAATCGATCGAACAAGCCAATAGTATCTTATATATTTACCATTTTAAGACTGAATTCTTATAATTAAAACACAATTGTTTTAAATAATATATGCATAAAAATGGGTAACTATAAATTTCCCATTTATAGGAAAGACGTTGAACAACCAATTAAACTATACAAAAAGGTCACATTCAAAACAATAAGGTGACAGGGAATGTCCACTAGTTTCCATCAAATAATTCTATAGCGCCACAAACTTAACTGACCCGGTGGCCAAAACTGGAACTGCGTATCGCCATTTTTAAAATATCATGACGTTGTCAAGTGTTGTCTTGGAATCTAAATCCAGCCGCTAAATTACACAAATTATCTACATGATCATAATTATAACATTAAAATAAAATTTCTTAGAAACTGTGTTTTAATTATTATTCCTTGATATATCGTGTTGTATAATAATGACTAAACCAGCAAATTAACAATTCGATTACTCCTTGTGCACTTGGGCCCCTTATTTATACCCTAAAAACTGCGGAAATTCTATTTAGTGGCAATACTAACAACGAAGGCGACGCCGTTGCCGGGTCAGACAAATTTGTGACACTGTATACATTTAACATAAACATACTACTTTTTAATTTTACATTGTGTTTACATTACTCTTATTGCAAAAGCATGATTACATAAAAGTTTTCATATTCATTGAAATTAATATTTATCTTTTTTACATCTAATGAGAAGGTTACATCTATGTTAAAAGTGCAAACTATTTTTTATTATTAGATTTTGTTATTTTTCTATTAAAGGATAGCCATAACATGGATATATTCAAGAATTTTTCCTATACAATATTTCGTTCAGATCTACAAAAGCGCATCTAGATTAAAATATTTTTTGCCTAATTTTTAATTCTAAATTTAATTTTAATAGAAAAATAGAAGTCAACTTTGATATGGAAGGATTATTGGATATACATTAAATTTATTACTATTAATTATAGTTCTTTTTTTTTTCAAATTAAATCTTATTTCTAAATTTGGCCGATTGTCATACTTAAGAATCGTTATAAACGGATACAATTTGTTAACTCATCTAAAAAATGTATCAGTAACAAGTTGAGGTCACATCCATACAAATCTACGCGTCAACAATAGATCGAATTGGCTTTTTGAAACCTCTTAATCTAAGTGAGATAAGACATAAAATCGATTTTTTTTAGGCATAATATCTTTAGTAGCAGTGAATAAAAGCTGCCCTGATATAATATGGGCCTATTTTTTCTAAAACTATCAATTTCGAGTTAAAAATCAGATCTCCTCAACTTTTATTCGTAAGTCATTCTGATGAAATATATGTAGTGTTAAAATTTCTAAAATACATAATATCTTGTATGATGGTGTAGACACTATTTTTCTAATATAGATCCAAAACTAGACGTCTCTTAATAGGACAATTTAGAGCGTTATTACGTGTATTGCTTACTGAATCATATACTTGAAAATAACTTAATTTCACCTCATCTTTTAAGTTAAGCTATTAATTCTGTATTATACATCATATAAGCCAACATATTAATTAGTTCACGATATAATTTTAACGCATTCTAAAATAAAAACATATTCACCTCAAAATTTCCTTAACCCTCATATGAAGAGAAAGACTTAAATTGTGTTACTTAATACACACACATAATTAACAAAACAGTCTACTATTGATGCTAACAATAAAATCCAATACCGATATAACAATTGCACACCAATGGCAACCTCACCTCTAATCTTTACGAGCAGACAGAGCATATAAAGATGTTAATATATACGTAATTAAACCCAATAATCGATAATTGATACCAAAAATAAACCAAATGATACCAATATAGTCAATGCAACTTCCTCTTGAGTCCTCATCGTCCTCGAATGCCTATAGTCTTGATGACATAGAACTATATGTATATAGGTGCATAGAAGTTAGTGCAGCCCCGCCTCTAGAGTGTTGACGAGCACAGAGCATATGTAGAGGCGGACAGAGGCGCACAGAGGTGCACAGAGGCGAGCTGAGGTGCACAGAGGCGTGCAGAGGTGAGCTCAGTCGTCGTAGCCCTCCTCCGCCTCGGTGGCGGTCTCGGCGGGCGGCAGGCGCGCGCGCAGCGCCGGCACCAGCATCGGTTCTATGGGACTGTTCGACCGAGTGCTGGCTGCTTCTGGAAAATGAAATATTACAATTAGCTATCTAATTTCTATAATTAATTTTTACGAATAATATAAATAAAGGTTTCGCTTAAAATAATCTAAAAAGTTTTTTTTTAAATATATTTTATAGATGAAATGTTAACCATTTTATTATATTCCTAATAAAACATTTTTTAGTTTTTGATACTTATTGCTTATATAATTATAAAGTCTTCCTGACCAACTCCGAAAGATGAGCCATCTCAAGTGCACTCTCTATTCTTGTCACTCTCACACTCCAAAGGGCAGACAACTCAACTCTCGCGGTGAAAGATAAAGCACATGATCGACGCGACACGTGCTCTCCGAGGCCGCTATTTTCCTTTACTAATAGAAAAAAGTCATAACTATTAATACATGTCTTAACCTCGGACTCGAACCTAGGACCTTCAGTTCTGCAGCCATACATGCTAGTCTAGCCATTAGACCGATGATACGCCCTGATATAAAAATAGTAGACCAACATAATACTTTTTTTAGATTTACGCGAATTAAATATTTCTGAATACAACTAATCAGTATTAATATTATAAATATGAAAGTTTGTGAGTATGTATGGATATTTGTCACTCTTTTATGCCAGAACGGCTAAACGGTTCTGGATGAAATTTGGCACGGAGATAGATTATAGTCTGGAATAACACATGGGCTTAACTTCTTATTCCGGAAAAATGTACGGTTCCCGTGGGATAGGTTTGTTTTTCTTTTTTCAGAGGTGAATCCGAGCTAAGCGAAGGTGAGTCGCTTGTATATCATATGTGTATGTATTAGCTGACCATTTTCCTGTGTCTCCCTGGGGTCGCAGCCGGGGTCGCGTGCGGCGCGCTGCTTCTTGGCGGCGGGGTCCTCGCGCGTGTCCTCCACCTGCGCCGGACACTCCAGGTGCACCAGGTGGAACACCTGCCACAACAAACAATGTATTAAATAATGAGACATTTTTGAGAAGCAATCATGTATATTACAAACTAGCTAGCCCAGACAGATGTTGTTCTGTCCAAATTTTCTTTGAGTTTTTATAGTCTATAACAAAAGTATTTTCATTTTTTTCCCGATTGCTCTCCATTTTGCGAACAAATTTTACCAGTTAGCTGTGGATTAAGATTGTATCTCCCTTTGATTCTTTTGAGGTTATTCGCTATCATTAAAAACAATACAATACACACACACACACACAAACACAGACGCACGCACACACACTCTCGCGCGCACAAACAAACAACAACTTTCACAGTTATAATTTATGTAATTTAACCAATGACTCACTTCATTGACAGAGTTATTGGTGCCGACGATGCGAATGATGGACACCGGTCGAGGCGGGAAATAGATCACCTGCCAAGATCTAGAACATTGAAAAAATTAGGAGTTATGATTAAAATGGTAGCCTGAATATTGATGGTTTGATTGAGCTCAAAAATGTTTTCTCTTAATAAAAAATTGGCCACCAAAAAAAATTAGATGAGTTAACAAATTGTAATATTATGTAGAATGTCTATTAAATTGGTTCTTTAGCTTAATAAATATATCTGCAGCAATATAATTAATAAAGAACTAAATTGTAGGTTAAATTTGAATTTACTTTTGACATTTAGTTTGGTAAAATTGACCTTATAATATTATGTACCTTCTAACATTCTACGTGACATTGGCGAAATAATCTGTGTTCAACTGACACGCTTTGCTGCCATTTATGAGAAAATCGAATTGAAATATTTGTACATATAGAAACAATAATTAATTGTAAAATACAGCACAATGAATAGTAAGGGTTTCAATTCTGAAAAAAGAGGATGATAACAAAAATATTTAATAGACGAATTTACTTGCTAATCTATAATTAAGTCATAATTAAGTCTGCCAATAACATATCATCGTTTAATTATATAATACATATAACTTTTTTTTAAACGGTCAACCCACCTGCACGCATCCCTTGTCCTATCGGCCACAGTATCCCAATTCCAGTAGTTGAGCGAGACCTCGACGTAGTAGGAGTAGTGGCGGTAGTCGCAGTCCCACAGCAGCATGCGCAGCGACGACAGCAGGTAGGGCTGCGCCAGCTGCACCACGATGGCGCCCGAGCCCAGCTGGTGGCACGTGTAGCCCTGCTCCCAGTCGTAGTGCTCCGTGTCGCCGTTCAGCAGCGCGTTGCGCGACCGGCTGTTTGGTACATGTATACATTTATTTATAACTAGCGACTCACCCTCATTTAGCAAGGGTTCGTTCCTAGGTCGGTCCCCTATACAAACTTTCATTCCCATTTTCACTTTTTTGAAGGATGGTTTCCGGGATAAAAAGTATCGTATGTCCTTCCCAAGGTCCCAAACTATTTTTTTACCAAATTTCATCTAAATCGGTTCAGTAGATCCAGAGATAACCCCCTACAACGTCACAAACTTTACCTCTTTATAATATTAGTATAGACGAGTATATTCACACACATACCCATGCACACACATACACGCACGCACACACACATGCACGCACACACACATGCACGCACACATACAACTAGTAAGTAGTCCATTGGCAATGCGCTCGCATGTAAGGCTGTACACGACGACTTTTTACAAAATCAGATAGATATTTCGCGACTTACGTTCACGCCAATAGCTTAACCATTGTTCAAAAAAGTATTAGGTACACAATCAGCGACTAAAAAAGTCCTCACTGTATGAGGGCTCATTTAAATATTTGAGCGTGCTATTTTTTTTTTTGTGAAAACAACTTTAAGCATTGCATTTACGGTTCAATCTACATCGTTGCATATTTATTTCAACTAGAATAATTACCTAAACACAGCTGGTGACAGTTTTAAGTAAACTTTTGCATGGGATTGTGTATTTACTTAGTACTATTTTGATCGACAGCTTAAACGTTTCTAAATTCACGCATAGTGTGGTCACGCCATCCTTAAATTCGAAACGAATTCCCTATGCCCACATACACATAACAATGGGAAGTTACTTATCAAGTATTAAAATTTAAAGACTGAAAGTTACAACAGACGTCGGCCATACCTGATGCCCTCAATGACGGCGGCGGAGAGGTCGAGCGTGGCCACGTTGTGCGTGGGCCGCACCAGCCCGTCGCACAGCGGCGGCACGCGCGCCGTGTGCAGCGCCTCCAGCGACACCGCGTGGAACACCTGCACGCACACGCACACACATCATAGTACACTGTAGGCAGGCGAAGGAATTGCTTCCTACCATTAACGCCAAAACCATAAACCGTCTGATCAATCTCCATAGATCTCAACTCAGACCGATAACCGCGGCCGTAACAGGCCACGGACCATACAATAAACATCTATACATATAATAAAATTGTAACTAAGCCGAATCTGTACATTAAATATTTTTTGGAAAATCTTTTTGAAATAAACATTATTATCAATACGGAGGCCGAATCTATAGTCTTTAGAATTTTTGTCTGTCTGTCTGTCTTTCTGTTACCGCATCACAGAAAAACCACTGGAGGGATTTTGATGAAATTTCGTATGGAAATAGCTGGTTATCTGGGTCAAAATGTAGGATACTTTTACCCTGGGAAAATATCTTATTTCCGAGAAAAATACAAAAACTGCAATATAAGAGTATACCAATATGTAAAACCTAAGAAGTCTATTTTAACATAGGTATAACGGCACCCCTAGAACACTCCCGCAAGTTTTCAGCAAGACGAAGAGATTGCTGAAATTCCTGGAGGAACTGGATTGGCAAGAGTAACACGAGTGAATAATTTCCCAAACACGCAAAATAGGACGCACAGACGTCGAATTGCGGAAACAAGCCCCAATATACCATACCATAAACACATGATAATATCCTCCTGATTGACTTAGTCTACGGCGGCCAGTCTCACTGAGACAAGCCAACTGCGCAGGAGATATTGCAGTGGACAAATGTATGCGCAAACACAACGTGCACTGTCTATTTCTGTCACTCTCATACTACAGTGGGACCGCCAACTTCCTAACGCGATACTGTTACTAAGACTTTCTAAACATAAAGACTCAATAACTAGTTTGCCTGACTCGGGACTCGAACCCAAACGAACCCACCAAACCCGTTTTCCACATACACATATGCTACTAATATTATAAACGGGAAAGTTTGTGCGGATGGATGTTCGTTGCTCTTTCACGCAAAAACTACTGAACGGATTTTGATGAAACTTTACAATAATAAAGCAAAGTAACATAAAGGCTATAATTTATTAAGGTAAATAAATTATAGCCTATGTGTTACTATATAATGAAAAAAGTTTTATACACTAAAACTACACGTGCGAAGCCGTGTGTAAATAAATGAATGAAATGAATGAATGAACGAAAATTAATTTAATTATAAAACACGCACCTTATTGACAGTATTGCTGGTGCCCACCACCTTGATGTACTGCACCACGCGCCCCTCGAAGTACAGGTTCTGCCAGGAGCGGCAGAAGTAGTTGCTGTGGTCGATCACGCGCACCCAGTCCTTCTGGTCCACGGACACCTCTATGTAGTACGCGTACGACCTGCGTTAGGCGAGAAATTATTCATTACTATTATTATAAAATATACTATACGCTTTTAACCAATTCTAATGTAATAAGAAATGTTCCTCCTGAATGATTTCGGCCAAGGCAGCCAATCTCAGTAGTGGACGATGGTCTAAGCCTTTTTGCTTTTAGGCTTGCGCCAAATGGATTTAAAGTGATAAATTACTGTTATTAATAATATGATAACAATATAATAATATAATTAACCACTAGTCAGATGTTAAACTTTTCTGACTTTTTCACTTCGATTTCATGTCGATAGTGGGGGATTCGTATAATATCTCCTGCGCAATTGGCTAGACTCAGTGCGATTGGCCATAGCTAAAATCAGAAGAACAATCCATACTAATATTATAAATGTGAAAGTGTGTTTGTTTGTTTTTTCTTTCACGTCGAAACGGAGTGACGGATTGGTGTGATTTTTTGTGGAAATAGTTGGACGGCTGGAGTGACATAGACTACTTCTTATCGCGGAAAATTATCTAATTCCCACGAGACAACAGATTGTAATACAATTCAAAATAATATTTATTATTAGCATTTCTTGAAACTTGATATAAATGCTCTTCAATAAAATTAAATAAATAGGTGTTTTAGCATTTTTCGAAGTTCATCCTATAACGGGGTAAAATAGGGGATGAAGGGTTGTATGAAACTACCTCTTTAACGTTTTTTTTTTTAGTTTTAGAGCAAACGAAGCCGAAAAGATAGTTATTTTTAATACTAGTAGAAACTAGTATTAAATAAAACTATCTTTTCGGATGTAACCAACCAAAAAATCAAAATAAATCCGCGAAAAAATCCGAAAAGATAAGTTTTATTTAAAATGTCAAATATTCGCGTAAATCTAAGAAAGTATTATGAGAACAATTTTACTCAACCTAAACACATTTCCCAACACTAAACAAGAGAAGGATTAGGACATTACCTGTTATCCCTATCCCACAGCAGCAAGCGCACGTGGTTGATGATGGTGGGCTCGGCGAGGCGCACCACGATGCCGGGGTTGTCGGGCGCGTCGGAGATGGTGTGTCGCGTGTAGCCGCGCTCCATGTCGTAGGTGTCGGTGTCGCCGTCCAGCAGCGCGGCGCGCATGTCGCCGGCCACCACGCGCGCGCCGCGCTTCGGGGTCGCCACGTTCTCTTCTGGCACTGGCGGGTTTTCGTTAGATCCTTATCTAGTTTGAGCTTCATAGTTTTGTGGAAAGACTTTACGGTCACTTTTACAGTCTTCTATTATTATTTTACTAGGGCTCACCCTAGTGTGTCCTTTATAAGTGTCCTTTATCCTTCCCGGGGTCTCAAACTATCTTCTTACCAAATTTCATCTAAATCGGTTCAGTAGATCCAGAAATTACCCCCTACAACGTGACGAGATGACGTCTTAGATAATAATGTAAGGCCACGAATCCGAATATCCTGAATTCAAGAGTTTAAGTCCCGAGTCGGGTCTTGTACTAGATTTTACTTCAATATATTAATCTGTATTAGCCCGGAGTGAGAAAATTGGCGATGTCACACCTCCGTAGTACGGCTATGTATGTATATCGCACCAGTCCTACTCTACACTTGATAACTCACCACGAATGTCGAAATGTCGCACCAATAGTTTGAGAATGAAAGGATTAGAATGTGTTTGTACACACACATATTGCACTATAATACCTCCTACTACATGACTAGAGTCTCGGTAAAAGATGCGCTGTATTCAAAAGTTCACAATAGTTAAATAATTTGTATAATAGAGTAATTTTATCACTTTGAATGGGACAATAGCTAAAATATATATTTTAATACATTTTTTATTACATAAATAATAGTAATCGATAAAAAAAACCCAAATATAATTCTGAGCACTTCCGAAATAAGAATGACCCATGGATAATCAAAAAAAGAGAGAGTCGGTGAGATTGTGTGCTATCAATAAAATTTGATCAAACGTTTTTTTAATGTGTTCATTCAATTCAATAAGCACTACCCGTGGCTCCGTTTTTATGGTAAGTACGACGATGATTAAGACATAGACTATTGGCCATTTTTTAATCTATAGTATAAAAAATAAAAGTTATGTGTATGCAAACATTTAAAAATTAAATTAAATTCAAAGTTAGGATATTCTCCCATTACGCAACACTTAGGATACAATACTCAAGTCGCATACTAGCTGAATACTTTTTAGCAACTCGACGTTCGCACATTACGCTACTGAAAAATAACAAAATGCATCATTTTATTCGTGTTTTTTGATTGAACGAAGTTTTTCGAGATGCGTAGGAGACGCGCCGCGCAGACCGCGTTACCGGTAGCATAGTGTCCGAGCACCGATACAATTTACAAATGTATGTGCGATACTCCGCGGCGATTAGTCTCCGGGACTAGCAAGATACAAGGAGTCGCCTGGGCGTATCGTACTGGGAGATGGGCCTTAGACCATCAGTAGGTACTCACAGAGCAGTCCCCGGTGACGCAGCTCCGTGCTCTTGGTCTGCGTCTTCTCCTGTATGGCGTCCAGTAACATGTCGGGAGTCACGAGCGCGAAGGGCCGTACAATGGTCAGCAGCTCCTCTAGACTCATCAACGTCAAACGCACGCACTTTAGGATTTTCTCCTAAGAACAATGTGTACATGTATAATATACGACACGTTTGGCTCAGTGTGTAGTAACCCTACTTGCTGTGCCAGTGGTTGCGGGTTCGAGTCCCGCTGGGGGCATTCATTTGTGTGATGAGCACGAATGTTTGTACTCCAGTCATGGATGTTTATATTTATAATATGCATGTATTTAAAGTTATATATATATATATATATATATATATATATATATATATATATATATGTAGTGTATCAACTATCTAGTATCCATAGCACAAGCCTCGTAGCTTCGCTCGTATACGTTCGCTTCGTACTCGTAGCTCGTTATAATCAATTACACAACATTCTTCATTATAAGTTACCAAAAAAGTGTCGAAAGTGAAAATTTTGGGTTTGAGTTGGACGGAGTTAAATTTTCAAAATCCTCTTAACAATACAAAATGGAAGTTCCATAGATTCAATTTCAAAGTACTTTTAAGAACTTCAGCAACTTATCAGCTTACCAAATAATAATAATAAAGGTTGTTCTTAATAAGCCAGTTGAAAATGCGTTAAGACAAAATTTGTCCAAAGAAAATGTTTTAGCTATTTTTTCAACCTTACCACGCACATTAGTAAAGAATTGTAAAAAGCATTCAAATAATCTCAAATTAAACGATCCGTGACACATTTTTTTGATATTGTTTTTTTTTTATGTAAAACAAAATAATTTTGCCTCATTTTGTGTAAAAAACCATATGTACATGAAACAAAAATCTCCTCTTGCTTTGAAGTCGGTCAAAGAATTTAGTTTAAAAGTAGTATTGAGTCAGTAAACTCACCACTTGCGCCATGCCGCTCTCGGACTTCACCCACTGCTGGTTAGCGTTAAACCAGTTGCAGACTGCCTTGAAGATGTCCACTTCTGGCGCGAAGAACGAGTCCCGCTCCAACAGACCTTGTAATGCTTCCTGTCCAATAAGAATTAAAACACAGTAAAAACATATTTTTTAAGTAATGGCTTTTAACTTATGATGACGGACATGTATGGCTCAGTTTGTAGTGACCCTACTTGCTGTGCCAGCGGTCGCGGGTTCCAGTCCCGCTGGTGGTATTTCTTTGTGTGATAAGCATGAATGTTTGTACTCCAGTCATTTTATGGTGTTTATGTTTATAATATGTATATATTTAAATTTAAATATGTGCAGTGTATCAACTATCTAGTATCCATAATGCATGTCTCATAGCTCACCATGGAACCAAATGGTGCTGTGTGTTAATGTCCCAATGTATTTACATATTTTTACATTTAACTATATGTAAACTTTTTTAGCAGGTCAGAATGTCTATAAATTAACAGTACTGTTGCATTTTGTTCTGTAAACATGAAACACTAAAGCTCAATAAAAATATCTATATATACAAATACATGTATTATTATTTGTAAACTTAAAAATTGACTAAGAATTTATTTTACACCAGCGACTCACCCCCTTAAGGTTTAGTATAGATTTCTCAGAGATGAGATATTTTCAATCAATTCAATCAGTAAAAAGTATCCTATATGTTGACCTGGATAACCAGCTATCATACCAAATTTCATCATCAAAATCTGTCCATTGGTTTTTTCGTGATGCATTGACAGAAGTACAGGCAGACAAAAATTCTAAAAACTATAGATTCGGCCTCTGTATTTATAATAATGACCATTTCAATAAGCTCTTCCAAAAATATTTAAAGTACCGATTGAACTTAGAATTTTAAATAATAATATTGTAAACTCTTTATTTTACAATATAAATATTGTAAACTAAAGAGTCAAAGTCAAATGTGAAAGTTTTTGGACTTATGCAAATATATACTTTAAAATTACTCCGAATATATTACAATAATATTTTAATATATTGTTAGCTGTATCTCAAAAGTAGAGGGAGTTACGAGTGACAAGCCCTATATAAGACTATGAAAACCAGCGCCGCGCTCTCTTCTCTGGTTAAAAGCCGTGCGCTCGTAGACTCGAAAAGATCAATTCAGAATACCGTATTTCGAAAATTTGTCATTGTGTGATTTTATTAATATTATTTTCTTTTGTATAAATTATAATCATTTGTTTTGTAAAATTATATTTTTTTAAATTAAATTTACTTTTAAATTATAAAAATATACTCAGTAGTCAGTACAGTACTCACAACAGATAGCTGGAGGAAGGTGTCATGTTGCAGGACCTCTTTGGCGTTCTTGTCGAGGTAATTGTAGCAGTAGTCCATCAAGGCGTCTAGGCCGTACAACCTTAAACCAACATACAACACTATATTATTCACAACAAAAAAAAAAACAATTATATTTATCATTATGTAATTAAAAAATAATATTTTAATGACAAATAAAAATTGACAATAAAGCAAAAACATAGCATTAAAAATTTTAATTGAACTAATAACATTTTTACAACTTTTGTTTCATTTTTATAACTCTACAGTGGTACTTATTAAAATGAATATTAACAACAACTTGGAGGTATGTGACTGAAGACCCAAAGAGGCGAAATTGTTACCTCCATGCCAGAGACCCTCGCCGAAATCGACAACAATATTATTAATGCATACGCATACTACTCTTTCATACGTTATAGTATTATGATCATATTAATGATTATCATTAAATTATTTAATATAATATCTTACCTAGCAGCATCGAGGACAGCACACACATTCCTTAAAGCAAGAACTTGCCGCAGATAATCTGATATGGCTGTTTCTAGCTCCTGGAAGTTGAACTGATGGGCCAGACCCAGCATATCTAGCACTGTGTCTTCTCTGAGCAGGGATAGTCCCATATGTCCTATACATGAAAAAAAAAAATTAAAAAAGAAGGAAAATCTACTAATGTATGCAAGTAATGATGATGTCGGCCTCAGCGACCAATCTCACTGAGACCAGTCAACTGCGCAGGAGATATTATAGTGCGAACGCAGTGTGCACTCTCTATTCTTGACACTCTCACATTCGTTAAGAGATCAGGCGCGACTGACGCGAAATATCCACGGTACGTGGGTAAAACAATTCGAACTTCCTTACACCCGCCTGTTATTTTCTTAATATGTTGAGCCACAAGCAACCTTTTTTTTTTGTTTACACTGGGGAAGCCCATCATGGGGCCGGCCGTCAATGGGTAGGGTACTGTGAGACTCCTACTCACTAAAACCCACAGCGGAACCCGTCGCCGTAGTGCAATGGGGTGTTGCAGGATGAGCCACAAGCAACCTAGACCAACTAGGTAATTTAAGTGCATAATAATAAAATTATGTATATATGTCACTCCACTTACCAGAATAAACATACCGCAACAGTGCTTTAAATGCTAGCAGTGGCGCTTGTAATTCTACTTCTGCCTAGAAAAATGAAAAAGACTTACTTTTTTTACTTTGGACACAAACACTCAAATAGGAATAAGAAGTATGTATTTTTTTATATAAATAAAACAAAATTGCATTGAAATATCAATGAAGACTACTCAAAAACAATCCTAGTTTAACTTTCATAGATTTTTTTGACATTTTAAATAAAACTATCTTTTCGGATATTTTCGCGGATTTATTTTGATATTTTGTTACCCGCCGTTTTGAATAATTTATTTTTGTCGAATAATTTGTTTTATTTAAATAATAGTAGTGTTAAGACTTTTGACAGAAAAATACAATAAATAAATAAAAAATCAGGCTCTAAAATTTAATTCTAACGTTTTTGCTTGTCAAATCAAATCAAAAAAGCCCAAATTCAAAATATCTTCTAGTAGCCGTGAGAGAATTCAACTATCCACCTTCTGGTATCAGATCAGCTCTATGATACCAAATCACTGCACCATCAGCGGAAATATAAACACTTGCAAAGTTTCAAGTCAATATGACAATTAAAAGTCTGTCAAATTTTTATTAGCTATTTTTCTACCCTTAGGGCTGGTAGTTTTTCTTCAAATTTAAATGAGACCAAACGGGAAGTATATACTTACAAACAAAAAAAGATTTTTCCAAATCGGGTAATAAATGACAGAGTTCTGAGGTAACAAACATTAAAAAAAATACAACTGATTTGAGAAACTCCTCTTTTTTTGTAAGTCGGGTAAATCATAATAAGATGCAAAATATTTCATAAAACAAAATTAATCACCTGATTAGCTTCCCTCATGCCTCCATATAATAAAGCTCTAAAGTAATCACTGCTTGCTGCAAGGATGACTTTGTGAGCAGGAATCCTTTGCCCCTCCACTATGAGAGTTACATCTGAGTACTCTGAAGAAAGACACAAGGACCCTATGTGCTCTGACAAGTGACCTAATAAATATTTTCAAAATTAAATATAAAAAGCAAAATCATTTAATAAAAATGGCAATCCAAATCATTTTTACAATATAAAATTTATATACATTGTTATTTATGTATGTGATATTTTAAATAAAACTAATTTTTTTTTGGGATTTTTTCACTTTTATTTTGATTCCCAAATTTTTCCCATTTCAAATGCATATAGCATTTGAATCATGCTATCATCAACCATCATAGACAATCATGTGACAGGAGAGATCCAACTTATTTAATCCAAAAAAAGTAGTTTCATTTAAAGTAAAATTGATATGATTTTAGATTAACCTGTTGATTTTAGATTAATAACTTAGTATAGAGTTGTAAACCCTATACTTTTGGTTATTGTATAAAATTTTAAAACAGGAAGAAAACATTTTAAAAATGTGTATTTATAAATACAAATTAACCATTTATGTATATTATATTTTAAAAAGTAGTCTAAATTGATCTAAATTTTATCTAAAAATTTAAATGGGACCAATTCATTTAAAATTTGGAATTGGTTCACTGCACTAACTACACACAAATAAAATCATACACTCAAATTGAGAAACTTCTCTATTTTTAAGTGGTTTAAATAAATGTAAAATAATCAACATAATATGCTCAATAAATATTATAATTATTAGTTAGTATAAGTATAAATAGCTTAAAGTACTTACTGATATGTTCAATATCCCCTATTCTTGAGCTGGAGGTGCTCATATACTGGTGTTGGCTGCTCATATTGCTCATCTACATAAACTTTCTTATTTCTGTTATAGCAAATTATAATAATAAGAACATTTAGCAAAATTAAATTAAAATTTTGTGGGTCTTTTAATAATTAGAGAATATGTAAGGTTATATAATTCACACTAATAAAATGTAATTATATTACCTATTAATTTGTAACAGAAAATTATTTATAATACTAATATAAAAACTAACATTAGCAAATAAAAATAATACATGTTTCCATTTGAAACTTCATAATGAGAGAGAAATTGAATAACGATAATATAATGTTTGTATTCATAGTAACTTAAAGTAATTGAAAAAATATAAACTAAAAAAACTTATGGGATATTTTTTTTAATCCCAGGTAGGGTATAAATTTATAACAAAATGTTATAATTAACTAGCAGTTTTATTGATATTTTATGCCAATGCTTCCTCATTTATTCGATAAGACCGACACTGAATTACTTAATGGAGTGAAGTAGTAATATCGCAATAAAAAAATACCTTGTATAATAAGCCACTGCAGCAATTTTTCAATAACGTTTGATGAAAAATCAAGTAAGTCATAAAATAATGAGTAAGTTTTTTCTGAGTTAATATGAAATAAATAATGCAAAAACCATTTTTATAACTAATTTAAACGTTTTATAACACTTAGCACATATTATTTAATGATTTATTTAGTATGTTGCAAAATTTCTTTGACATTTGTTTTGTTATTGAAATCATAGATAATAAAATGACTTTTGTAAAATATAGATTATAAATACATTGCTGCATGCTTTAGAATCTTGAAGCACAAAGCAATCTTACAAGTTACTCAATCACGCCAGAAAGGCAGAACGGATCTGGGTGAAATTTGGCACAGAGACAGATTATTAAAAATGTACGGTTTTTGTGGGATAGTCATTATTTTTTACTAGCGACGAACCCGATCGAAACGAGGGTGAGCCCCTAGTCTATTATAAAGTTTAAATGTTTGGTCAATTAAGTTCAGTCATCCATGATATCTTTTTATAGCAATGTTAACCCATATTTAATGATATATTACTTTATTAAAAAACAATCTTATATAATATTCCTTCTATCCATTTTCACGTACACACACGGCGAATATTCTGCTACATAGCAGATCTTCGTTCATATGCTTTAATGTAACTAATGAATAATGTAAGCTTTCGTAAAGCTGAATTACGCATGTAACGGTTTGCACTTATCATCTATTATCTACTACGTAAGGAATTGACGAAGTTCATCAGTAGTCCATGTCAAACTGTTCTACTTAAATCTCTGGTCGGTTTTCTGATTACCTGCAATCGTATATAAGTTCTCAAGAGATATGAAGAAATCGATTGAAGTTTCGGAGAAGAGGGAAAGTCCGGAGTTTAATATTTTAGTTACAGAGTTCGAAACTATCGTTTTCATTTTTTTGTCTTTTGTCTTTCTGTTTGTCTGTCTGTCTGTTTGTCTAGGAACGCATCACCAGAAAGCCTCTGGACCAATTTTGATAAAATTTGGTATGATTCGGGTCAAAATATACTATACTTTTTGCTGCTGTAAAATATCTAGTCTCTGAGAAATCTATACTAATCGTTAAAATGTACCTAGGGATGATCCCGAGCGGATCGAGGATGAGTCGCTAGTTATTATATATGGGGTACTATTTAATTTAATATAGTTGTAAATTATTTTTACTTTTTATTATTGTACAGGTATCCAATTTTTTTCATAACGGAAACTCGTAGCGGGAAGATGATATTGTAAACTTGTTTATGATCTATTTCCGCTATTTCCGATGATAACTCATAACATACCTATACTTATTATACATATACCAAGCTTTATAAATAGTTTAATGATGATTTACAATAACTGAGATTGATCTTTATTAGAAAAACTTAACTGTATAAAAAGACACTGAACAAACATAGTATTATTTTTAACAAGTATACTTTTTTTTTAATATTACGTAATATATTTTAACAATAAATTGTGCATAAAAAATAAACTGTTTAAATTTTGCAAAAAAGCTGCTGTTATAGTATAACAGCGTTTTAACTGCAATCATAATATAAATTTAAAAACTCGGAATCAGTTAAATAAAGTCTTATCAAAAAAAATTCAATTGCAGATAGTTTAAATATATATTTATAATTGTACTTATATCGGCCCAATTCTTTTAGCTGAATAATCGGGCGCGAAAGCTTCGTCATAGGAACACTCGCTTCCTATTGGTGTAAAATTTCGAAAGTACCAACATAACAAATACCTGTTCATTTTGGTTATGTTGTCAGAATTATTACCAGTTGTGTAGGCAGGTAAAATTCGTCGCTTTGCTGAATATAATTTATTTTTCTTTAATGGTTTTCTATACGATAATGACTGTATATTGCTTAGAATAATACCTGTGGAAACGTTGTATTTGTTAAAATACTGAAAGGTAAGCGGCAAATTAGTGTTTTAGTGTTTCACGAACTTTTCTTTTTAAAAGGTTCTAGATCTGCAAAAGTAGCTGCACAATTGATAGAGTGCGATACTCGCAAAAGAAAATTGTAACATTTTCTTTAGTAACAATGATTACCAAATTTTTCTAAAAATATTTTATGACAATTTAATATACAGATTTAATAACTTTTTGACTTATTTGGAAAACATTGAAGTGTGGTCCGTTGAGGTAATTCTTACATTACAATTTTTTATTTTTATATGCGTTACAGGTCGGAAATAATGAATTGTAAAGGATAATTAAACATTTGTAATGTTGTCGCATATGTTTTCGGTGTTGAGAAATGGAGAGACAGCAGTGTAATTCACTTCAAAACTTTGATGACCCGAAAACAGAAATTTTGAAAAAAAGATTATTAAAAGCAGCTAGCAATTCCGCGAGCACAAATCTATCTCATAGCAACTCGCAGCATAATGTGCTATTAAACTCATTGCGCGTGAGTTATATTATTATAAGGTGATATAAGGTGGAAAATAATTGTCCTCAATGACATTGTTTACCATTTTTCAGGCGCCAATACCGAGCAGTATGATCATGTCCTCAGTGCAGGCGCCGCAGAGCTCGATGCCTATTACTCACAATTTAGTCACACACTCAATAGCTCCTGTAAAAATTCATGCCAATAATTCACCGTATCCACTGCAGTTATCCACAGTGCATGTGCCAGTGCAAATACCGGGATCCACGTCGAATATTAACGTGCCAGTCCAGTTGTCAGGTGGAGCCAGTAGTGTGCCATTGCAAATAGCTCCGGTAAGTCTTCCTCTGCAAGTTTCTGGTACAACAAATGTGCCTGTGCAGTTACCAGCGGGAGACACAATTAATGTACCACTACAAATCCCTAATGCTAACCAAAATATTCAACTCCCAACTTTGCCATCCATGCCTCTTCTCCAAAGCCCCAATCAATCTCTTCATAGCTCCATAATTCATGTACATATGGGCTCAAATCTTCGGCCTAATATTGATGGTAGTACAGATATGAACATGTCTAATTCCACGCAGCTTCTGCCAGATTCTGTGAAAATGAACAATCCAACATCTGTGTCTCAAGTGCAAGTTGGTTCCAACTCTGCTGTGGTGCAGTTACCAAACTCCTCTAACAACTCCATTCAACTGTCTTTACCGAATTCTACAAATACTGGAGTGCAATTAAGAGGAGGCCCGAGGCCTATGCCTCATGTAGTATATATACAAACTCCAACTGGATTAAAACCTGTATCTAGTACAGATGTCATCAGCCAAGCAAGTACAAGTGGAAACCCGCCACAAATAATTGTCAGAAGACCTGTAAGTATCTGCATATCACACAATAAATATTTTGCTAAAAAGTACAAAAATATTTAATTATTATTTAGCTTTTCTTGCTATAACATTTTTTTTAAAGATTAACTCGTAAAGAAGTTGTGAGATGTCATTAGTATTTTTAGATGCATATTTATGTAAACTTATCAGTTATGTTTTGTGTACATTTAATATAGGGCAATATATTCAAAACAATTGTTATTATAGCATAGACTTCAACCATTTTTTTAAACATTTGGGTGAATATTATTGAAGTATTAGTACCAAATACCAATATACTTTTGACATTGACAGATTTTTTGTTAATAATTCATAAAAGAATTACATGAAATATCTATAAGTGATGTTTTTCCTTTAAAATATTGTTAGTCATTTTAAAAGTAATGAATATTTTACAATTTTTAAACATAGCATTTAAAAAATATATTCTTTGTGTTAATAACAATCATACATTATATTATAAGAGCTTCTTCAAATCTGTATAAATAAATCAAATCTACTAATTTTTATATGACCATTTCTTATAAAGATTTATACATAATAATCTTTAAATAGTAACATTTTCAAAAAGTTTTAACTTTATTTTTTTTAAATAATTCTATATAAAATTAAAAAAAAAGTTACTACTCATATGATATAATTATATTTTTAGCTCTTTAATTAAATGTATTATTAAATGCTATTATTTTCTAGTTGGGTTTTTTTATAATAAAATATTACATATCTGAAATCACCATAGTTTTAATTTGCAAACTTTTATATTATTTTAATGGATTACAATATTTACAATTTTAGATTTTTATTATATGAACAGAATTTTAATACTATTAATATATTTCAGGTAACAAGTAACCCTAACATACATTTAATATCAAATGTTGGTTCTAAACCTAACATAGCACCAAAAATATCAACACAAAATAAGTCAATACTAGCACCAACAAATACTGCACAGCCAATAGTAATTCAGAAGCCTAAATGTAATGATAAGATGATGGTCCCAGTCAGTATAGCTCCTGCCGGCAAACAGGCTATATATTTAAGTTCTGTGAAGAAACCCAACCCCAAAAATATATCAGAAAATCAATCAATTCTTATATCCAGCAACCAATCAAATGTAAACTCGAATAATCAAAAGCTTTTCTTAACTCCGATGAGTATGCCGAAAATGCAGCATACACAAAACACAAAATTCATTCTTCCCGTGACATTACCAGCTACAATGGCCTCCAAAGGGCCCATTATAAATCTTCAAATATCAAATGGTCAAATCCAAAATGATCCTCAAGGCAATATAACTGTTATGAGAGATACGATGGAAGCTTCAGATATGCCGCCATTACAACCTTTAGCTAAAATTATGCCGGTCAATGGGAAAGATTGCGTGCCTCATAGTCCAAAGGGGGAAAAGTCTTTCGCTTTATCAATACCTGGTTCACGAGCGGAACCTACCGGGGAACAAGGAGAATACACGCTCTCCATTCCGGAGACAAATGCGTCTATGAATGATGATATATACACAGTGTCCATAGCTGATGAAGAGGGTGGACTAACACGCGAAAAGTTCACTTTAGCAATACCGGAGAAAGGAAAAAGTTTATTGACTAAAAATTTAATTGATAGAAATGATTTGGGACCGGTCACTATCGCAGCGCCCGCAATATTACGTCGTTCTAACTCTGATAATAGCGATCGGAAAATGGCGAACGCTAATATAAAGAGGCGTATCTCATTGTGTACGGAAAGCATGTCAAATAAGAACTTAAAATTCACTTTGCCACAACCCAAAATAATAAGTAAATCTGAAGACCACATAGATGGAGACGGTAATGATGACCATCGAGTGCCTTCATTATTCTGTGACGAAAAGCTAGATAAAGATCTAGAAGCTAAAGTTATTATGGGAGATTCAGATGTTGAAGAATATAAAGAAAAGCTGCAGATCGAAATAAAACCTGACATTTTGTATTACCCAAATAATGAAAACTTTCCATTAAAGAATGAGTCAAAGAATCCCGAATCTACAACAGAAGAAAGTCTTCCTGGTTTGATATGGCACAACGGAGTAGCTCAACTTAGAGGAAGTAACTTGCAGTTCAAGACAAATGAGTTTGGTCTTATCGACCTTATCGAACAGCCCAATCAGAACGCTATAGGAAATCCAAGTACCAAATATCATACGCCGTTAAAACAACGCATGGAGAGAAGTAGAGATAAAAAGCCAACATCTCCCGAGGACTTGTATCGTTGCGACGGATGCGGGTGCCACGGGATGGCTGCGGAGTTCATAACACCTAACTTCTGCAGCGTCACCTGTCAAAACGAGGTACAAAAAGTGACACAAAAGAAAAAAGATAAGGAAAGAGCTGAATTGGCAAAGAAACGAAATAAGGTCAAGAAGTTACTAATGCGAAAACAACATTCAGACACAGATTTACTTAAAGACGGTAAAGATGATAAGGTACCGCTGAAGCACTACGATTCAGCCGAAGTTCAAATATCTGAAGCCTTACTACTGAAGATGAGCGAGGACATGATAGAGAACGAGAAATATCCATGGATGTGTGGGAAAAATGGTTTTTCGTGGATGCGGTATCTCGACGTTTGTAAAGCTAAAGCCGCACCTGTGAAGTTATTCAAAGATCCCTTCCCATATAACAAAAATGGGTTTAAAGTTGGCATGCGGCTAGAAGCTATTGATCCGCAGCATCCTTCCATGTTCTGTGTAGTGTCAGTGGCCGAAGTTCAAGGGTACAGAATGCGATTGCACTTCGACGAATACCCAGACATCTACGATTTCTGGGTGAATGCAGATTCGATAGATATTTTCCCGCCGGGCTGGTGTGAGAAGAACAACAGGACGCTGAAGCCGCCGGCGGGCTACGACTCGTTCTCTTGGCCGTTATACTTGAAGCAGATCCGTGCGATAGCCGCGCCCCGGCAACTCTTCCCACATATTACTACTGCGGTAAATACATATTGTTATTATTATACTAATCAATGGCGGCCTTTTCGGTTTGATTTGATGGGTTTTATTATTTTCCACTTCAGACTTCTTATACAAATTTTATCACCTCTTATCAGTAAGAATTAATTTTTTAAAAGATTCTAACATAACCAATGCTCATATTTATGATAAGCAATTTTATAAACGTATGTGATATATATAATAAAAATGAAATGCTGTTTGTTAGTTGACGCATCACTTGAGCACGGCAGGATATACATGGCAATTTTTTTTTAATTTTTATTATAGTCTGTATATGATTTTTAGGAAAAATATTTAAAAAGTTGTATGGAAATATGTATATTAATTTAAAATAAACATTAAAATCATGAATAACTTCTAGTAGGACAAGTAAATCTAATGCACGTACATATTTCCAGATATTGAAACCCAACAACTTCCGAGTGGGTATGAAGCTGGAGGCCGAGGACCGTCAGAACGAGCTGATCTGCGTGGCCACAGTGGCCAGCATGCTGGACAACCGGCTGCTGGTCACCTTCGATAGCTGGGACGACATGTACGACTACTGGGTGGACCCCACTTCCCCCTACATACACCCCGTGGGCTGGGCTGAGGAGAATGGGGTTGGATTGACACCACCTAACTGTGAGTGCGCTTTGTTTTTTTTAACTGACTGTTAAATCGATTTTCATAATTATTGAAGTTATACTTCTTTTTGCACGACATGATGGAGTTTACATTCCTTTTACAAACAGAGTTGTGACATACGGGATGAAATCTTAAGTTATTTTTATTTTAGTATTTTATAAGTTATTGTTTCACTTTTTTTTATACTAGCGCTTTTCTACTAACTACTAGTTTTGCAAAGAAATACACTACACGAGACAGCGAATACACTAACGACTGGAAGTATAATATTTTTAATTTCATGATAAATAATAGTTAGGTACATGATGTTCTCCTGACCGATTCTGGCCACGGCGGCCAATCTCATTGAGACTAGCCAACTGCGCAGGAGATATTATAGTGCACAAGTGTACGCGCAGACACAACGTGCAATCTCTATTCCTGTCACTCTCATACTCTGGTGGGACGACTGCTCGACAGTAATAATGAGTTAAGGCGCAGGACCGACGGCTTAACGTGCTCTCCGAGGCACGGGGGTGAAACACCGCCAACTTCCCAACTCCGGGCTGTTACTGAGACTTACTATACAGAAAGACTCAATAACTAAAATTGGCCCGACCCGGGACTTGAACCCAGGACCTCCGAGTGTGCAGCCGTACATGCTAGCCACTACACCACCGAGGCAGTTATAGGGACATAATACATATATATACACTATAGGCTGGCTTATTAAAAAAAAATGTTTTCATCATTTCCATATATTTAAGGCCTTAATTGTTGCCTTAACGTTTTTCTTTACTTGTAATATATTATCATAATAAATAAATAATCTTGATCTTCAAAATTTAGTAACTTTAATAGCCAAATTATAAATTTAAAGTGCTAATTAAACGTAATAAAAAATACGTTATTGTATTGAAGGACATGCGTCGTGCGTGTGAGCAAAGTGTCGGTGAACAGTGTTCTATGCAGATACGGACACTGCTTTATTCTTCAACCTAGATTATACCTGTTTATAATAAAAATAAAAATTAATTTGAATACTACTACATTTTATTAAAATAAAAGGTTTTTTTCTAAACGGGAGGGACGATCAAGACAGATACCATGATTGCTGTAAAGCATTGGAAACGTCGGCAATCAAAAATCAAAATAAATCCGCGAAAGATAGTTTTATTTAAAAATAATTTGACTTTTATTTTATACGAGATTTTAGAACGTTTCACATTTACTTGTAATAAGTAAATAAATATATAATCGAATATTGACATTCTATTTTAAGTATTTAATTAGCGTATGGATTTGAAATTTAATCAGTATATGAAATCCGCATCACAATACAATAATTTGCGGTCATTGAGCTGATGATGATGTCAGGAGATGAACTGTAAAACTCTTCAATCCATACTTATAATATTACTAGCCTTGCCCGCGGCTCCGCCTGCGTTTACATTACCAAAAACCAAATTTTTTGGTTTTACCTCTTACAATTTAGTTTTTGTATTTTTTCTTAGAAATGAGACATTTTCCCGCAGTAAAAAGTATCCTATATGTTGACCCGGATAACCAGCTATAACCATACCAAATTTCATTAAAATCCCTCCAGTGGTTTTTCTGTGATGCGGTAACAGACAGACAGACAAAAATTCTAAAAACTATAGATTCGGCCTCTGTATCAATAATAATGTTTATTTCAATAAGATTTTCCAAAAAATTATTAATGTACAGATTCGGCTTAGTTACAATTTTATTATACATAATATGTATAGATAAACGTGAAAATATGTTTGTTTCTCGTTCTTTCACGTCGAAAAAGAGTGACGGATTGGCGTGATTTGATATAGGCTTCTTTTTGTCGCGAGAGCTTATCTCATTCCTACGAGAAAACACGTTATAATGTATATTATATATATCTATCTATTCCATACTAACAGTTAAAACGTATTTAAGGACGAACCCTAGCGAAGCGCGGATGAGTCGCTACTTGCTAGAAGCTACCAATAAAACCTTTGTTAGGGCTCATTTAGTTTTTGAGGAGTTTTATACATAACAGTATCACTACGCGTGTTGTAGTTTTTTTATATCGAATACAAATATGGCTTTATATTATTTATAGTAAATTTATTCTGGGCCGATTTTTCATCTGGTTAAATAATATATGTAAAATATAAACAATTGAGTTGTTTTATTCATACCATTGTAACATAAACAGCGTTACAATATACAACATACATACATAAATGAACTTTTTCTTTTAGAATTCGGATTAGTAAATTATACTTTTAAAAACTGTTACTTCTTCAAAAGTTACATTATATGATGTTCTCCTGACCGATTCCGGCAACGGCGGCCAATCTCATTGAGATTAGCCAACTGCGCAGGAGATATTATAGTGCACAAGTGTACGCGCAGACACAACGTGCACTCTCTATTCCTGTCACTCTCATACTCCGGTGGGACGACTTCATTATATACGTAATACGTAAATATTTTAAAGACAAACGATATTATAATGATATCTTGTTTCGACTCCTTGCAAATGGTTATACATTAGTAGTTGTTCGTAATAAATGATATTCTTTTGAATGTTTAATTTAGTTGGTTTTTGACTATTGGTGTGAACGGAAGTGGCTTTTGTGGTTGGTGTTTTTTTTTTATTTTATTTTTTTTATTATCTGCATAGATATTCTTAGATACAGCCAAGTTAATTTCGAAACAAGATATATTATTAAGTTTATTTGTGGAAAGTCAATAAATTCAATGAATTCAAATGATTGAATAAATCAATGAATTCGCTCGTACTCGGCTACATATTACTATTATACTTTGTGGAGGAATATACGTTTCTCGGATGAGATTTTTACTTTCTTTATTAAGCCATAATATATTTTTTTATTCATCTTGATACAAAACTACTTAAAAGTGTTGTCTTTTCCCATAAAATGAGAATGGACTTACAGGCAGCATTATCATTTTCCATAGGGTCATTCTCGACACTTCAGAACTAGAAATAAAACAGATTTATTTTGCAGCTTTTCAAGCTTCAGGCGTGAACTTTTATTTTGTTTTTAGGGTTCCGTACCCAAAAGGTAAAACGGAACCCTATTACTAAGACTCCGCTGTCCGTCCGTCTGTCTGTCTGTCCGTCCCTCTGTATCCAAGCTGTATCTCATGAACCGTGATAGTTACACAATTGAAATTTTCACAGATGATGTATTTCTGTTGCCGCTACAACAACAAGTACTAAAAAACAGAATTAAATAAATATTTAAGGGACGCTTAGACGCTTGAAATGTTTACAGAATATTTAGTTATATATTCACTTTAAAATTAAATAATTAAATTAAAATAAAACAAATATTTCAAGGGGGCTCCCATACAACAAACGTGATTTTTTTGTTTTCCTCGTTTTTGCTCGATATTATAGATAATGGTACGGAACCATTCGTGCGCGAGTCCGACTCGGACTTGTTTTAGGTTTAGAAATTAGAACTTTAGACATTAAGGTAGGTACTAATCTTGTCAGTCAATCAATAGGGCAATCACCTTCTGTACAGATAAGTTACTAATTAACTTACACTGCTTATTAGTCAGTTAGCCGATGCCATATACATATACAGATTAGTACTACTTATGATACTGTGTGTTTATCGGTCAATAAAAATTGCTTTGTTGCTCCAGTGGTTAGCATGCAGGCTGCAGATCTGATGGTCCTAGGTTCGAGTCCTAGATAGGGCTAGTAAAGGTTTTATGTTTTTACATTAGCAAATTCTCAATAGTAGCCCGGAGTTGGGAAGTTGGCGGTTTTCGAGTACACCCCCGTACGTAGGAAAGCACTTTAACCTGTTGGTACTACGCCTTCTCTTTGTGTTCTTATGATGACAACGGGTGTGTCAAGTGGTCATTCCATCGGACTTTGAGATAATAAGGAATACATACACTCTGTATTGTATTGTTGGTCCGTACTTGTACAATATACCTAATAACACATACGCACATGGCTAGTCTCAGTTAGATTGACCGCAGTGACTGAATCGGTCATGAGTACTTTATTATCGGTCAATCAAATCTCGGGTTGTGTAGATGTCTCCATGTACAAGATTTCTGGATTTTTTTTCTATAGTTTGTTTACAAATCTTCCTTAATTAATCATATTTAACGCTTCGTAAAATATAGATGTGTTTTTGTCGGCGTTTGAATTATAGAGGACAATAACACATACATACCTATTTATTATTTTCATTGTACTACTTGATCTTATATATTAGATATTTGTAACTATGTTAAATTAATTATATAATATACATAAATGCACTTTAATTAATATTCCCTCAACGGTGTTACAGTTAACAATAGATTTCTTAGAAAATTAATTAATTTTTTAGAAATTTACCTGGAAGTGTTGTTAAATCATGGGTATGTCTTGAATTTGCTAATCGTCAATCTAATCAGATAATTGTAGCTTTCGCAATATTGATTCTTCAAAGGCAAAAATTGATTTAAGCATAAATGTTCTAACATAAAATGTGTATTCGTTCACACTTATCGCGAAAACTAAGAATTTTACAAACGTCTTCCACAAATATTAGTCAAAGATACAAAATTTACGCACAGTTAACTAACCTTGCATAGGTAGACACGTGCCCTGTGGGCAACTCATTTTAGAACATGCTCAAACAAACTTGTTCTGTTATCAATGTCGCGTCGCCCTCGATAATGTACTTTCTTCGTGTAAAGTAATGACAGCTGATCGATTTTAGACTTATCCTGGTAAAAATAGCTGTCTTTGTGATATATATTTTTAAAGGTTTTCAATAATTATTAATAAATAATTATAGTAATATAACGATATGGAACTTGTCACCCATACCGTTTGTTTTCTGGGTTACACCTGTTGAGTGAGGTAAAAGCACTTCAAGTTTTTATACAAATTATTACAAATATTATTGTGGCCTATATTTTGATCACACCCAATTTTAAAACGTTATTTATATTTAAGCTACAACTTTTAAGTATACACATGTAATCATGAAGCTTACTTTTAATCTACATACTTCTAACTGTCGAATTTGTCTGAAACTTCGAAGTATGTAAAATACAATCTTGTAAGTATAATAACTTTTAAGTATGTAAATATAAAAAAATGTTGTCATCCATCTGATCTGATGTAATAGAGCGAGCAGGATCCATCTCTTAGCACCATCATCAGATCAGCTCTCTGTGGAACTTATATGTAGTCTTAAATAAAATTAGTAATTTACAATACATATTTATACTAATATGTATTATAAAGAGGTAAAGTTTGTGAGATTGTAGGGGGTAATCTCTGGATCTAATGAATCGATTTAGATGAAATTTGGTAAGAAGATAGTTTGAGACCCTGGGAAGGACATAGGATACTTTTTATCTCGGAAATCACCCCTTAAGGGGTGAAAATGGGGATGAAAGTTTGTATTGGGAAGCAAGCTAGGGACGAAGTTGAACGAAGCGAGGGTGAGTCGCTAGTAGCAAATCAAGTCATAGGTAATTTTATTTTATTTAATTAAATAGATTTTGAGCTTATTTGATTCGTTTCGACCAGTTTCTACAATATAACAGTTGGTCAAAAGCGTGTTTTGTTAAGTTTTTTAAAACTATTTTTGTTTAGAAACGTACAAGGACAAATTCGTATTTCGTGATATGTGAACGGCTGAGGTGCATGTTTGTTTATATTTCTGCCTGTGGGTGGGTGCTGTTCCTGGAATAGAGACATGTCTCGTTGTTAATCAAATGTAGGGCGTTGTATATTAGAACTCTTAACGTCTTTCTATAATGTTTACGAGGCAAAAAAATAATAATATTATGTGATCTTGTGGTTGGTGGTGGTGGTAGTTTACTATACATACATACAGCCACTGTGTAAAAAGCTTGACAATAAATGTTTTGAGTATAATTTTCTTTATAAAAATCATTTATTTAAGTAATGAACACTTTCTTTTCTCTTCAATGTTCTCGATAAATCAATTATGAATTACAGTCAAAATTCTAAAGGATAATTTTATTGCAATATAATATAATCAGTTTTATTATGTTTCAATACAATTCTTCACAATGCTCAAGCATATTTTATTTATTTGAGGAAAAACTAAAGACTTAAAAATCACTTTTAAATTAATTATACCAACCACTCTTAAGGGTTGATTTTTTGTTTTGAAATTAATACGGTGTGAACCATTCTTATTACACAATCTATTTATTAAACAAAAAATCATGGAACTCTACAAATATACTCATAGTGTAACATAAAAAAAAACATAAAGCCTTAATGTTTCCTCCCCATTTTCAAATTCGACCAATAAAGTGTAATTTGCTTTCAATAACTCCTGCCACCATAACCTTGGCTGTACACGGCTCATTGTGACGTATTTTAATATAATTTGATTAACTAGTAACTACATATGTTTACTGCTATAGAAGACATACAATAAAATATAATCACAAATAGCAATTAGCAGATAATATTTAGATTTATACGTTCTAAATAAAACTATCTTTTCGGATTTTTTCTCGGATTTATTTTGATTTTTGGTTCTACGAAGATTTATACGTTATACTAGAGTACTACTAGACACTAGTACTATACGTGTAAGGTTTAGTATAGTTTTCTCGGAGATGAGATATATTCTCGCAGTTAAAAGTATCCTATATGATGACCCGTATAACCAGTTATTATTATACTAAATTTCATCAGAATCTGTCCAGTGGCTTTCTCGTGATGCGTTCCCAGACAGACGGACAAAATTTCTAAAAACAATAGATTCGGCCTCTGTATCGATAATAATGACTTTCTAAAGATTCGATTCAGAATTATATATGTTATGTATTTTATTTATTTCCTAAAACAGAATAAAAGTTATTTTTAAATTTATCATAAATTTCAACAAGGTACCTAACGTGATTAAACAACGATTTTCCTTTTATACACAGTTGCATTGCTCTAAAATAAACGAAAATATTTGCTTTAGTTTCTCAACGAATGCACAAGGATATATACACAAGTATGTTTTAATCGGAGCGCTGTTTACGCGTAAATTGCCTTCCTATCAGTTGTCGCTCGCGCGTCGCTGACATATGTATGGTGTTGTTTTATATAGAATATTTACTATCAATTTATAAAGTCTACAATTATTTTTGTGAAATCCACGTTAAAAGTGATACGTGAAAATCCGGTTCTCGGTTGTTTTTGTGCGAGTTGAGCAGCCTTCAAGTTTTATTTTATCATTCAAATAAGTAAATGCTTCATATATATAATATTTATTATTATATTATTTATGAGGAAATAGATACTTTTGGTTTATAACGTGGTTTGAGAATGATCTCTGGCATTAGGTACCATAAGTATTATTTTTTTATATAAAATATTGTTTTTATTTACTACAATTTTTATTCTTTATAGAGATTATACTAGCCATAATATTAAAATATACTCGAAGATTTGCCTCTTAGCTCGCTTCATCTTAATTGCTTATTGGAAAGTTCTAAAATTATAAGTTATTTACAGTGAAGGTTGTTGAGGAACTTTTTCATACATATCTTTTTAGTATTGCATAAGTCCACTTATCATATCGTATCACCTGTAAATAAACACGTTTAAAATAAATTCAAGTGTTCTATATAGTTTATAATTATCAAATATATTAACTTGTTAGCCCCGATATCCCCATATCCCCATCCACAAATATGGAAACTTATAATTTTTGAATGCCAAATTATATTAGCAACCTGGCTAGATCACCCAGTGCCCAATAGTTACCAGTTTTTACTTTTTAATATACACTAAAGAGTATTCATATGAGTGTTCAATCAATATTTGTAAATAGATTTAAAGTGTTTGTCTATTTGTGCAAACCAAAGTTATAACTAACACCTACACTGGCGGGGCATAAGATTCAAGATGGGGACAGAGAGATATACTTTTTATATCCTGTTGAAGAAAAGAATCGGGAATAGAGGATAGAGAATATAGGTTTAATCGATTTTACAGGGTTTTTTACTTACGGCTGAGAGTCGCTTTAAAGTCGTAACTTATTACACGCAAGCGAAGTATCGGGCAAAAACGATTATTGTCTAAATAGAAATAAGTGTGCCATTCTCTATGAGGTCTTTAGCATTAAACTTAATTACTACCTACCTTATTAATCCTTTGACTGAAATGTAGCGCTAGAAGTACCAGTACCTATAATTAAATCGGACAATTTATTATTTTTAGTTTATGATGTTTGTTACACATTTGTAAGTCGTGTTCGTTTTTTTTAAACAATGTATATTTTATAGCTCATAATTCGTAGAATTTAAAATTGTAAATTACACTACCTGACAAATATCTAACTTTTTATTTTATCTCAGGTCATACTATGTGATTGTTATTTCTTGCTACATAATAGAAATAAATAATTATTTGATAGTTATCAGTCTTTCATAGTATTAATTCAATTTTTCGATTAATTTAAAAATTCACATGTCAGAAACCATATAACCTATAGAAGAAATACTTCTCGTACATGTAAGTATATAACGCCTTGAAGCAATAAAATTATTCATAAATATATAATATTATACAGCATACCTACACTTTATATGGCATAAAATGCACTTACAAATTACCAAACAACAAAACCCTTTTGTTTGTACTAATCGATAGTATGATGGATACTCTCATTTTGTTAGTCTTATTACTAATGAATGTATAATTAACAAATTATATAATTAAAACTGATATAGAAAATTTGATGTTTATGATATAAATGCATATGTAAATATGTTGAGCTTAAATAAGAAATGCCAGCTCTGAAAGCTATAGGTAATACAAATAGTCCACCCAATTTAAAATATGTATCCCGATTAAAAGAAAAACATAGAATGTTAGGCTGTTAGTTATGTGGTCACCTATCGCGGATAGTTTACTTGAGAACTAACTAAAATATTTTAACTTTGGCCCTGTAGAAAATACATGTTTTGTATTGATTCTTAAATATATTTCTTTGAAAGTACTTAAGCACGAGACAAAAAAGATATTATTATCCTTTAAACAAGATAAGCTAATTGATAAGTGAGATTGATTTACAGCTTACACCATATTGACCCCCTAAGGTCAATGATTCTTTCCTTATATTTTACTCATCTATACATATAATAAAATACTGACGCGAATCTGTACATTAAATATTTTTTGAAAAATCTTACTAAAATAGACATAATTATCGATATAGAGGCCGAATCTATAGTTTTTAAAATTTTTGTCTATCTATCTGTCTAAGAATGCACCACGAGAAAACCACTGGACGGATTTTGATGGTATGGTGATAGCTGGTTGTCCGGCTCCACGTTTAGGATACTTATTACTGCGGAAAAATATCTCATCTCTGAGAAATCTAGGTATACTAACCGTTAAAACGTACCTAGATACGAACCCGAGTGGAGCGACGGTGAGTCGCTAGTTTATTATATATATGACACAAATGTCTGTTTGTGCATTTTTTTTCTTAGTAGGAAATTAGTTACCAGGCCAGATGTTCGACTTTCTGAATATACTTATATGTCGCAAATATCGAAAAATTTGCAGGTCGCATGTATACATATATTAGGTATAACAGCACGTAAGAGTAAAAAGATTTTTTTAAGAAATGAATTTAGAAAGTACGAATTGGTAATGAGGATTTTGTTAATTATGTACGTAGTTGTGCATTTTTATGAACACTCATGATCCACATTTTAATTAGAAGTAGTATTTATAAATAAGGCCCAATTGTTTTAATTGTACCTTTTTTTTAACTTAGGCATTTAGTTTGCTTAAGGAGAAACTTACTTTACCTATCTTTAAAACTGTTCTTTGTTAAAAAAATATAGTTTTTGTAATTAATTATTTGTCTATGTACAATTTACGTGTTTTATATTATATTATTATTATATAATATTGTTCACAGATTACAAAGATCCAGACACATTTTCATGGGAGAATTACCTGTCAGAGACGATGTCGACGGCGGCGCCGCCCCGCGCCTTCAAGACCCGCCCACCCGCTGGTTTCAAGCCGGGGATGAAGCTAGAAGTAGTTGACCCTAGAGTGAGTTACTACTTGTTTATATACCAATGTCCTTCTTATTGATTTTCTATCATGGCGGTTAAATTGACTATGGAAATAAATTTTAGTCATTTTCGCGGGAGATATTGTAGTGTCAAAAATATGTACAAACCAATTAAAGTATACTTCATATTCAAATAGACTTTTACAAGTACTTTTGAATCGTTAATTTTATATTTTAAATTTAAATTAAATGTCAGTGTAGTCAGTCCGTGAGGAATCTACCACAAACAGATAGAATCAGGTACAGAGATATCAAGACTTGCGTCTACGATGATCGACTCGACGAAGCTATAATGTTGTCCTATAAGGATCCTGGATATGAATGACCAATATCGCACTACTGCTGAGAATTTCAATTCTTCTACGAAAGTATTACCATATTTAGTAACAACAACAAGCTCTTAAATTGATAGTTTAATTATATTTTTCTAACTTTACTGAGCATCTAAACAAATTTTGTACTTATTTCCCTAAATAAGAGCTAATATCTAGCAATCGTGCACTTTGCTTTCACTCAAAATAACGCAATATTATAACTATTTAGGTGTCTTTTAGGCTATGTTAGAAAGTGAAGAAACCATCAGATTCAGGTCGGTTCTGTCGGTTTACATTTGCCTATGATACACAAAAAGTATACACCCGAATTAAGTACAAAATTGACGACTGCGCCGGTCTAGACAGGCATAAGTAATCAGAATGGACGATTTTGAAAGGCCCAGATATTAAAACAATAAACCGAATGAGTGAAGAAGACAAGACAGGCCTTTTTTTTTTTTGTAACGTTGGGAAATGCATTTACGCACGACGTGTGGGACTCACCGGCGTAATACAGCCAGTACTACCCACTAAAACCCAACAAAACCTTCCCCCGTCTTAATAGGGCGTCGCAGGATCGCTTGCGCATTCAACTACGACGCCCCGACGGCAGGTCTGCCGAAGCAGACCACCACAACCATGGGGTTGCTCCACAGTCCACTCTGCTATCAGAGAAGTACCAGGAGCAACCCGCATGGTACACCGCCCCCCAAAGAGGGCCACCTCCCACCGCCCACCGAAGTGGGCAACCTCCTTGTGCGTTTCTTAGCTTCGCGCCCGGTTGGATTGCCGGGCACTACTGAGCCCCCCCACCACGACAAGGTGAACGCACGTTGGGGGGGAGACAAGACAGGCCTAAGCTAAGGTAGTTTAAGTAAAGCCGGATATAAGAATAGTTGCTATCAGAAGTTGGAGATAAACACCTGGAAATGGAGACGAATGGAAAAATATACTTTGCCAGGCCAACTCTCTCTCAAAGAGAAAAAACTCAAAAGCTCACTCGTGGTTGTAGAGCTATTAACTAATTACTAGGACTAATAGGGAATATTCGTGTGATTTAAATAAATTTATACTAATATTAATTATACTATAAAAATATACTAACATTATAAATGTGAAAGTGTGTTTGTTTGTTTGTTTGTCCTTCTTTCACGTCAAAACGGAGTAACGAATTGACGTGATTTTTTTATGTGGAGAAAGTTGGAAGGTCGGAGAGTGACATAGGTTACTTTTTATCGCGGGAGATTATCTAATTCCCAAGGGAAAACACGTTATAATACAACCTAAAAAAATATTTATGATCAGTATTACTTGAATCTTGGTATTAATGCTCTCCAATAAAATTAAATAAAAACGTGTTTTAGGATTTTTCGAAATTCATCCTCTATGGGGGTAAAATAGGGGATGAAAGTTTGTATGAAACTACCTTTTTTGAGATTTTTTGTAGTTTTAGCGCGAGCGAAGCCGCGGGTTCTGCTAGTATGTAATATAGTTATCATCGCTTACCACACATGGTAGTGAAAACGATAGTGCGTTATGGAATGCTAGATCACTACGCTCTTCATACCTTATCTACTTTGATTTGTAGATAATATATAAGTCTGTGGTAGCCTCACGGACTTACTACAATGACTTGAGTTACAGACAATTGAATGCACCTATGAGGCAATAGGGCATTATAATTTTACCCGATTAAGCCCAACAGAGGGCTATGTGTTTGATCTGAATGAATGTATATATGATAAATGCAATCGCAGTAGGTCTGTAACTATAAATTGTATTACATATATTCATGAGACTTGACATCTCTTTAAAGTACACATGCAAAGTCACAAACTCAAACTAGTTTAACATATAAAAGCCAGGGTACATTTATGATCATATTATTTGTTATTTAATTTTGTTATTTGCTTAAAAAAAGTATGAATATTAATAAAACTTTATCATTGAATATGTATAATTGTTATTAATATAAGTTAATGTAGTTTATAATTAATTATTCTACTTTTGTTTTTTAATTAGTTATTAAGGTCATATTCTGCTTATATTTTTATTAGTTCTTGAATTATTTTATTCATAGCCACCAGTTTGTTAAAAAAACGGGTAACGCAAAAAGCTTATTAGACTCGTAGTGACTGGGGGTTACAGTGTGTGAGTCAAACTACAGTCCTACGTCCAACTACAGTCCCACTTACATTTTTGCTTCTGAACTACATCACCATTTAAATAAGTATAACTATTCAATTTGGTTGTATGTTTTGTACATATATGTGAAATAATAATTATTTTATCAAAAAAGTCGTCTAAATCTATACTTATGTTATAAAAAGGCAGAGTTTTTGTTTGTTTGTTTGAACGCACTAATCTCAGGAACTACTTATCCGATTTGAAAAATTCTTTTTGCATTTTTGAGGAAGGCTATATATAGGCTATATATCATTTATAATATAGTCTATCTATTTCATATTAACCGTTAAAACGTACCTAGGGACGAACCCGAGTTAACCCGAGAAGCGAGTATATATGTACATGTAAATGCAACATAATGATGGAACAATAATATAATAAGTTATGATTTCGAAATTTATCGTTTAATAGCTGTATATAAGTTTAAAAGTAAATATGATATACATTTATATCATATATTTATAATCTTTTCAGGTACCATTTTTAATAAGGGTGGCGACGATCAGCGCGATAAAGGGTCACCAAGTGCGAGTCTCATTTGATGGGTGGCCGGATGAGTTAGCCTGTTGGTTGGATGACGACTCCCCGGACATACATCCGGTGGGCTGGTGCTTGAAGACTGGACATCCATTGGAACCACCATTAAGTGAGTGTTTTATATACCATTACTTTAAGTAAAACCTAATGTGTTAATATTATATTAATTTAGAAGAAAATGAGGTTAAAAATTCCATGGAAATGTTGAGTTTCAATTACTTTTCTTATTATATTATTAACTAGATTTTTAGTTGCAAAATATATACTAATATTGTAAATGTAAAAGTGCAGTTGTTGCTTCAGTTCTTCCTTCTTTATCAGTGTTTTCGAGAGAGTAAAATTTGTTTTTATTTGGGTATAATCAAGCACGAATACAAAAAATGAGTTGAAATAAAAGTTGTGTGAAGGAGATCATAAAATAGAAATATATGATATTTACATAAACTGTATAGTAACATGTGTACAAATATAAACTCAAAGGAACTAATAATAAGGTTTAATTCGAATCGTGTGTTGTTGTGGTGCGCGCAGCGGCTGAGGAGCTGCGCATCAGCGGGCCGTGCGGCGTGGGCGGGTGCCGCGGGCTGGGCTCGGTGCGCGGCGGCGCGCTCAAGCAGCACGGCGCCGCCTCCGCCTGCCCCTACCGTGCACCGCCGCCGCCGCCGCCCGACCGCCTCGCGCCCGAGCGCGCCATGCACAGGTACACGCTCACACACACACACGCACAAATACGCACACCCATCCAAACATTAATATATGCGTAAGCACATACTCGTACACACACGTTAACGCGCTTGTGTATGTGTGCATTCATGCACATGCAAAGTGTATATAAGAAAAGAAAAATGAATTATTATTTCAGGATATTTAATTATGTCTCTATTTTTAATTATTGCTTATTATTTTAAATGATTCCATTTTTGTTTTTAGGATACCAGTCAAACCAAAAACCATATCGACGAACACTCCCAATGAAGTTCCGAAAGAGAAGTGAGTCACATAATGTAGTTGTCAGATAAATATAATATTAGTTGACTTATGCATCTATTCGACGTTTTTTAAATATCTTAAATATAATTAATTTTCCTAAAGAAACTTATTATTATATTAATTTTAACTTTATTTGCAGACTGCCCAGAGGACGACCGCCGAAACATAAACGGGTTGAGGAAGTAGCTAAAAATGAATCAGTAAGTAACAACAAACAACACTTTTTATAATCCTTTGAAAACATACTTTTTTCTATTAGAAAGTACTAATTTATTAACAAGAAGTGTAAAATATTTAATTAACATTCAGGTATCTGATGACGAGTCCCTATCAAGTAGCGGCGGCAAAAGATGGCGCGGTAGCAGTGAAGACAATCGCGCTGTTCGTCCAGCATCTCGTCGTGATGCCACCACTCACAACTCCCCCCACCACTCGTCAACCCATTTATCCCCCCATCATTCATCCCATCAATCTCCCCACCACTCATCAATCCATCAATCACCACACCACTCGTTGACCCACCAATCATCAGTGCACCACTCTCCAGCCCGCCACAGCCCGACGCTTGCCCATCAGCTGCCGCACCCGCCGCGGGCGCTGATCGCGAGGCATATGGCGGACTTGGCGCTACCATCGGACCCTGGCACTTGGACACAAGTAATTAGCAGCACATAGTTCAGTTTTACAAAAAAAAAATATTTTTACCATACTTTATAATTTTTTTCTAAATATTAAAAGGAGTCTAAATTTTGAGTTTGAGTGAACAAATTGAATAGAGCTCGAACACTAATCATGCTTCATCATATTATTCAACATTTTCTGTCAACTAATATAAAAACAAAGATTTGTATGTGTATTATTTCACACTGAAATGGCTAGACAGATTTGGACGAAGTTTAATATACAGATAGGTGTAGTATATACATATGCGTCTGTTAAAGCGCCCTTCTCTCAATCAAGTCTCTTTTGATCAGTTTTATTAATTAAAAAAATAACATCATAAATTCCAGAAAGACGTAGCAGCCTTACTATCCCGGATAGCGGGTGCAGCGGTGGGCGCGGCGGCGGCGGCGGCGCGGCTGTCCGGCGCCGAGCTGGTGATGGCGTCCTGCGAGGAGCTGGTGCAGTGCCTGCGCCTCCGCCTCGGCCCCGCCGTCAAGGTGTACGCCACCGTCCGCCACCTCCGGGACTCGCTCTCGTGATCGCGGGCCCTCGCGCACGCCCTCAACGTGCTCGTGTAAACAGACAGAAGAGACTAGTGATTGTGTTGTGTTCTACTTTACTATGGATGAATCTATAGATTATGAAAGTAAGATATGTGAATACAATTGTGAAATGCTATCTGATTTGTTTTGATAGGTATATCTCGAAGGATTTTTAATATTGGTGTTCATATTAGTAAGTGAGATTTTTCAATTTCTATTTTCTCATTGGGCTGGTTAATGTGAATCATGTCTGTCTCAGCATGAGTTTTGTAAAGTGTGTATTAATGCATTAAGTCTTTACTTGTATCTGTCACTGGGTTGTGATCTCGGTAGGTCTCCACATTATACAACTTTTTTCAAATAGTGTTATGACACTTGAAGTATAGTGTAAAGAACTATGTGAAGTTTTCCAAATTTGTAAAGTGTATAAAAATAATATCAAACCTTAAATATGGATGGACTTTATGATAATATATAATGTACATATATATTATATAACATGTAAAATGGTGAATATTGTATTTTTTGTATATTTAACAAGGTTTGAATAATTATTTTCAATTGATTCCAAAAATCCAATGTAAAATTGTGACTTTATGAAAAATCAACATGGGATATTCAGTATGATGGAGTCAAACATTTTAATGGTTGGATGATGTGAAGAATTTTTTTATTTTCATATTAAGACAATGATCAACAAAATTATTGTGGGATGTGTTCTTTCTGTAATATAAAAACGTTTTTTGTTTACCAGTTATGCTATTAGGGCGAAATTATTTAAGTTTGCTTTAGAAATATTGGCATAGATGTATTTGTACATTGTTTGCTTATTAAGCAGTGTATCATAAAGAAATTTTATTTAATGATAGGGTCAATTTATTGACAATATTACTGATTAGGCTTGCTATAGCTCTTTGCTTAGGCCTTTTAGCACAAAATGCAAAAATCAAGGTTTGTGGTTGTGATTGTTAACAATAAGTATGGTTCATACTTTTCACATAACATACGAGGTAAGAAGAGTTCTAACCTCCATACTCTACCAATAATTTGAGTCAATGCCTATACAGTATTTTATACCATAGAGTATATAGACCATTAGAATATCCTGTTAAAACATTACTACTGCCATACTACTGTTATTTTTATAACAATTTCATGGATTGAATAAGTTGAGAATCATTTTTTTTATAATTACAGAGTACATGTCCTAATCAAACCAAAGAGGATGTAGCAAATATTAAGTTCTGTAAACCATATTAAATTAATTTAATATAATATAATAACCAAGATATATATTTTGGTTCAGTCAAGAGTGTAGATGATACTTGTACATATTTATTTTAAATATATAGTGCAATCTAGTATTATTTTATTTTAATCTAGTTCTTAATATAATGTAAATAAAATACCATAGAGAATGGTTTCAATTATATTATTTTCTTTTAGAAAAATTAGATTAGTGTTTAATTTTTTTTTATGAAATAACTAAATGTAAATCTGTACTTTTGTCCCACTTAAGTTTACATAATATATTATGTGCTGTATAGTTTTTTTTATCAAAAAATCATTTTTTTTATATTTGCATCAGCTTTGATTAGAAAATAATATATTACATTTTTTCCAATTAATTTTTTTTTGCTAATTAGGTGCAATGGGTTTTGTTGAACATGATATAATATTATTTTATAATTACGGCCAATTAAAAAAATCTAAGCTCTTCTTTAAGTTTTCCCACTATTTTATTGGGTAGCTTGTTTCCTACCTAACATTACATGAAGAACACTTTTATAAAGATATTAGAAAACTATGCACACTACCTACATTTTGTAATATAATATTATTTATGTATTTGTAAATAAACAACTTTGTATAACATCCTAATTACAATAATATTTTTGCAGTGGCCATGTACAAGTTATGGTTAATAAGATGTAATTTTTTACACATGTCTAGTGCTAAAATTGTGCCATTTTGTTGGCAAAGACTATTCTAAACTGTTGTTCGGAAATTAATAAAGTTTTTGAAATCGTATTCAATTATTATTTTTTCCTAACGTTATAACCAATAAAATTAAATATTATGTACCTATATCTTCAATTTATTTTTATAACGCCATTTTTACGAACCAAATTTGATTATGGAGCTGTTTTTAGTACAGATGAGATCAAACTGTTGCGGATATGCGGAGGACAGTTGATGCGAAAACTTGATAATTACGTTTAATTAGCAGATCTTTTTTTATTTTTTATACAATAGCTTACATCGTTATACTGTAAAAAAATATTCAGCTCCAAAAATATATAATTTAGTATTAAAAAAAATACCTATACGGATACTTTAAACGCCCGCCGTTTCACGCGCTTGGCGTGATGTCATAGTATGATCAATAATGTACAAAGAAAAATGTCGACTCAATTTGTAGCGACAAACTCATTAATCGCTCTGATATGATATACTCTGACGTCACATTCGGTCTAACCAATAGCTTTCGTTTTAACTACTTTGAATTTCCCGCCTATATTTGCACTTTTTAATAATTATTTTCTTTAATCAGAAAGAAATTACATAAAAAATATATTAATATAGGCCTAATTCAAAAGTAATAAAGATAAAAAAATATTTTATCTTTATTTAAATCACACGCATATTTCCCATTGTCGCCTGTTAACCCTATTTTATTAACTTTTTTTGGTACTTATACTATGAATTATTAGTTAAACGGGGCGTATGGAACAAATAGGTGCAATATGCGAAAAGAAATGTTCAACTCGAACTGATACCAATTTTAAAATTCTTAAACAAATTCTTTTCTATTTCTATTGTATTCAGCCCTTTTTAACGTCTCATTGCTGGGCACGGGCCTCCATTTAGTTCAAGCCTTCAAGGGAAATCAGGCGATAGTCGACCGCCCTGGCTAGGTGCACATGTCTTTTGAAAACTAGCTAAGTTCACTCAGACATGCAGGTTTCCTCACGATGTTTTCCTTCACCATAAAACAAGTGGTAATCATGATGTAAATGATTTGCACATGAAAATATCATAGGTGCCAGACCCGGGTTTTGAACCCGCTTTACTTAGTTTCCCAAGCAAGCGCGTCACCACTGCCTTTTTGCTTTATATATTAGTAAGATAAAATAACCATTTTAATAGGTATACAACAGTCTATTAAAATATATTTATTTCACTTGAGGTTTGACAAGAAAAACTTATGGTTATGGAAATTACACAAAAATTACATAAAATCTTACAACTGCGCGAAAATGAGAGTCGTGGAGGATCGCTATGACACAGATGTTTACGCGTTCGGCGCTCGCGGCTCTCTGCCTGGTCGAGCCACGCCGTCGCTCACGCGTTCGCGGGAGACGGGGGGGCGCGGGCGCCTAAACTATACGATCGCACGGAACACGGCCCTACAGGATCGTACATGTTCCGACACGATACCCCGCGATCACCGTTGTTTGTAAAAACCCCGCGTTACACTCTCCCCCTCTAGCCTAACTAAGTGTCCTCACAGTTGGGCTAGTCTAGGTATCTACGCGGCCTACCACGTTTACGTTTTTCCCTAACGGGAGGCTCTATCTGGCCGGTAAATGGCGTGAGGTGCGAAACGTGATATTTCCCTATATCTCTTCCGGTCTGTACGTTCTCTAACCCGTACGTAGTGGGACTAACTACCTTACCTATCTTGTATGGGCCGTCCCGGCGTGGGATTAACTTCGCCGTCTGTCCACGTCCTGCATCGTTCGGCCCCTGCGTTTTAAGTAGCACCATATCGCCTACCTTATACTCTGGCGGCGATCGCCGTCTCTGGTCAGCAGCCCCCTTTATATAGTTAGTACTGAACGTGCGCATACCTGTCCAATAATATCTAGTGCGAACACGGCCTAAAGTGCGCTCCACGCCGAAATGTCCTGCCATAGGCGCGTCGTGGAGTTCAGCCATCACTTGCCTGCGTTCGTGTTCGGGCACAACAATACAGCATTCTTCTCCATCGTCTGACTCTAAGCTATATCTATGAAGTATACCATCGGAAATAGTGTACCCACGATCGGACCATGGCCTCCCCCTAGAAGGTTCGTCAGACTCCATGTCCTCAATGATTTTGCGAATCTCTGGATCTAACAGTTGATTGCTGCGGATATCACCACTACTCCTCTTTGGTAAGTCAACGACTGTCATACATAATTCGCACTCACCTTGGTTCTCAGCACAAACTGGTCGCGAAAGCGTATCTGCAACCACGTTCGAGCGTCCCGGTGTGTATTGGATGTTGAGGTCGAACTCTTGCAATGTTAGGGCCCACCTAGCCAGCCGACCACTAGGTGACCTCAGACTCATTAGCCATCGCAAAGGCTGGTGGTCCGTCCTAACCGTTACCTTCGCAGTATCTACGTAACCGCGGAACTTACCTAACGCCCACACGACGGCGAGTGCCTCTCGCTCCGTCGTGGAATAATTCTTCTCTGCACTAGTGAGAAGACGACTTGCGTACTCGATCGGTCTCTCATCGTGTCCCTCCCCCTGCATTAAAACAGCCCCGAGGCAGTAAGCGCTACTGTCGGTGCAGAGAACGAATGGCTTCGACTCATCCGCCTGACGCAGAATGGGAGCGGATACGAGGAGACGCTTTATCCGCTCAAACGCCTCCTGATGCTCGGCGTCCCATCGCCAGGCACTTGATTTCTTCAGGAGTGTTGTAAGAGGTCTCGCGATCTCAGCATAATTATTAATAAAGCGGCGATACCAACTCACCGTTTGTAAGAAACATTTTAAGTGTTTAACGTTCTGAGGGGCGGGCATATTATCAATAGCCGCCGTCTTATCTGGATCCACCTGGATTCCGCCTGGTACAATAACGTGTCCTAAAAACTTAACAGATTCTCTATTCTGTTGCTCCTGGGTTAACTTAGATCCTTCGTCTGCGTGCAACATCAGCTCATCAGATGCGGCGTGCAATAAATCTGTACCTGCAGGGTCAAGTGTGTACGAATAAATAAAATTAAAGCACTGTCCGGGACTATCCTTAAATGTCCAAGTGCGATGGGCAACGTTTATTACCATTCCGGCCCGAGACAAGAAATCTATACCTAGAAGTGTTCTAGTGTCACAACCTGGCAACACTAGTAATTGACACATTACACTATGGCCTTCGATATCTATACCTACCTCGGCCGTCAACAAGTCTCTCCACCCTTGTGTACCGTCAGCCAGGTGTACAAATCGTTTAACTTTACTAAAGTGTACTCCCAAGTCTACTAAAATTTTATATAATAAAGGACTCGCAATACTATGCGTAGCGCCCGTATCCACTATCGCCACTCCGGTACGACCCATAATGGATATATTAACCATAGGATACGATTCACGCGTACTCACGTTAGTTAACTTAATACATGACGCACTTGTATTACCTATACTACTATTATTATTATTAACGCAATTATCGTGTTTATTAAAATCTACATCCAAATTATTGAACGAAGTTTTACCATCCGAATTCGTTAAAGTTTTCACACAAATATCACATTTCGACCTCACGACACCTTCCTTACCACAACCGTAACAACGTATACCCTTACGCGTGCTATCGCTATACAAACGTTTATCATTATTATTATTGTTAATAACCTTCTCACGATTGCGACATTCTTCACTAAGATGCCCAAATAATTTACAATAACTACATCGGGGCCTATTATTTTTATTACTACGCGGAGTGATCGCGTTCGTACTATCAAAACTCGATCGAGTGAGATCGCGACCGGTAGTAGTGACCGATGTTCGTGAAATCGCGTTTTTACAATTATTACTATTATTGTTATCCTTATTTACCTTAAGAGTTTTATACATATCCTCCGCGATCCTCGTTTTATACATTAAGTCATCTAAATTACGAACATTATCGCGGGAAACTCTTTTAACAATACGTCGGTGTAATAACCCGTAACAAATATCAACTTGCACTATTTCATCGAGCTTATACGGTAACTTTGCAATTAACGCTCGCACTTTACACAAAAACGACTCGGCGCGTTCTTCTTCTTGCTGCTCCGTCGCGAAGATCTGCCGTAGAATCTGATGCGCGGGCTGCGCCACGCCAAACGCCGCGCGTAGGCGGGCGACCGCGTCCGCCCATGTAGTCACCGACGCCTTAACGCCGCGCCACCATACTGCCGCTTCACCCTCCAGCGACATCGGCAATCCGCGGAGTGCGAGCTCGTCACTCACGGCCGCACACTCCTTAAATATCTCGACGGCATCCAGGAACGCTTCTAATACCTCGGCGTCCTGGGACGACCCGTTGAACCGCGCCGTGCACTTAGTAAAATTGGCGTCGACACTCGCGACGCTGGCAGCAGTACCACTCCCGCTGTTCACATTATTTGTTTGAGAGGCCACGACTGGGGTGGAGGCCCTAAATTCACTGCTGGACGTCATCAGAGAATTGATAAGGCTTCTATTTGCTTCCACTTGCGCACGCGTGATCGTTTCCATCAGCGTGGATAGGAAGTGTTCGGGGAGCTGGGGTGCTGGTTGCTGTGTCGAGCCGGCTCGCGCAGCTCCGTCCACGTGGCCGTGCTCGATGGTGCTCTCCTCTCCCTCTGCGGCATCATCCCCTCGCTGCTGCCGAAGCGTTTCCCCTCTCCTCGTCATAGGCATCTTCACGCACTAGTATATAAGTTTAAAAGTTCGAGCCACTAGTATGGGCGCCAGTTTAATAGGTATACAACAGTCTATTAAAATATATTTATTTCACTTGAGGTTTGACAAGAAAAACTTATGGTTATGGAAATTACACAAAAATTACATAAAATCTTACAACTGCGCGAAAATGAGAGTCGTGGAGGATCGCTATGACACAGATGTTTACGCGTTCGGCGCTCGCGGCTCTCTGCCTGGTCGAGCCACGCCGTCGCTCACGCGTTCGCGGGAGACGGGGGGGCGCGGGCGCCTAAACTATACGATCGCACGGAACACGGCCCTACAGGATCGTACATGTTCCGACACGATACCCCGCGATCACCGTTGTTTGTAAAAACCCCGCGTTACACCATGCAATTAATGTCCAGAAGAAAATACGTCGACCTAAAATTCAAGCTCGACTCAATTATTTTAAGACAGTTATAATACCTTTTTGATTTGTAATTATTATCATCTATACGCTCCATCTAGCTTAAACTTTGTGATGGCTGCACATCCGGAAGACCTGGGTTCAAGTTCCGCGTCGGGCTAAGTTTAGTTATCGAGTCATTCTGTTCAGAAAGACTGGTGTCTGCGTTTATGTACACTTGTGAACTATAATATCTGCGCACTGCGCAGTTGACTAACCTCGGTGAAATTGGCCGTTGTGGCGTCGTTTCATTCGTTTAGGAGGGCATCATCATCATACTTTGTGATAAAGAATGGTACGTAATCTTCGTATATTGTATCCGATTTTTAAAATTTAAGCAATATGATTTATTGTGCGTGGATTTGGAAGGGTTGGCTTTTTCTTGAATCTTTCAAATGATTGGATTAGTCAAGTAATTGCTAGTTTTGAGTGTAGTAGCGAGTAACAAGGGATAGCCGGAAGATAAATGTTCTTATTCGTGAATTGTTCACTCAAAAGACAGTCAAATATGATTAATATTATCCGTTGAGATTCTTATGCAACGCGCACAGCAGCACCAGTCATTTAATGAATACAACGTTAGTTAATCATAAAAGAAATATTATACCAAGCAAAATAAAAGAAATGGATAAGATTTCCTAATTTTTGATCCACTGGTAAGGTAAGTGACTTTACCTATTCAAAAGTCGACTTAAGTAAACCTACCATTTTTATTATCTATGCCATTATTTCAGTTGTCTGTGCTAATAATTATCTGTTCTACTACTTTGACAATTTATGAGTTTGTTCAAGTCGGAGGGAATTGTGTTTTTAATGTGATTTTCATGATTTTTTTTTGTTGTGTAACGTTAAATATATTGAAATAGAATGGCTTTATACTGTGCAAGTAAGTACCTCATTATTAATAACATAAATATCGCATTATAATCATAATATAATATGTGCCTCTGAAACCGGTTGCTTTTTGATAATGTTTTAAATTTTTATTCATATAAGAGTAATTACTATTAAAAATATTATACATAACATATATTACAACCACCTACGTTTGTATTTACCAATGCGATAATTTAAAGTTATTTTGATTGTGTGTGCCAAGTTAACCTATTACTTCTTTCAGTATCTAACGAGGTGCCAGAAGTGCCTGTAGTATCTCCCTCTTCGGGAACAGTATTTGAAAAGCGAATAATTGAAAAGTATATCATAGAAAATGGTGTCGATCCTATTAGCGGTAAAGAATTACGAGTGGAAGACCTTATCGAAATAAAAAGTAAGTCATAACATCTGAACCAACGCCAATGGTAAAATTAAACATGTATAGATTTAAAAAATAATTATTAATTTCTTGCATATTGTTAAATATTTACAGTTATAATTTTTTGAACCTTACATATGTAATAATATTGTTGACAGCTCCAGCAATAGTAAAACCCAAACCACCCAGTGCTACTTCCATTCCAGCAACTCTAAAAAGTATGCAAGATGAATGGGATGCACTTATGTTGCATACATTTACACAGAGGCAGCAGTTACAGACTGCGCGGCAGGTATGAATTATTTCATTACATCTTTAAATAAATTATTAAAATTCCTCCGGGTAATCACCAGCGAATAAATGGAAAAATAAGAAAAAATTACAAATATAAATTGATACAATAAATAATTTCATAGGCACATAACTTAAAATTGAATCCTCTGTAGAGAATCTTTTTATCAATACAACAACAGTCTCTTGATTTTTATGCTGCCAATTAGAAAGTTAAATTTATAACAGAAAATATTAAAATTTATCAAGGATAGCTAAATTTGATACAAGTAGTGGAGTAATCAAAGAAACCACTTGCAAGATAAGAAGAAGCAGAGAATTATTAGATCAATGATGAACTTACAACTATTATAAATTTGATAATGATAATTGTTATGATGACCAAACCAAATAATGTTTTTTGCCAATAAATAACTCATACATTTTTTGCCATGAAGAGTAGTTGCTATGGTAGAAACAGATTATATATTGTTATATGAGCAATTATGCTAATCAATGTCTAGTTAATTATTATTATTAAGCCACTAGACCACCAAGGCAGTTTGAGCTGTATGCATTTAACTATTAACCGCTACAAAAAATACATATATATCTTAAAGTTTCTTAAAAATGTGTTAAATAATAAATTATTGCACTTTTAATTTCTCAGGAACTAAGTCATGCTCTATACCAGCATGATGCAGCTTGCCGTGTGATAGCTCGTCTCACAAAGGAAGTAACAGCTGCCAGAGAGGCGCTTGCCACACTCAAGCCTCAAGCTGGAATAGTGGCACCGCAGCCTGCTCATGCGGTGAGTATTTATTTAATATATAATAGTATAAGTAGAAAATGTGTTTGTTTGGTTTTATGTTTATTAACAGAACATTGTATCAATGATTTTGTGTGATATATTGTTAATTTTATTTTATTCAATTTTTTAGAAGAAAGAATCTAAGTTTAATTTTTATTCTTCTGATGAATATAAAATGAAATAAGTTAATATGCAAAAACAGTGTATTAATAAGTTTTATTATGTTACTTTTATGTGACCATGAAATATTATAGATAAGAAATCAATGTGACTTTCACAGAGAATTGTTAAAGGGTTTTATGACATTTACTTAATTAGTATTAGTATTTAAGTAAATGTAGTATTTTCTGAGTAACTTAATGTATAGAACTACTTTAGTCCTGGGTTCGAGTCTGAGTGAATCAAGTTTAGGCCAAGTTTAGGTATTGAGTTTTTCTGTCAGGAAATTCTTTGTAGCAGCCTGGACTTGGTGGTTGATAAGTTGACACTCTCTCGCACTTGTATTTGTGTACACAATTGTGCACTATAATATCTCCTCTGCAGATGGCTAGTGTCAGTGAGATTGTTCACCATTATTAATATATGTAAAATGATTGTATACAGGTGGAGGCAGCGGCGTCGGGCGGCGGTGCGACGCCGGTGGGCATGTCTGCGGAGGTGGTCTCGCGGCTGCAGGAGCGCGCCACGGCGCTGACGCAGGAGCGCAAGCGCCGCGGCCGCACCGTGCCCGAGGGGCTCGTGGCGCCCGACCAGATACGCGCCTTCCTCACACTCGCCAGCCATCCGGTCAGTGCTGTCTTACACCGTGATACACTTACACATCGTGTAACATTTACTCGCCGTGTTACACTTAGACACCGTGTTACACTTTCGCACCGTGTTACACTTACACATCGTGTTACACTTACACATCGTGTTACGCTTACACATCGTGTTACACTTACACACCATGAGACGTTACGTTACAAAGACATTACATATTTATACATAATATCAAAAGTTACTTTTTTGCAAGACTTACTGCTATTTTCGAATACTTAATGTATTTTTACAAATGGAAAACACATTCACTAAATTATCTAATTAAGTGAATCCAAAATTGTATTTTAGACCAGTATAAATTACATTATACCATTTATACATACATATTTCCATTCAGCTAATAAATCTAACTGAGTGTGACAAATAATCATTTGCCAAATATACTCATAATATGATATGGTTAGATAAATAAATTCCTAATAATATTATTTATTACCAGGGTCTTCACTCAGCCAGTGTTCCTGGTATCCTGGCCCTGGACATCAACCCATCGGACCACAGCCGCCTCCTCACCGGTGGTAATGACCGGAATGCGACCGTCTTCAACAAGGACACGGAGCAGGTGGTGGCCATCCTCAAGGGTCACTCGAAGAAGGTCACCCGCGTTATATATCATCCAGATGAAGACACTGTCATCACAGCATCTCCTGATCACACTATACGTGTTTGGAATGTGCCTACGTGAGTATATTTATGGAACAGATTTATCTGAGTCGGGAGTCATATCTGTACATTAAATATTTTTGAAAAGTCTTATTGAAATAGTCATTATTATCGATACAGAGGGCGAATCTATAGATTTAAGAATTTTCTGTCTGTTTGGGAACGTGTCACGAGAAAACCGATTTTGATGAAATTTCATATGATGATAGCTGGTTATATGGGTCAACATATAGGATACTTTTTATTGCTGGAAAATATCTCACCTCTCAGAAATCTATACTAAACATTAAAACGTAACTAGGGACAAACCCGAGCAGAGCGAGGGTGAGTCGCCAATTAATAATAATCTCTTTTTACTATACATAAAATTTTTAACACAATTAATCAAGCAACAATCAATTAGAATTTTGTATTAAATTCTTTTTTATTTTACTCAAAGTTGGTCATATTATACAACTAATTTTGGCATTTGTATAATGTCTGTATTAAGTTCTTGTTAGCAATAGAAAAAGAAGATTTTTTATATGACGTCGCCTCTTTAATTATTTATATTTTTCTTTAACTTTCTGTAACAACAAATATTCACAGAAAATGTGCAATACAATTTCAAGAAAAAAGAAAACTTTAAAATAAACAATTTTTAATAAAATGTATACCAGTTCGCAGACGACGGTGGTGCTGCGATCGCATGAGGGCCCGGTGACGGGGCTGTCGCTGCACCCCACCGGCGACTACGTGCTGTCCACCTCCACCGATCAGCACTGGGCCTTCTCTGACATACGCACTGGCGTGCTGCTCACTAAGGTTGGGCCCTTCAATATTCTTCCATATTGGCTTCGACTGCCTGGGTGGTCTAGTGGCTAGTATCTACGGTTGCAGATACTAAGGTCCTGGGTTCGAGTCCCGGGTTGAGCCAAGTTTAATTATGTACTGAGTTTTTCAGTTAAGATATCTATCCAACGACAAGCACTGATCCTTCTCCGACATAAGTACAGGCGTGATGCTCACTAAGGTTCGATACCGTTGAAGGGCATATATTTTCATACATGTTGGCTTGTGCACGCTTCATGTTTTGCTATGTAATCAAATGTTGGATGTCGATTTTGACGTACTTATAATCGTGGCATCTATACAGATAAATAAAATTGAAGTCTATTTGATTAGCTATTGAAGTGGTGAAGTTTTAAAAAGGTGTTTGTTAAAAGAAACAGTTTTATGAATAATTCATTTCAATATGTGTATTTTATTTAGTGCAATGACAACTATATATGTATATGAAAAGAGAAAAAAAAAGAAAATAAAATGACATCAGAAAAAGAAATCTTCTCCTCGAACTTTGATATAATATATATTATTGTAACATTGGGAACTTATTATCAGTTATTTTTCATTGATATTTTGTTATATTAAATATTTTGTTAACACTTTAATCGTATTTTAAATATATAATCTTCGAATATTTTCGCGGGTTTTTTTTCTTAAATGTCATATATTGGTAAATTTAAGAAAGTATTATAATACGATTTATACTTATTACAGGTGAGCGATGCGTCCGGCGTTAGTCTCACGACGGCACAGTTCCATCCTGACGGCTTGATCTTCGGCACGGGCACCGAGGACTCGCAAGTCAAGATTTGGGATCTCAAAGAGCAAAGCAACGTCGCCAACTTCCCAGGTCACGTGGGCCCTGTCACCTCCATATCCTTCTCTGAGAACGGTTACTATCTCGCCACAGCAGCGGAGGACGCTTGTGTTAAATTGTGGGATTTGAGAAAGCTCAAGAACTTCAAAACAATCCAGTTAGATGAGGGCTATGCCATCAAAGAGCTGTGCTTCGACCAGAGTGGTACCTATTTGGCTATAGCCGGTACTGATGTGAGGGTGTACTTGTGCAGACAGTGGCAGGAGCTGAAGGTGTTCAATGATCACACCGCCTCTGCCACTGGAGTCCGCTTCGGTAAGAATGCCCAGTACCTGGCCTCCACTAGTATGGATCGTACACTTAAGTTATATGGCATAGAGTAGTTATTTAGGTTAAATTGGATTGATTGAAATGAGTTTGAAAGTTAAAATGTCTCCATTTTTATATTAAATAATAACATAATCTTCCTTGAAACAATTTCCTTCAATGTATAAAAGACTTAACATTATTTTAAGTTAGACTTGACATAGAGTCCTCATTCAAAGTTTGTATAGTATTCAGATTTTTATTTCTCAACTAACAATATTTATTAACTGCTTTAAATAATACCTATGAGAAACTTAATAGAAAAAAAGAGGTTTTTTTTTCTGATGTAATACTAATTTGATTATATTATGTTAGCAGAATATTCATATACATTTTTGTTCCCATATATATTTATATGACCTTTTTACGGTTAGTATGGAATAGATAGCCGATCCCTTGATCTGTAAAAAATAAAAACGAATCTACCCATGGGAACCGTACATTTTTCTGGGATAAAAAGTTACCTATGCACAATTCCAGACTATAATCTCTGTGCCAAATTTTATCTGGATCCGGTCAGCTGTTTTGACGTGATTGAGTAACAGACAAATATCCATCCATCCAAACTTTCTTTATAATATTTATGTGATGTATAATATATTCTAAGTATGACCTGACTCTGTTCATTTGCACTAAATAATATTAACGTAATTGTTGATAAAATTGTACGCAGTTAATATTTATTGTTTAAATGAGATACAACTTATATACTGATAGTTTCCTAATAAAAAAAATTGCCTATATAAGAAGGAAATAAAGTGAATGAACGTATTAAGCATTTGTATGACATTTTTGATTGATTTCTATTTGAGTAAATGTTTACAATATAGTGCCAATAATGGACTAGTGGTTTTATCATAATAATATTGAACGCACAGCTTGAACTGGCTTTATATGCCGTGCAATAATAGACTTAAGTCACAAGTGACATGTGTATGTTTTATAGCTTGTGTGACTTTAACCTTCAATCTTTTTAATACAAAGATAATACTTTCTTTGATTTACGCGAATATTTGACACTTTAAATAAAACTTCCCGACGCCGTGATTGCTGTAAATGATTCGAAACGTCGGAAACCAAAAATCAAAATGCTATGTGGAATTCACCGGCTAGAAAAGCCAGTACTACCCAATAAAACTGGAATCGAACCTGCGAAATGTTCTGGTATGTCTATGTAATAAGTAAAGTACCCATCCTTGGCACTATAATGTAAAAGAGAGTTATTTTTCTTTAGTGTATGAACAACATGTGCTTGTTGTAACTATCTTTTTAATTTTATAGCCATAATGTTTCCATTTTATTGTGAAAGTAAAAATATAATCGTAAATAAAGTGAGTGACTTGAAGTAACCTTGTTTTATTCAACATAAGTATATAATCTAATATATTAAATTCTCATGTCAGTGTTTGTAACGAAACTTCTCCGAAACGGCTTGACCGATTCTTATAAAATTTTATATTCAGTAGGTCTGAGAATAGGGCGTAAACTATTTTTTCATACCCCTAAGTGATAAGGGTGGTCTAATATAGTATATATAAATAATAATAGGTATAATAATAATTAAAAAATGTAGATATCTTTTAATATAATTTTAGAAATATAGTTCTATGCAGGTAGTAAAAGGCAGTTGTAGCCCAATGGCAACGCGCTCGCTAAGAAAAGTAAGTGAAGCGGGGTCAAATCCTGGGTCTCGCGCCTCTAAAATTTAATATACAAATCATTTTCAATATGATTGTCAATTGTCTTAATGTAAAGAAATGGCTAAGAGAACCTAGCAAGTTTTCGAAAGAGACGTGAAGTTTGCTAACCCGCACTTGGCCAGTGTGGTGGACCATGGCCTGATCCCCCTCGTATTGAAGGGAGGCCCGTGCCCAGGAGTGGGACGTTAAAAAGTACTGAATACATGTAGGTAGTAGGTGCATAATAATATGTAATAAGAACACACCTTTGATAGCATCATTTATTTTTAATAATTTACATTAAACAGTTTAAAATTATATACACTTATATTACAGGAATATTAAAATAACTATCTACCGAATTAAGAAAACAAAATGGTCGCTCCCGCCAGTTCATCGCCCGGCCCCTATCAATAAACAACAATGTAATATAAATTCTTGAACATTGAGAACTGTCCTATATATAATTCTAGTATTATTATTATGAAAAAAAAGGAAGAATTATTGATGAAGCACGCAATAATAAATAGAATAAATATGTTTTACGTGATTTCTTGTGAAAACTTTTGACCGATTAAGTTCTGATTAGTCATATATAATATACGAACAAAGTGAACATAAAGAGGATTGTTGGTGTATCCACAAGGTACCAATATCGCTCGTTCCCCTCTCACCACAAAAATGATGCAAAATATGGTCTTAAACGCAATTCAGGCTATTTCATCACGTAAACCCAACAAGATGGTGATTTTTTATTACTTTGTCTACACTATTATAAAGAGAAAAGATTTGTATTTTTGTATGTTTGTAACGAATAAACTCAAAAAACTACTGGACCGATTTAGATGAAATTTAGTAAAAAGATAGTTTGAGACCAAGGGAAGGACATAGGATATTTTTTATTCTGGAAATCATCCCTTAAGAGGGTGAAAATGAGGATGACATTTTTATAGGGAATCAACCTAACCCGAGCGAAGCGAGGGTGAGTCGCTAGTTTGGATATAAATATGAATAAAGGTTTGAATACGTACACTTCGCAATTAATAAGGCCGACACAATACTCAACCCAACCGAATTAGCGTCAAGCAGGTCTTTAGAATTAGTCCAATACATTTCACTTAAATATTAAATTTAAAAGTCACAGCTTATTTTTAGGCTCTGGAGGTAATTTTGGATATAATTATAGTATATCAGACAGTGCAAAAATGACCTAAGTCAAAATTTTATTATTTTAGTTCGTTACTTTAAAAAAATATATCAACAATTTGATGTATTATTTCTAAAATATTTGAAGGTACCTAAATCGCCATTTAAAAACGATGACAATTATTAAAATGTGAACTAATTACGTAATAATACGTTTATATTCAGATAACAGTTTTATCGTTCTCAATTCTCGTATTAAGTATATAAGCGTTCTTTACCTCAAAATTTCTTGGGATCGTGGCATCTTATATAGGCTCTATATGCATTTTTTTTATTATTTAAGCGCTTTATATCCGTATATTTAGTTTGTTTTGAACTTAGGCCATTTTAGCACTGAAATTTAAATCGCCTAATATTGCTACTCACATTCACATTTCCTTTAACCGACACAAGTTCAAGTCACATTTACAACTGAAAGTTGTATCGAAGACACCTACCCCCAAATTCATAATAAATTTACAATTAGCCAAATTATTCTGATTTATATTAACTATAAAACTACTTTATACGTCTTTCTAGATCTAGATCATTGACAAGAATTTTGATTGCCAATTCTACGTTATTACTGTAAGTAGACTGAAGTTCTAATGCTGAAAGATTACATAATATAAATAAATAACTAAGTGGTTCAAATTAAATAAAATGCTATAAAACACGAGCAATGTTAAAAGACGGATGCGCACAAAACGGACGCACAATTTTTAGGTGAGGTAGTGGTTGAATAACAACTTTGTACAACTGACTGACTGTCCGAGATCAAGTACTTAATTTTTTAGTTTACTTTTTTACATATTAGTTTAAAACACATTCGTCACACTTAAAGGCGGTCACTTGCAGTATTCGCCTGCAGTCAGTTGTTTTTACAATGTCGGACGAAGCGGTCATATTGAGCGCAGTAATATTGATTCGCTCCTGTTATTTACGTAAAAAATAAGCAAAAGAATCGAACAAACAATCAAACAAGTATAGATGCGTTACACATTGTATCACGATGTTACAAATTGTACCATTACATGTTACGCATTGTAATGCTCTGTTCTTCTCATTCACTTACGTAATGCTCGAATCTGAACTGCTACAATGCAGGCGAATGCTCCTTGTGAGGGACTGCCCTAAAACGTCTTAACTTTAAGAAAAACTTTTTCTAATACTAATGAAACAAAGCTCGAATGTTTATTTAAATTCCCGCTCCACACATAAATGTTGATATGACAGCTGCTTATACAATAAATTGAACTCTAAGGGTTGATCCCCCATCTCTTGAACCAAGCGATAGATTGGAGGTAAGATGTGGAGATCCCTTGTAATAATTTGTGTGTCGAAGTATCTGAAAAGCTATTAAACTATAAACAATATATTGTAAACCAGATTGAGGCTGTTTTTAAGGCGTAAAGCGTAGGGCCAAGGGTCTCCGGGTCATGCGAAGACGAGCCACAGAACGAACAGGATCGCCACCCACAGGAAGATCTTTGAGACGAACTGCTCCTCTTCGAACTGGGCGGTGCCGCGGGGCGCTACGAACATATGAAACAAAATGTTAATTAGTCACCATTGATATACAAAAACTTAGGACAAGTGCACAATTCAAAATAAAATTGCAATTTTTTCAAATTTCTTGTTCATTGCTTTTCGGATGACAAAATCAAAACGCAGGTTGTTTCGTTTATACTTTAAGGCATAAAACCTGCATTAATTCAGTATGACATTAATTAGAATGTAGGTAGGCTACAGTAGTAAGTACTAGGTAGGTTAGGTAGGTAGGTAGTCGAGGCGTCTTTTTTTGTTAAACAAATTAACATACAAAGTACATGTTTTATTAAATAACATATCATTATGTAGATGAACTATGTCGAATTTGGCCCACATCAAAAATGTCTTCGCTAGTTGGAAACCGATTTCCATATATTTTTTAATCGGTTGTAAGTATCTCAAGAAAAATAAAATAGAAATTATTACGTTTAAACGTTTAGTACAGATTTCTTAGAGATGAGATATTTTCCCGCAGTAAAAAGTATCCTATATGTATACCCAGACAATCAGCTATCATCATACCAAATTTCATTAAAATCCCTCCAGTGCTTTTTCCGTGATGCGGTAAAGCCTAGTTCGCATTAAGCTAGTATTTTAGTCTAGTAGCGAGTAATTTAGTAACTAAACGTGTCTGAAAACTAAAAATTTAGTCGATTAGTTTAGTAAGTAATTTAGTCGAGTCAATCCATTTTATTCTATTTTTTTGGGCGAGTAGCAGCCCCCACCACGCGTCCGAGCTCCCTGGTTCACCGGCTGTTTAGCCGGTTACTTGTTTAAGTACGAACCTGTCGAATTAGTCGAGTTCATTAGTTGCCGCCATAATGTCGTTTCGCTGGAGCGAAGAAATGACTTTTAAATTTGTTTCGAAATATGTTGAACACGAATGCTTGTGGAATATTAGGTCCTTGCATTATAAAAACAAGCATATGAAACATTCCGCATACTTAGATTTGGAAAAAATAATGAATATACCCGGATTTGGCAAAAAAGAAATTAAAATGAAAATTAACAAATTTACTCATCCACCTCTTCTAAAATAGCCGTTACGATCAGCTTAATCAGTTTATTTACTTTATTGCGTTGTAGGCTGTTCATCTTGCAAAACACCACTCACTTGATATTATAGATAATTTAGCTACTAAATTACTCGCTACTAGACTAAAATACTAGCTTAATGCGAACTAGGCTTAATAGACAGACAGACAAAAATTCTAAATACTATAGATTTGGCCTCTGTATAGATAATAATGACTATTTCAAAAAAATATGTTGTGTACAGATTCAACTCAAAATTTTATTATATGTATAGACTATGAAATACTTTACTTTTATTGCGAATTACAAAAATATACAATTTGTTAGGCCTTTGACACCGACATCGGAATGTGTCAGTGAGACCTTGACACACGCCGTGCGCCACTGCACTGCGCAGGAGCAGCTGCATATGGCTACTGCGCTCATCGTATAGAGTTATATTTAGCTTTTATCAGTTCATCGTCACAAACTTTTAAGCACTTTCATACGGTATAAAAACATAAGTATTTTTAGAGCTTGATCGAAATTCAGAATCCAAACTAATATTATAAATGCGTAAGTAACTCTGTCTGTCTGTAACGTCTGTAACGTTATCACGCCTGAACCACTTAACCAATTTTTATGAATTTTGATATAAAGATGAGAGAAGGACATAGACTTCTTTTTGTCGCGAAAATAAAATTTACAAGGGTTAACATTTTTTATGGGGGCCAACTACCTAAATTACACTCACGATAACTATTTTTTATCTAATTAATTATACTGTGGAATAATTTAGAGCACACTTTGCTGACATACCTATAACAAAATTGGAGAGGATTTTTATTTTATTTTAAACATAAAAACAAAATTGACTTCAAAACAAACTAAAAATCTAACTTCGAGAATTGAAAATAAGTATCTTTAAATGTAAATGTAATCTGTTCAATAAAAAAAATGTTACACTTAATTATACTTTTTACCCCACTGCAAGGAAAGGGTTATTTTCTTCGCGCCTATCTTTGTATGTTTGTTTGTTTGTATTATTCTTTATTCCCTCATATCGACCAATCCACTCTATGGATTTCTTTAATTAAAGTTTCGTTAGATTTGTCTCATTAGTCCAAGTGTTTCCAAAAAAAAATAAAGTAAAAAAAAACCGACTACAAAAAAAGTGAAAATTATAAAAAAGTGCGTAAAAATGAAAATTAAATAAAAACTGAAAAGAAAAACACCGATATGATAGTCGAGAGTCTGGACCCATTAAGAGGATTGTGAACCTGTAAATTTTCATACAAAAAGCGATAACGTTTTTCCCCCCTTAAACATAGTCTAATTTTCATAATTTTGGAAATGTTGTAGATATAATCAAAATCTAGGTCCGTACGTTTTTATTTTTTTGAAATATTGCGTACGACAGAAGTTATTAGCATCTAAATATCTATATTTTTGACCTAAAAACTTCCTCCAGCGTTTTTATTTTTTAAAATTAAACTAAACTGAATTACAAAAAAAGGAAAACGTACAGACCTAGATTAAGGTGTACTGAATCTAATGAGACCAAAATCGTCTCATTTCGTTAATGTTTAGGGGGGTGAAAACGTTATCGCCCGAAACAATATTTCAAAAAGGAAATGTAGGTAATTGAGTCTAAGACTTACAACTCTCTCTATCGCACCATACGGGTCGGGGGCAGGGGCATATTTTAGACTGTAGTGATGTTGAAGGTGCTATCGATATTATTATCTCCTAGGGAGGAGAAGGTAATATCGATATATCGATCGATACTGAAAGGATTCAATCCAAAGTTTAGAATTTTATTATACTCGTATGTATAGATTGTAACTAAGCCGTATCTGTACATTAAATATTTTTTGGAAAATATTATTGAAATAAACATTATTATCGATACAGAGGCCGAATCTATAGTTTTTTGAATTTTTGTCTGTCTGTCTGTATGTCTGTCTGTTACCACGTCACAGAAAAACCACTGGAGAGATTTTGATGAAATTTGGTGTGGTGGTAGCTGGTGGTGGTATCCGGATCAACATATAGGATTATCGCGGGAAAATATCTCATTTCTGAGAAAAAATACAAAACTGCAATGTACGAATATACTAATATGTAAAACCTACGAATTTGTTTTTGGTCATATGAACGCGGGCAATGCTAGCTAAACATAAAAAGTTTCAATTGCATAGCTCTTTTACATTAGATTTTATTGATATCTAAAAAACTCCGATTTCGTCACTGACTCACTGATGATCATCAAAACTCTTAGGGTACTTCCTGAAGTCCTAGAAAGCTAAAATTTGGTATGTATACTAGTATTATAGTCCAATCGGAATCTGACAACAATATATTGAAAACCTGAAGTTTTATAATTTTCAAATGTTAGCAGGTATATAAGGATTAGAAATTCGTAAAATGCCCATCTGTCCAGCTACACTCGAGAAATGGGAGACCGCAAAGCGTTGAAAAATAGTTTTTTTCAATTTCCGGCTCACTGTGACGTTCTATCGAAAAATATTTTCTACAAATGTAAAAGGTCTAGTAAAAATCTACAACTTTGATAAATAACACTTTCTACGATAACCTCAAAGTTTTCGAGATATTTGTTTGTATAAGTTTAAATGAGTAAGCGTCTTCCTACACCCCTCCACCCCTCGCCCTCCACCGGTCACGCGCTTTCTTTTGCTAATTGCTGGACTACTACCGTTTAGAAGGAGCAATAAAAATACTTTTATTTTTGTAAAATTTATATTTTTAATTTTATATTCGTTATAATTTATAATATTCGTTATAATTTTAAAAAAATATTACGAATAGCATATGTATATTTATAAATATACACATACTATTCGTTATAATTTTTTCGAATTTATCGATATTTTATTAGTTTTTGCAGTTAATTTTATTGATTTTTCTGAAAAAAATGATTTTAGGACAATTACAAAAAGAAATGAAATTCATTCGTAATCTAATCTTGTTTATTCATTAGTTAAAAATATATTTTAAAAAATTAAGTTGATATATTTTATAAAATTTAGTCATAGATTTGTTAAAAAATCGTAAATCATCATCATTCATGATCAGGTCATTTTATGAATTTCTATTCCTTATATACCTGCTAACATTTTAAAATCATAAAACTTCAGGTTTGCAATAAATAAATTATTTTAAAAATAAAAGGATTCCGATGGGTCTATTAGTACATAAACAACAAAAAATTCTAAAACTTTCAACTTTTGGAACGAGCTTTTTGTAATTGATCTAAATCACATATTTATTTTTCTATGATTTTTGAAGTCATCAATCTAAACAAGTCAAATTTTAAATGATATTCGCCACAAAATTGTAATTTAGAGTTATTTCAGTTCCTTTATGGCGATGTAACTTGTAGGGAATGTATATTGTACGCAAACCGTAGATATTAGATAAACTTTGAAATTGCTCTTGCGCCGAGTCGCGCCGCCCCCGCCCCCGCCCCCCGCGAGCGCCCGCGCGTCACCGGCTGCTGCTATCATAGTGTGCGTGAGAATTTGCGTATGTTGTATTTGTGTTGTTCACTGCCGGGGGGATGCAAAGCGGTATGAAACAGATAGCATTTTTAAAAATACCTACTCTCGCCGCGTATCGGCACTTCACAATCCTCTTAATAAGACCGGCTTAAATAATCACAATAATGGGTCATGGCTGTTTAAGTCGCTATGTTCTATGCTTATGAATTTATTATTCGTTTTATTTGTGTATCGATCACAAAATCATTGCCACGGTATCAGTTATTCAATAGTACGTACTCAATATAATATATATAGACTCCTGCACTTGTTTTTTTTTTCAGATTTTATTTAATTTTCATTTTTACACACTCTTTTTATTATTTTTATTTTTTAATTTACACTTTTTTTTGCAGTCGGGAATTTTATTTTTTTTATATATTTTTGTAAGTATAAATGTAAGTAAATATTTACTAACTATTTTAAACATGATATACAATAACTAATATAGTATTGGTCCGAAAATCATCATCAAAACCAGTTTAAAAGGTTTCCCAAATCGTAAATTTAAAGCTATATAAGTAATAAGAAATTAGTGTGCAAGTATAATTAATAATTGTATTTTATTTATATATTCAGATGTATTCCTTGACATTATTTGTTTAAAGTGTATAGAGTTATCAGACATATGTAGGTCGCAGGGAGGTCACTATTCAATGTCTAATTCGATTGGTAAACGAGCAGGGTGAAGGATTCATTTACTAAGTTAGCATTATATCTGAAACACGACTAATTACTAATACCTTGTTAAATCAAAATAACTTTTTAACTGAACTAAACTTAAAATTATACTGATTTTTGAAAAAACTTTGAATAATATTATTTTACTTTTAGGTTTTAACTTTTTGTTTATTTTGATCATTTTTTAAAACATAGTATGGAGGGCTTGTATACACCTAAGCACCGTTGCTGCGTAAGAGACAAACATACATATTTTCGTACTTATAATATTAGTAAGGAAGCAATGTAAGCTATTAAATTTATATTAAGGTTTAACAGATAATCTAGCTCAGCTATACTCAACCTGCGGCCCGCGGGCCGCATGCGGCAGCATCAAAAATCGCATTATAACATATCTTTGTTAAAAAAGTAACTACATCGTTAACTTGGAATTACGTTTTCATTAAGACCTAAATAATTTTTGCTTACGGCCCTCACACCATGACTGAAACGTGTTTGTGGCCCCTATAAAAAAAGGTTGAGTATGGCTGATAGGCACTAGACAAATGAGGTAGTAATACAGCTCTTGGAAAAACCCCTTAAAATAGAAATGTAAACTAAAGTCACACTTAATTATTAAGAAAATATGCCCTCACCAGCACTAGGCCTGGGATCACCGAAGTTGAATGTGGACGTGAAAACTCCGAATGGGAATGCGCCGATGCCGAATGACATGTGGAAGCCTTCGCCGAAACCAAAGCCCGGGAAGCCACTATTGCTCTCGGGCTCCGTGCGCTGCCCTGCCGGCCTCGGTGGCACCTGGAACAAATAGTTATTTATTATACATGTTATATTAACTCGCCCAAAAAGCTTTATTAGGAAATTACAAATATATAAGAACGAAATATTCTGTACGAGACATAATTTTTAGACGTCATTGCCATATTCTCACACTCTTAAGCTTTCTACTAGCGATTTTGTTTATAAAAATCATCTTGTCTAAGCTCTCAAGTTTTGTGATTTTCATTTTTGATACTACACTGTAGTCTCTATGTACCTACTATGATCAATAAAATGCACTTCAAAAGACATTTATGATTTAACAGTGGTACTTAACGGCTCTTATCATAGTTAAAAAATTCGGAAGGGACACATATTAATCATTATAATATTTATAAAGTAGGCAGTTTTATATCAATACAAATAATTGACAGGTAGTGGTAGCCCAGTGGTAATTTGCACGCTTGGCAAATTTAGTCCAGCAGATTCAAGCCCCCGGTCTCGCATCATTGATACTTTCAAGGGGGAATCATTCTCAATCTGGTTACCAAGGGTATTACGAACTGCGGTGAACGAAAACGTCATGACTGAAATCGATCGGGAGACAATAATTCAGTCCTTTCAAAGGTGGCGGAAGTTTTAACAGAGAGAATGGGCTGGCATGTTTAATAATAACATAGTTGCGAAAATATTTTCTGTAAACTACAACCATGTGCAAGCTTGATAAAGCCTCGTGCTTGCAAGCGCAAGCATTGCACATAATAATGAATATATATATATATATATATATATATATATATATATATATATATATCAGTACAAATAAAAATGTATTTCGAAATATTCGACAAGAACTGCTGCATTTTTTCTTTTGCAATAATATTGCCTCAAATTATTCTCTCTTTCATATAAATATAAAAGCCCTTCAAAATGCAATAACCAGAATGGTCGCGCACTTTCATTTTTATTTATAGATAAATACGTAAGTAAATTTTTTTATTAAAATCGTAGTATTGTGTAAGCAGTATTTTTCTTTACTTTTACACTTTTATAGGCTTATTACGAAGTGACGCAACTGCCTGGTTTTTATTTCATTTCTTGTGTAACTGATATTAAAACTAAAATTATACATTATTAATTTCCTTAAACCGCAGGAGAAAACGTAGTATTTTTCTAAGCTGAGAGCAGTATTTTATATGAGTGTGTACTTTTAAGGCCTATGCACACGGCTTTTTAATACTAACCGTCAACACCTGTTCAGGAAACGCGCTGTTGATTAACCCGCGTTTAATTGAATATATTCTTTATTGCACTTAAAATATGATACAGAAAAAATAACAAAGTAAACATAGTTCACAAAGGTGGACTTATCTCTAAAAGAGATCTCTTCCAGTCAACCCCTGGTTGTGGAAGAAGATGTCAGCGGGCAATATAGTGCAAAAAAATATACTAAATATATACTAGAAATAAAGGTAATAATAATCACATATACATACATACATATATACATATATTACTTATAAAAATATATAATACTATACATATATAATACCTAATGTAAAGACTACTTATACATACATACATATAGTACATACTTAATATATAAAATATGAAAATAGAGAAAGGTACTGATTGATACTGTCTACATTTGTGATAATAAATAATTTTTTAATTTACATTTAAAGACATGTATAGATGGGCTCTCGTGGATGGTTTTGGGCAGTTGGTTCCATAGTACGGCGGCATGGACAGAAAAAGAATTTTGTTGGAATTTAGTATTGCTCCTAGGAATGTCAAGCATAGAAGTACTGCAAGAATATATATTAATTAATACGAAATCAAGCAATCTGCATTTTTAAATCATCGCAAAATATGCAGAGACGGCGTACGTTTATAATACGCGCGTCGTCGGCGGGTTTATGAAACGTGGTGTACATATTGCCTTTTAAAGTTTAATAGCGGAGAATACGCGCAGGCAAGGCGCGTTGAAAAGTTGTCGTTTGCCCTAAGATGGAAACCAAGCACTCGGCCTATTGTTTTATTAACTAGTGATTAACTAAAATTTTGTTTTTAAAACTAATATTACATTATATTGTGTGACTTAAGTTAGTCTATTAATATATGGCATAAGTTAGAGGCCGAGTGTGGCAAGGCAATAATGGAACACTTAGGTCATATTTATCGTAACATTAATAAATAAAAGTCCATTTTAAAGTTTTCATGCAATGTAAATTGTAGTACATACTACTAATAAATTTAAAACAATTGTTTTATGTTGCATTGAAATAATATTTGCATATTGAAATTTTCATGTACTTTGTGTTAACAATACAAGATTATTTAAAAGTTAAAACTAATATCGTATATATTATCATTATATAATTAATTAATATGTGCATTATGGTCAGTATCTATCGCCTATCTATTAGCAATTGCATCTATACACCACCATGCACTTTTGTAAGTAAATAGGGCTAGTTGCAATAATTCTATTATATTCCATTATAGTAATAGAGTTAAAGTTGATTGAAACTTCATTACTATCTTTTACATAATAAACATATTGATTATTCAACAACTTTAATTATCATTATCGTAAGAAAAAATACTAAAATTAATGTTTATTTTTAATTAATATTTTTATTGGCTCACCTTATTTCTGGGATCCTCCTGTTTAGTATTTCCCCTGCCATAAAGTGGTATGACTTTCTCCCTACTAATAGCTGCTTTGCATACTGGACAGACTTGACGACTTGGTCGGGTTTCTAGCCATTGGTGAAGACATGGCCAACTGAAATGACATTGGTGATTTTTATAAAGTTTCAGTGAATATAAAGAAATTTCAAAACTTTTCACAGAGTTCAAAAAGTGTATTTAGTTATAGTTCTATCATTTAGTTCATTGACATTACAAAGGGCATAATATGCATTTTAATTCTTCACATAATAAACTACATTGAGAACACTTGTAATTAGCAAGGAACTTACCAGAAAAGATGTCCGCACATACTAACAACTGCATCTCGCGCAGTGTCTAGGCAAATATTGCATTCAAGCATACGCTCATCACGCCTGTCTTCTTCACCTCCAGCATCACCGCCAGGTGCCGAAGCACTCGCCTTCGCCTCTGTCGTCTCTGCCATTCTACTGCTTGTATTTATTATCCCACTTTTACGATATTACGTCACAAAACATCTATTTTACACTACACTTAATGTATAAGTACACCACACTTCGGGTTTTAATGATCCAAAGCACTCTTGTAATTATATAGCCAAAAACAAAATAGCCTATCTTAAGACACTTCACGTCACTTGTTACAAAATTAATTTATTAATGATAAGAAACTAAATGACCACGATATGAAATTCGAAAAATAATAATCACAAGTTTCCCCAACCCCAATTTGACTGATTGATCTGTCAAATAAATTATAAATTTTACTACTGTCCATAGACAGTAGAATATTGTCGAATCATCAAAAAAGCCACGTAGGTCACGTAGATGGAAGTAAGAACATATGATTTAATAATTATTTAGTGGAACATTTTTGAAGTACTTGAAGTTTGCTAATTCGTATAAATACTATGTATATCAATATGTGTACTTGTCCCGATCGAGCTATTGTAAGACAAGTTGTCTTTGCACGTATTGTTATAGTAGTAGACAAGTTTATTGTTCATCTATGGGAGACAATATAAAATTTTAATCTGCCAAATGTTATTGAGTGAAATATTTATATATGTAGCTATATACTCTATGGTGAAATATAAAATTCATTATCTGTGCTAGTGGTGTTCCAATTCTTTGTTCCCAGTTTATAACTATACTCTTTGCTTTGGATTTTTAGAATATTGCACTAGGATTTTTATCACTTTAATTTGTGAAAAAATTGATAGCGTTGTTTGTCAAGCATCCGCAATCGACAAATGATTTGTATCGAATAATGTTAAATTTGAAGACGTGTCTTTGAGCATTTAGTAAAGGATTTTTATAATTAGTTTTGGTGGTGATAGTTGTTGGTGGTCTGTAAGAGATATGTTGAAAAACAACTGACGTCACGTATAATCCATCAGCTGAAGGAGTAAAGTATTTGAAATAATAAAAGAAATCGGAAATAAACCAATATGGGCGGTGCAGTGAGTTCGGGTCGAGATAATAACGAGTTGATAGACAATTTAATGAGTGGGAATTATATCCGTTCACAGCGGGTAGAAAAAGTATTTCGTGCATTGGATCGGGCAGATTATATGACACCTGAAGCTCGAGATCAGGCGTATAAGGACTTAGCCTGGCGGAATGGACCTCTTCACATGTCTTCACCCTGTATTTATAGGTGAGAAAGAATTAAAGTAAAAATAAAATATCAATAAATTTATTTTAAAATACACACTTTATCAATCTTTATCTTGATTTCTTGATTGATTCTTGACCCTTTTGTAAACACACCAAAACATTGTTGTTATGATCTCAATTATTTTATGTTTTTATATATATTGTTTCTTTATGTTGGCAATCACAGTTGAAATGTTTAATGTGTTATTTTATATTTATTGCTTGACCTCTTTGAAACCTAGTTAAGATTAAGCAGTACCTATATTATTTGTTTTAATATAATTTAGAATCAAGAATATTGTTAAATTATAACTAAACATGTAACTAGAGTGCTATTAAGGCATTTATAAATAATGATATCATTAGCTACAATTCTAAAATAATTACATTAAATGTGGATGGTGTGAAACATTTTGCACTAGTGCACTTAAGGTAAATGTTTTTCTTTGAAATTCGTACTATATTTAGATTCAAGAGTAGACAGCCAATTATCACTTTCCTGATTTTTTTCAAAGCCAGGGGGGATCATCCAGGGGACCCCACACTTAGACTTGGAATATTATGATTCTATATCTAAGTGCATTCCATTACCCAATAGTGAGGTGATGGAGGGGTTAGAGCTGAGCCCAGGCCTGTCGTTCCTGAACATTGGCTCAGGGACCGGCTACCTTAGTACCTTGGCGGGGCTGATCCTCGGCACTTCAGGCATCAGTCATGGAGTAGAGGTGCATCCAGCAGTAGTTGAATATGCTGTCACGAAGATAGGACAGTTTATAGAAAATTCCCCTGTTCTGGATGACTTTGACTTCTGTGAACCAAAGTTTTATCATGGTAAGTGTTTACAATGCAGATGCGAATACATAAAAATAATTGACTAAACCATATTTTTTGTCTCTTTGAATAATTACATATTACTATTCTTACAAATTACATGTTCAACTTGTAAGTTTATATTTTATACAATCATTTTCTATAGTATAAATGTCAAAAAAGTATATCTGGGTAGCATTACACTATGGTTCAGGGATCAATTCCAATTTATAAATTATATTGCTGAAGAAACAGGTGTTTATTTATTCTGGTTTTGATAAAGAGTAGTCTTGTTGACAGATTGTTTTCATGTATGTAGAAAGTGAAAAAAACTGTGCAAGGCACTATATTTTTATTTTGTATTTAGCCCTTTTTAACATCCCATTGCTGGGCTTGGGCCTCCCTTGAGTACGAGGGGAATCAGGCCATAGTCCACCATGCTGGCCAAGTGGGTGTTGGTGGACTTCACATATCTTTTGAAAACTTGTTAGGTTCTCTCAGATATGTAGGTTTCCTCACGATGTTTTCCTTCACCGTTAAGACAAGAGGTAATCATGTTGGAAATTATTCGCACATGAAGATATCAGAGGTGCGAGACCCAGGATTTGAACTCGCTTTACTTGTTTTCCCACGCGAGCGTGTTACCACTGAGGTACCACTGTCTTTTTATTTATTATTAAAAAAGGAAAAATGTAGATAAGGAATAGATTATCTAAAAGGCATTATAGTTGTCTAATGCATTACAGTCTGGTGATTGTTTTATCTTTTACATATTTGGAAATATTTATAGGTAGGGTGATGTTTTTAAACATTTTCATTTATTATATATTAAAAATAGTCTTTTGTTACTAAGAAATAGTATTACATGCAAAGCAAAGGCTATAACACAATGGAAATAAATAATGCAACAAGCAAAAATCTTTATTTGCATAAATTAAACTTTTTTGTATGCACATTTTGTTAGAATAATAAGTGAACTATAAGTTAAAAATAAACCAACTTTATCGAGTTTACCATATCTGTTCCTATATTTTTTTATTTATATTACTGCCAAAAGCTGTGCTAGAGCACATATTTTTATTTGATAAAAATTAATAACATATCTTTTGGTTTTTTGACCTACTAGAGATTTGAAAACTTTACAGTAGTTAGTTATATTATGCACTACCATTGCCCGCGGCTCCGCCCGCGTTCAGATGACCAAAAACCAAATTCTTTTTTTTTACATATTAGTATACTCTTACATTGCAGTTTTTGTATTTTTCTCAGAAATGAGATATTTTCCCATGGTAAAAAGTATCCTATATGTTGACCCGGATAACCAGATATCACCATACCAAATTTCATCAAAATCCCACCAGTGGTTTTCCGGGATGCGGTAACACAGACAGATAGTCAAAAATTCTAAAAACTATAGATTCGACCTCATCGATAATACAGATTCGGCTTAGTTACAATTTTTATTTTATGTATAGATTAGTATACAGCCACTAATTATGACTCCTGCTTTAGAGACTACAAAAGTTATTTCATAGATTTAGTTACTGCTTTTAATTTTAACAAAATTAGCCCTTTTAATGTCCTAGTACCTGGGCCACCGAGCTTCGCTCGGATTTTTTGGTCAAAAGTACAATTTTTTTTAAAAAAAGTAAAAACTTAAATACAAAAAAAAAACAACAATAAAAAAAAAAAAAAAAAAAAAAACAACATAAAAAAAAATAACATTTGTATCCGACCGGGATTCGAACCTGGACGGACACCTATGACGAAAGAAAACCGCATGAAATTTATCGCCCCCCAAACCTCCTGTATACTAACTAAATTTCATGAAAATCTTTGGAGCCGATATATATATATATATATATATATATATATATATATATATATATATATATATATATATATGTACAAGAATTGCTCGTTTAAAGAATATAAGATAGCTGAGCATGTAAGTAAGTAAGAGATTGAGTAGACCATAGCCCACTATGCAGGTATATGCATTATGCAATATGCATGCAGTATATGACCAGTGTTGTAAGTGGTAAAGACTTCACACATTTTTTCAAAACTATTTAGGTTCTCTCAGGCATGCACACTCAGGTGCTCACAATGTTTTCCTTCACCATACATACATATATTATTAACAAAAACAAAACATCTTATGGGCTGAAATAAGTTTTCTATACTTAAATGAAATGAAAGTATGTATTGAATTATGTTTACAGGGAATGGATTGTGCCTAACTCCTTTGACTTCTGGCTATGACCGCGTGTACTGCGGCGCCGGCTGTCCCGCGGAATATCAGAACTATTTCAAGAGGCTTATAAAGGTATTTATTTTATTGTTTTTCTTTTATTTTATGGCTTTTAGTGTGGCTTGGATTGGTTTATTGGATATTTAGGCCCTTTTGGCTGTGGATTTACATCCAAACTTGGAAAATGAGTTATTTGGGATTTCCGGCAAATAAAATGTATTGTAGCATTAATTTTGTGGGTTTCTCTTGTGCTATCAGGCTTTAGAAGATAAATCATAGAGAGTGAGTGAGATTTAATATCTTTTGTGATTGCTAGCAGGCTTGCCTTGTGATGGCCAGTAGAATATAATATTAAAAATATTGTTATACTAGCTGATTCGTCAGATCTCGTTCTGACGAATATATATATTTACCTTATTTTATATTTTTTCTCTTTATTAAAACTTTCCGTGTACCACAAGGAACATACGAAAAAAAATATTGCTGAATTGATCGAGCCGTTCTCGAGTTTTGCGCTTAGTAACATTCATTTTTATTTACATAGATTATCCTTCATTTTAGTTTTGTTTGTATGTTTTGTCTATTCATCTAACTTACTTTTTATTCCTGTAATCTTTTACAAAAAATAATATTTCTGTTTCCACGTTTCCCATATATCCATTCCCATCTCCATATTTATCAACTTTTTTGTAATCCCCACCTCATGACATAACCATACCACGAGTTATTTTGTATAAAGAAATATTAATTACTGTACATGAAAAAACAAGGTTTTATGGAGATAAAAATTTAATAAGAGACAAAATTTACTCAGCGTTCAATGTTCTTTGTACTGTGACTTATAGGCGTGCCATTCTGACACACAAAAATTACACATACATTTTTAGACTCTACACATAATTTATTTTCAGGTCGGAGGTATACTAGTGATGCCGCTAAATGATACACTGTTGCAAATCCGTCGGGTGGAGGACAACAAATGGACGTCTCGTAGTTTGCTCAACGTGTCGTTTGCGACGCTGCGGCTGCCCTCGCGCGAGGAGGCCGCGGTACATGTCAAACTTGGTATGTATTGTTCTTGTGTATGTATGTACTTATGGTGTATATCAAGAATTTGACACCAATTCTTTTTAATCTGCTACTAGATTGTTAAAAGTTATAAAAACCATTACTCAGGTGGGCACTAGACTAAGCGTAAACGATTAAATAATTTTCTATTAAAAATCATGTTTTTCTTTACAAAAACAATAAGAACGTTACTCACAGACAGCATAGAGCTTGAAAATAGCAAATACAACCCAACTGATAATAGTAATACACATCCCAAAATTTAACATTAGAATAATTGTCACAGTGATATGTTCGTATTAAAATGATAACTTTGTTATTCATTACGTTACGCAGTTAATATGAAAAAAATATATTTACTTTTTTAAGATTAAAATTATCTTATCCACACTATCTTCTATAATGTTTAAATAGGCAAAGGCAAAACAATTCAGTATCTTTTTTTCCTCTGTTTGTTAACGGATTTTCTCTTGTTTTTTTCGTTTCGTAGCTATTGATGAGTTTTACTGTTGTCAATAAAAAAAATGGGGTATAGTTAGTTTTTTTTATATTGATAGGCAAAGACATGGGTACTGAACTGTTTTGTATTGTAATTGTAAGTTCATATAAAAATGTATATTCTTTCATTCATTTTTCATTAATTCAGTACAAAAAAAGTTCTGTAAAAATTTCCATTCATAGGGGCTATTCATTAATTACGTAAGGTCAATTTTGGCCATTTTTGACCCCCCCTATCCCCACGTAAGAGCACATAAGGTTTCTCGGACTCCCCCTCCCCCTTATGTAAGATTTTATCTGGTTTTAGAAAAAGATAAATTGCATTAAAACTCATAATTTGACGTAAATTTAAGATTTTTATTTTTCAAATTGTACATTAAAAAGATCTCATAGTTGTCTTACCCAACGCTTAGCTCTAAAATATCCGTCACTCTATGTTAGAAATCGCACATTTCGACTTACAAAATATTACGTAAGAATCTATTAAAATATATCACCCTCCCACCTACCCCACCACCTTCCGAGATAAGGGCTTATAGATATTTTGAAAACAAACCCCCCTCCCCCTTCAGGACCCTCCCCCTCCCCTCAGTATCCTTAATTAATGAATGGCCCTCATAATATGGTTTTCCCCAAATTTTCAATAATTATCATTGTCAAATTTCGACATTGTCGTAAATAAGTATTTAAAAGGGTTTAAAATTAATATTGACTGAAAGAAATTAAAGTACATATTTTATGCTTTTTAAAATTTTTAGACTGCCCGTCGGTATAATCGCGCGTCACTCAGAACAGCTAAATGTATTTGGGGAGGTTATAGTTTGAATTAAAGATATAGGTAAGTTTCATATCTGATGTGTGAGATTCAAATATACCTACATAGAGTATGAACTCCGCGTTCTGGGCTTCTCTTATATAAGTAAGTAGAATATTTTTAAATTGTCAACTCAATGGAGCATTGTTTAGCATAGACATGTGTGAAACCACTGGCTAATTGTATAGTAATATAGTATTAATTCTGTTCCCTTCATGCACAGATGATCAAACTCCAGTGCGTCTGCAACTGCTCTCTCGCGCGGTCATACGTTGTGCCATGCGCAAGGGGGTGATTCGCAGAAACCCAGAATTGCGCGAAGCCCCTAGGGCTGCGCCCCCCGCCGCCTGTCCCCGTCGTATATGTATCCCTATTGAGCCTGGCGGTGCTGTTGGTAAGTACTAGGCTATATATGCCAACTGTCTAAGTGGCTAGGGAGATCATGGGTTCGAATCCCAAGTCGGGCCAAGTATTACTAATTAAAGGTTAGTTGGCCGTCGTGGCTAATAGCTGGAGAGCTAGTGAACCCTGGGAGTAACGGTCTCCCTGTAAGGTTAGAAATTTGTCTATTTACGATTTATGGCATGCTAAGAGCAATAGCCATGACCTGGCAGGCGTCAGCCCTGCACGTCATCAGCCCCTTTATTTTTTGAACTGTTTAGTAAATTGAGTTTTAAAACTTGTTTCTGTAAATTTGAAAATTTAATAGGATAAAGTTTATTTATTGTACATCTTAAAAAAAAATTGACAGGCGATTACAATAAGCAGAAGTATATGACAGATCAATTAGAAAACCCACAGTTGATGAGGTAAAATAAACTTTATCCTGTATACTTAAATTTTTTATATGTTTTCAAGTAAACGTCTCAGAGTAAATATGTACAATGCCAGGCGGTTTTGAACAGCATAAGACCTTGACAGGCGAGGGGACAGCTGTTAAGGGCGTGCGAGTGAGAGGTGTTGCGTGAATGCCTATAGTGCGAGTGAGTCCGTCCTTTTCAAGAAGAGGTAAAAAAAACCATTCCAAATATTGCAGAAATCGAATGTATATCAGAAGTCATTCAAAGAATTAGGAAACGCAGAAATAGTACAGAAGAAAGAAAATTTTTTCCCGATACTAGAGAAATTTGTATGCCAAATGTATGGTTTGAAATGTTCAAAATTAAATAATGCACGTTATGAAAAGTTCCTTGCTACGTACAACACAAATAATCCTAAAGTGTTTATACAAAAAGTAGTAAGCTATGATTCATCAAATTTACCACCCTGTCAACGTGAACTACATCAACAATTTTAAATAAAACTATCTTTTCGGATTTTGTCGCGGATTTATTTGTATTTTTGTTTCCCGACGTTTCGAACGCTTTACAGCATCCATGGTCACGGGAGAGACTGAGGTGTTAGGTGTCTCTAAGGTATTATATAGTTGTTACAGACAGCCTACCCACAATTAACAAAATGAATTCAAAAAATTGAAAAATGGCACTAAAGTAACTTACAATACTTTAACTTTTAACTTTAAACATTTTTATATAATTTTAATTAGTTTTATAATTGAATATAGAATTGATCTACACAGTAAGAACTTACTACATCTACAAAACCAGTCGGAAGAATATTATTATTTTTGCTGAAAACATTGAATTTATATTATTTTATTTCTAACAACTTTTCAAATATTATTCATTTACAGAGGGTCTAAGCGTACTGCATGATTTGGATAGTGAGAATGGTGCGAATGAGATGAACGCCCTCCTCAGTTTGGTTATCAGCATGGGCCACAACCGAGTGGCCGACGCTTTGCGCTTCGACCGTGTAGATTCCCCTTCAGATTCATCAGATGAAGAAAACGACAATAATGATGAATCAGAACAACAAGAAGACCAGGAGCAACCAGATGATCCGGAACAACCAGAGCAACCGGAGCAATCGGAGCGATCAGAACAATCGGAGCAACCAGACCATACAGATAATAATAACCAACAAGAACCAAGGCCGAACCAAGATACAGACAATAACCAACCAAGGCCCAAGCAAGATACAAAGCGATCACAGGATACTAACTCGGATTCCGACGATCCTAGGCCTCCAAGGCCTCGCGTCAAACGGCCAGATTCAAGGTTTAAATCTTCTAAATCAGATAAACAAAGACGTCACAGGAGGCCTCGCAGTGATGACTCCGATGACCCCAAGCTACCCCGTGGATGTCGGGAACTGCTCTCCTACAAGGATATGGATGAGCCATCGACTTCCAGTAAGGGAACACAGACCAGCTCAGGGGAGTACACCGACTCATCCGATCAGAAGTCGAGTGAGGACAGAGCTAAGGGTAGTAAGGTTAGTAAGTTTATGAAGTGTTTTTTTTATTTTATATTGCTAAGAATTCGATTTTTAATTTTTTAGCTTGACTTCTTTTCTTCTATGTGAAAAAAATAACAGCATGGGCTGTTGTTTAAAATGTATTAACAAAAGCATTATAATCCCTCCACGACCGCGGACACGCCGGCGTGTCAGTTAACAATAGATTTCTTAGAAATTTACCTGGAGGTGTTAAGCTTTTAGCTTGACTTGGATGGGTATGTATGAAATATTTTATGTATGTGATAGGTGTAGGTTTCAAATTTTAAATGTTGCGAAGCAAAGAGGTATTGTTAAAACTGTTGATCGGCAACTGTTATTGTTAAGTAGTGAAATATGTTTACTAAAATATTACTCTTTAATTTATAGGGTTCAAATAAGTCGCGCTCGCTGCCAGGAATGCCATCGGAAGTGGAAATAGATTTGGGAACCAAAATAGATCAAGAGGCTTCCACCTCGCGAATGGAGGTGGATTGGGAGGGGAGTAAGTCCGATGATGATGATGACACAGAGATCACCAAGAGCAAGGCCAAGCGGCAGAAGTTGGATAGTGGTATAGGAGAAACAACACCAAGCAATTCTTCCCCGGAAAAGTGTAAGAGTGAGACGGAAAGTGATAACTTGGAGAGTGCTGAGGACTATGATGGTGAGATCATTTCTTTTTTTTTAAATATATTTTTGAGCTAAGTAGTGTGTGCCATTTTGTAGTAGGTTCTCTAACGGATGCACTGATTTCGATTGTGTTTTTTTATTTGAAAGCCAGTTTCTTTGCGGTTGTTCTTAGCTTGTTTCACAAAATGATTTTGGCGTATGATTACTCGATTAAGTGCCTCACGCGTGCCAGTGTAATCGTTAAATGACAATTAATTAATTTGCGTAGGCGGTTTTTTAAATTTTTAATTTATAATTATAATTTTAACGTGAAATGGTGAAGTGGTGGTAGATCTAAAACGGTTTTTGTATTTTTTTTATATTTATGTACGTTTATATTTTGCGAAAACATGAGCGTAGATGATACTAGGTATTCTTTCAATCTAATCATCACTAATACATGAGAATACATTTTTATTATAAGTTTGACATCTGCATAATATATTTGTCTATCAACTGCCTCGGTGGTGTATTGGCTAGAATGTACGGCTGTACATCCTGAGGTCCTGGGTTTGAGTCCTGGGTCGGACTAAGTTAAGGTATTGAGTCTTTCTGTTAAGAAGATCCTAATAGCAGCTAGGAGTTGCGAAGTTGGACGGTGTTTCACCCCGTGTCTCGGTGAGCACGTGAAGCCGTCGGTCCTGTGCCTGATCTCTCAGAGGTCGTGTCAAATTATCGTCTCATCGGAATACGAGGGTGAAAGGAATAGAAAGAGCAATCGTGCACTATAATTTTTCCCCATGAACGAATTAACCACTGGACCAGACATATAAGCGGACGTAGCTTTAACGGTCATGTCAGTAACCAGGGAATTTTAGCCTAAGTCGTTTGTTTTTTGTGTCAGTCTCAAGCACTTACTTGTCAACAAAACATCTCCCAAAAATGACTAAATGTTCTGTTAAATAAAGGTGTAAAAACTATAACGGCGGAAGCAGCACTATTTCTTTTCACTTGTAAATACATTATTTTATTACATTTATTGTTATTTATCACAAAATTTAATTAAATGTAAAATAAAATGTCATATTATCCAACTATGTTACATATAGTCGATATTTCTATGTATTGTTGACATGTGACAACCATCATAAACGGGCTGGATTATACCATTCAGAACAAATGACAAAACTGTCGAGTGAGTCCATTTGACATCGACTAGTGCTTGACAATGTCGAAAAATATATCGATATTTGACGAAATAACTGAACGAATTGTGTTATTTGTACAGTAGAATAACATAAAATACTTTTATCACAGTATCCTACAATCTGATGACAATAAATTTATAAAAATATTTTCTGAATCAAATAAAAATATAAATGCAAAAATTATAATCAGTATGTGTACTTAATTTTTTATTTTATTTTATACCACATTTATATACTTTGGAATATTATTCCATTGTAATAATAATAAAGATCATTTTATTTCAACACATAAATTACACAAAATCAAACAATAATGTTTTAGCACTAAACTTCTGGGTTGGCGATTTGTAATAAAACACTTTACCACTTGCACTAATTATTTTACTTTCACGATCCAACACTCACTTTTTCACAATTTGCAATCACTTTTTCTTTTTCCTAATTTCACAAATGTTTATTAATAACTGAGCAATATTAGGACAGTGTCACATTTTTATAACTACCCGAGACAATCAATTGCCAATTAAAATAGTTCAATAATAGAATCAACAAGAATTAAATTAGCTTAATATTTTTTTAATCTTTACAAAATAATATTTATTATACATTAATGGAATATACACCCGATATTCATTTGTTTATTAACATTATTATAGGCCAACAGAATGTTGCCATCAATGTCATCGTATTTATATAAATCAAATTAAATTATTATTATTTGACACATTGTTATTGCCTCTTTAATTAATTTATTTTATTTTATTATTATAAATACAGATATTTTAAATTAAAAGATGTAAAATATGATGACTATGCTAACCAATGTCTAAACTATCATTCATTGGTTCATCGATATATGTAATTTATCGATTACGTTCAAACACTAGAAATAATGTATTGTGTATCAGTGTATATAATAATGTAATAAAATCTTTGTGTGCGTTATGCGTCACTTGGTTGAACTAGTTTTCATACATTTGTATTTTATGTCAGGTCCAGTCTCTAATTCGTCCATGTCTTTCCCTTATAATTGGCTAGTCTCAGTGAGATTGGCCGCCGAGTCGTCATCATATTCCTCTGTAGTGACGTGCATGGTGTGTACTGTGTACAGAGGCGGCGACGTCGGAGGCGGAGGAGGAGGTGGAGGCGTGCGTGCGCGCGCACCTGGCGCGGCGGCGGCGGCGCGTGGCGCGCGGCGGCGACGCGCGGCGCGTGCGCCTCTCGCTGCTCATGAAGCAGGCCGTGCGCGAGCTGCCTCTGCCGCACGCGCTCAAGAAGTTTGTACACACTATACACACACCATACCTAGTACACTATACACTTAAATAAAACTATTTTTTTTTAATTTTCGCGGTAAATCAGCAATCATGGTCACGGGAGACTGATGTAATTCGAAACATGGGAAAAGATAGTTTTATTTAAAATGTCAAATATTCGCGTAAATCTAATAAAAGAGTATTTTTAACTTTGTTAATAGTACTAGTCTTTACTAGACTACACACTTTACTAATAGTATCCAGAAACGCGGAAGAGGTGCTCTCTGATCGTTATATTATATTTTTTATATAGAACCTCCTTTTTGGAAATCCGTTAAGAACACCTAAGCTATGAATTACCTATCTGTTGCCAAAACACTAATAGAAAATTCTAAATAAATACCTAAATTATCCAAAACTAGCTAGAAAAACGAAAACAAATCTATCCCACTGGCACTGTACATTTTTCCGGGATAAAAAGTAGCCAATGTGTTATTTAGATGTATGAGCCATATTATTGTAAAGTTTCATTAAAATCAGTTCAGTAGTTTAAAAGTAACAAACATCCATACATCTATACACCCTTACATCCTCAAAAACTTTCGCATTTATAATATGAGTATGGATATATTAGTAGGATATATCTCTATTTTAATGTTTATTCGTTTTTTATTTTGCAGGTTTGTCAACTTAGGTCGCTGTTTCGAATTCTAAACGAGAAACAAGCGTCACTTATCATACAAGTTAGCCAACGTTGGTGTCATAATATTATAGGAAATTAATCAATGTGTTACGAGGAGGAGTTAAAGATGGCTTTTGATATTAGAGATTGAAATGGAATATTACTAGAAAGGACTGATTTATAGTGAGTCATTTATATTATTGCGTAAGTTGCTTGTTCTGTTATTTGTAAATGTCAAGTACTGCAACGGACAGATTTTTTTAAATTTTGTTTTATTTTATATGCTAATGCTAATGAATTTATGTTATTATTTCTGACAATATAATAATAATGTCACGGCCAATCTCATTGAGACCAGCCAACTGCGCAGGCGATATTATAGTGCGGACACTACGTGCACTCTATGCCTGTCAGTTTTCATTCTCAATGTCCAATGGGACATTTTCGACACTCGCAGTGGAAGTTGAGGCGCAGGAGCGACGAGACACCTAATAGTGGGGCTATTACTGAGAATATCTTAACAGAAAAAACTTAGTAATTAAACTTGACCCGACCCGAGACTCGAACCGATGACCTCCGGATCTGCAGCTGTACATTCTAGCCACTAGACCACCGAGGCAGTTCTGCCAATATGTTTATATGTAAAAAGATATTCATACTTCTTATTTAAATACATAAAATATTTGTACTTTTTGAGGAGCAACACAAAATGCTCTCTATCTCTTTCTAGTACATAAAATCTTAGAACACACAAATATACTTTTCTTATTAATTTTTATATTAATGATGACTTGCCCCGTGGTCTATAGTGGCTAGCATATACAGCTGCAGATACTGAGGTCCAGGGTTCGTTTCTCGGGTTGAGACAAGTTCCTTGAGTGGGAAACCGGAAACCGAAAAAATAGTCTGCGATTAGAGTATAAAAATAGAGTTTTCTATTACTCCATATATGGTTAGTCTAAGTGAGATTGGCTGCCATGATTAAAATGTTCAATTCAGTAGAATATTGTTGCATTATAAATTTTCTCTGTCAACCATTTTATTATATGTTAATATTTATTATTGTATATATATTTTATTTATTTTTTTATTATTAATTTAACTTAGTCACATTTACGGATAACAGAATAATGTGTAGGTATATCTTATATGGCATCAAATATTTCCTGTAAGCGAACAATGTTTAATTTTATAAAAATCTTTCATTGAGATATGAGATGAATTGTTTCTTAGGCTAATAAGGGTTGTAGCACACCAATCTATTATACTTTATAGTAATATTGCTAAGTAGTTTATATTTAATAGTTTTGTTCTATTGATCTTCTAAAAGATAATGGAAAAATTATATCTATAGTTAATTTAAAAAAAAGACAAATTTAAGGTTCTTAACGTTTGGAAGATTTTAGTCTCAATGAGTCAGATTTCTTGTTATTTAGTATAAAGATCTAGATTTTAATGTTTTTTTTATAGATTAGTGTGATATGACCCACTCTAGTTACTTCTACTCTGTATGTCACGCTCGAGCACTGGCTGAAATGTTTTCGGTGCAATATTTTATTTTTCCTAATTAATTTTCTCGAATTAGTTGTCTGTATATGGATTATGAATTATTAAATATTATTTCCATTTTAGATGGCGAGTACTCGGTGTGACACCAGTTTTACTGTTTCACTGTTGTTTTAATGTGTTCTAATTAAAAAATAAAACAAAATATCCATGAAAATGAATTAATTGATCTGTTTTTATCGTTTTCATGATTTGGTACGGACTTGTATGTTACCGATTAAAGTTTTTAGTCCAGTGTTAGTTTGAACAAAGATATGGGATGAAATCGAATGAATATTTGCTTCGAAGGTTACAGACAATTATATGCTACCAAAGTAAGAATAATCACTTGTATAGTCTTGGTGTTTATTACAAAATATAAAGTTTTTCAATAAATTTGCTTTAAACTTAGGACATTTTGATAGATTTAGGTCAATTTTAGGAAAGGAAGGCTAAAGGCTTAAGTATTTTGAAACATTCAATCTTTGTCATACACACGGAGGAGAAATAAATATTATTACATATTAAAGCAATGGTGTATTTAAACTCTTATTGTAGTAGATTAGATTTGGCAAAGTTAATATTTATAATGTGTAAATAGTATTGTTTTTGTTGCGAGTTGCGTATATATATATTGTATATGATTTTATTATTATTAATTTTAATTTAGTTATACCATTGTATGTGATCACGTTTGAAACTGGCAGTGAGGGAATATTGGTTCGCTACTTGTATAGTAATCTACAGTCATTAATGTTTAGATTCTTCGATTTGCGTACTTGCTACCGACTATCGATCTCGTGGCTGTTATCATAAACTGACAGTTTAACACGAGGCAGTTATAATAAGTAATTTACTAATAAAATTATAATCAATTGTCTGTAGTTACTTTCAATGGTTTCCTAGTTATGGTTTAGGGTATAACTAAATAAGGGTGGGATTTCCAAATGTTTGGCATTTTATTTACTTTTAATGATTGGAGGGTGTTTCGAAAGCTATTGAATGAATTCAGGACATATTCCTATTTTTTCTGTAAAATACAGTTAGAATCTCAACTTTTTTTCAGATACAACGTAAGTTTCCCAAATAAGTTCGTGTCCCTAATAAGGGTCATCTTTTTAAACTTTTTGCGCCAAACAACAATAATAATAATAAACTTCGTTAAACGTAAGTTTTGCACAATGCTTTCGTTTCAGATTAGTACACCCTCAATACGTTTTATAAATGGAAACGCTTGCCAAAATCCATTTATAAGTATTTGTAGAAACATACTTACTTATTAGCCTTATGATTCTAATTAAAACAGTCACAATTTTGCAAGCATTTGGAAAAGCAATTTGGAATGATTATAAAGAATAATTGTTTAATAAACGCTGATGTTGTCCAAAATATGTTTATTTCATAAATACATTTACAGGTGAGTATTTAACGGTGGGTGCACATTTACATACACTTTCTTCAACATTGGTATATTATGTAAAAAATATAAAGCCTCAATTTACATATCTTTTTCGCCATATGCTTTGATTTTAGATATATAACTATTTAAACTGCAATAGATTCAAAGTATATTTAATATTAGTTTTAATCACAATCTTTCTTATCTAAAATGTACATATATCTTCTTTAAATTCGCAGGAATCGAACTCGCACTTATTTTAGATATAATACACAATAGTAGTCCATTTTTGGTCCATTTGGTTCCGTTAACACCATTTCCCGGACTGCACTTTCCCATTGACACGTATGTGCATCGTCTCCGGGTACAAGTCGTCGGCGGCGGGTGTCTCGCACGCCGACAAACCGTTCATAACCTGGGACATTTTAAGTTATTTTATCAAAACTTTAAATAAAAAACTTTTTAACAAAAAAATAAAAACCGACTTCAAACAAAAGCACTAAAAAGTAAAAAATAACTGATTGGTAGTTTTCATTTACTATACATACCTAATCAAATATTTTCGAAGTCGGTGGGCTTTAGCTAAGTAATTAAAGCCTACCTATTAAATACATACCTAATCAAATATTTTGGAAATCGGTGCCAGCCCATACAAAGCAAAGCACACCGACTTCGAAAATATTTGATTAGGTATGTATCGTAAATGAAAACTACCAATCAGTTATTTTTTACTTTTTAGTGCTTTTGTTTGAAGTCGGTTTTTATTTTTTTGTTAAAAAGTTTTTATTTATCCCTTTTTAGTGTAGACAGTAGTAGCAAAGTAAGAATTCTTAAGTGTTAGGCTTGTCAAACCAAACAAAATAAGCCCAAACTCAAAGTATCTATCTACTATTAGTCGTTGAAGAGTTCCACCTATCCACCTTCTGGCCTTACCATCAGATCAGGTTAACAATAGCGAACTACTGTACTATCAACGGAAATAGAAACACTTGCAAAGTTTCAAGTCAATATGACAATTAGAAGTAGGTTAAATTCATTATTAGCTATTTTTCCACCCTTAGGGGTGGTATTTTTTTTTTAATTTAAATGGGACCAATCTGGAAGTATACCCTTTCAAACAAAACAAAAATTGTCCAAATCGGTTAATAAATGACGAAGTTCTGAGGTAACAAACATAAAAAAAAATACAGTCGAATTGAGAACCTCCTCCTTTTTGAAGTCGGTTGAAAATACTTATCAATTGCACATTTGCGTTTATATTTTTGACATAAAAGAGAAACAAAAAAAAAATGTGCTATGTAAAAGCGTTCTCTCCTTAAAAATAATTTAACAATGGCTTAAAAAAACATTACCATTATTGTTGCCACAAACTTAACTTTACAAAATAAGTAAATAAATGGCTAAGTCGACTACTTTGTGAATATTTTAGGATCGCGTTTCATATATGGTTATTTTAAATGTTATTATCGACGTATCGTATCGATCTTAAATGTGAGAAAAATTACCTTTCTGCTGGGTCGAGGCGTGGCGCGCCCGGCGTCCCGAATCCTCTCCCTCGCCCATTTATCAGCTGCGTGTGTTCTTTTCACTGGTCTTTTGGACATATTAGCATCGTTCTGTGATGGAGGTCTACTTGTTGTTTCTGATTCACTGCCGTTCATTAATGAATGTGCGCTTCTTGCTTTATGCAGAGACAGTCTGAGAGGTTTCCGTGGAGGAGTCGGCCGAGATTTTACATCGTCTTCGTGTTTTATGTAGTGGCTGAGCCGGGAACAGCTTTCGGAACCGTAATCCAATCGTGGCGAGCTGCTGTAGATGTCTCCGTTGGGGAAGTCCGAGCATTCTGACTCGAATTCTGAAGATTTAGCGCTTCGAGAGTGTTTGGATGATCGTCGACTAGATTTGTGCGCGTTTTCTAACACTTTGCCGTCTATCCGATTGTAGATGTAGTGCTTTTCTGATTCCACTTGTATATTTTCTGCGCTTTCATTTTTCTTCATTTTACGAAGGCGTTGTGAACGTTTCAGTTGTTCTATTATTGATAATGTCTTTCTTTCGGCCCAGTTTGTCTTTTTTATGCTTTCCTCTATTCGTTCAGCGGCTTTTTTGATTTCACATCGTCGCTCGCAAACGTTTGATTTTGATTCCTTTGTGTCCAAGTCGCTATCTGATATAAAATTGTCTTCCTTTGATCTGCTATACCTGTCTTTTAATCGTTGTTTTTCCATGTGTCTTTGGTTACGTTCTATCATTCTGATGGCGGCGTCAGTTTCTGTGTGGTAGTCGTGTATGCAGTGGTGGGAGAGGGAGTGACGTATCCGACCGGCTCGATGTTCCAGACTATGAGAGCTATGGGATCTTCGATTTGGTGTTGGAGATGTTCTCGGGGAGGTAGCGACTCTAGATGAAGCTCCTGAGGCATTCGATCTTGGCCTTACTATTGGCAAGTTGGTTTCTCCTCCATCAAGTCCAGGTAATTTGGCTACGATGGCGGTGATGTCTGGTCCCTTCTGGAAGACTTGCACTTCAGACTTGGGGCTAGGTTTTACTGGTTCTGTGGTGATATTGATATTGGTTACGTTCTTCTTTGTTTTATTGACCGTTATGCAGCTGTCGTTGCTGCTGACGGGGTGGAGCTGGGAAAAAGATTTTAAATGTTAGTATACTGGGTCGAGATCGGATGATCACAGACCTTACCATAATCTTAAACAAAACATTCTTACATTAAGACTATTTACAGTAATCCTATATTCGTACCATGACTTTTGAATACTTATTTGTAAAAGTTTAAACATAATTACTTTGCTTAAAATGATTTTAGATTCATTTTTATATGCAAACAGGTTGATAAATCAAAAACATTGAAGGGCCTTCTATAATGAGTTGAGTGCATTCACAAAAACAGTTGTGATATAAAAATGCAATCAAAAAGCAGGCAAGAAATAGTATCATTTAAACAAAGTTTGTTGGTAAGTATGTGGAAAATGATCTCTTATATCCATAATCACCTACAATTATGTTCTAACCAGTCCAGTGATTTCCAAACTTTCTAATTCCATAATTATTAAACCGATTGATTTTAATTGCAATGATTTATATAATTGCGCACAACGTACGTGAATACTATAATTGTAAATTTAACATGTGATTGCTGGATATACTTAGTTATAATAGAAACAATTAACTGAAGAGAGTAGACACAGATAGACACATATAATAGTAATTATAATTTTGCAAAAGTAAATAAACACTTTTGACTTGATTTCAATATGTATGTACCTATTTGAATACGAGACACGTCAAAACGGATCAAATGGGCCAACTCGATAATGTTATTAGTAGTCATTAAAGAGTTCTAGTATCCACTTTTCGGGTGCTTGATCCATTTAGCAAGTTTTAAATCAGTAAAACGATTACAAGTAATCTAAAAAGACTTCCCAGATTATATTGTCATGTAATTTTAATTTATTATCTCATTCCAAGCAAATAACGTCGGCCACACATCAAAATTACCTGAGAGTGTACTGATAGTAGTTCGGCGACCTGTTCCTCGAGGTAGGAGATGCGGTGCGTGAGGCGAGTGTTGTCAGATCGAAGACCTTCTTTTGCCTTCTCGGCGTCTTCTGCGGCTGTTCGTAGCGCGCCCAATTCCGCTCTCAGGGAGGCTGCTTCGTTCTAGAATGTAAACCATTTAAAAATAGAAATCAAAATTAAATAGTGAACTGCTTTTAATAACGCTTTTGATTACAAAGATGAGAATATTATACACGACAGTGTGACTTAAGAACTGGTGTTGGGTGAAAATATTATTTGGAATTAACCATCTCAAGTCATTTCAGCCATCCAAATATGGAAATACGTCATAATTTTACACAAACCCACGGGAATCCTATATTACAAATATATGTTAATCTTGTAACTTTGTAGTTTCTGATATACCTACTTGTGTAAAGGCTAGTGTAGGCGGCGAAGAGTTTTGTCCTCGCAATAAAACTAAACGATTTGGTGATATAGACGCGGCTCGCCGGAGCTCGTCTTGTGTGCAACTTAACGTCGACGTGCCGTTCACTTCTAAGATTCTGGGGACAAAATAATAAGCTTTTAAATCGCCAAAATCTCAATAATTATAAAAGGGACATGGTAAGGTGCCACATGGTAATCTATACTAATATTATAAAGAGGTAAAGTTTGTGAGGTTGTGACGTTGTAGGGGGTAATCTCTGGATCTACTGAACCGATTTAGATGAAATTTGGTAAGAAGATAGTTTGAGACCCTGGGCAGGATACTCTTTATCCCGGAAATTATCCCTAAGAGGGTGATTATGGGGATGAAAGTTTGTATTGGGAAGCAAGCTAGGGAGGAACCCGAGCGAAGCGAGGGTGAGCCGCTAGTACATTAATATTTTCAAATTTACTAAAACATGTCCGAGAGTCCGGGGAGACAATAAATTTTAATTTTAAAACTATTAATTATTTTGAATGTTATAAAAATGTGTTTTTTTTACATATAGGTACTTAGCAATAAGGGATGGATAGGATTTTTTAAGACAAATTACTTCATATTCGATTCATTCAAGATAATGGCAGTTACTTTAAATACGTGCTTACCAACTCGTGTACTGGGAAATAATCCCCGATTCCCGGCACTAGCACTTTTTTCACTGTATTTTTAATTATTTTAATTCCTGTCTATAAACTCATACTATTTTTTTTTAAACTTCAGCTTATAAATTATAAAAACAAGCAAATGCAAAGTTTATTTAAAACATTAACAATTTTACTAACAAGAAGTAAGAACGATCGTCAAATCGATCGCTTGAAAATAAAAAGTAGGAAATCGAATTAATTTTTATTGCATACAATTAAATACTATGGCGAACATCGACTGAACTATTTATTTATAATTTTATATCCCAATGGCGACCCGTCCTCGCTATGCTCAGCAATTCTAAATTATAGGATCATGCAAGCACTATTATAACATAAACTTACTTTGTAAAAGAAAATTGTAAAGTAGGAATGTGAATGAGTAATGAAATTAATGCCTAGGAATTAAAATTGCAGACAGGCATCAATTACCAATCAATTAAATCGAGATCGAATAACAGACTCAGAAAACTTTAAAAAAAGCTTATAAGTTATATGGCGCGCTGAGTTTTTTAACACTTTGAACACAATAAAATCTATCCACATTCTAGTTGCATATAAGTAAATAACTGATCAATTTCTCCCGGGGTTTCGCTTCGAGGTTCATGTTATTTGGTACCGGAACCGTAGGTAGTATTTTTTGTAACTAAGTCGAATCTGTACATTAAATATTTTTTGGAAAATATTATTGAAATATACATTATTATCGATAGAGAGGCCGAATCTATAGTTTTTAGAATTTTTGTCTGTCTGTCTGTTACCTCGTCACGGAAAAACCACTGGAGGGATTTTGATGAAATTTAGTATGATGGTAGCTGGTTATCCGGGTCAACATATAGGATACTTTTTATCGCGGGAAAATGTCTCATTTCTGAGAAAAAATACAAAAACTGCAATGTCCTAATATGTAAAACCTAAGAATTTGGTTTTTGGTCATCGGAACGCGGGCGGAGCCGCAGGCAACGCTAGTATTATATATAATATAAATATGTTTATATAAATATATAAACATATTTATTTTGTACCTTTAAATGTATTTAATAAAATTATTAAATAAAATAACTATGTACGTAAAACCAACCTGTCTCCAGACTTGACGGCTGGGTTCTCGCTCCATTCCACCACTGCGCCCGCGCCGCGTATCACCGCGTTCCACGCGCCCTCGCGCACGTCCGCGGACACCACGAGCGCACTGCCACCACACTCTCTCAACGCACTAGGCGGAAAAAAACAAATATATTATTTAAATATACCTTTTTGTGAATAGACACGTAATGAACACTTTAAAGGTTATCAGTAGAAAGTGAAACCAATAATTGTTTTAGTCGCTCACCCATCATTGCTGAAATTCATACTCACTAAAATTCTCACCACAACCCTCACGCCACAATGCAATATATAGATGCAGGATCGCTTGTTTACACGATACAACACCCATCTATACTAATATTATAAAGAGGAAAGATTTTTTTGTTTGTTTGTTATTACCGAATTAGCTCCGAAACTACTGGACCAATTTTAGATAAAATTTGGTAAGAAGATAGTTTGAGATCTTGGGAAGGACATAGGATAGCTTTTATCCCGGAAATCATTCCTTAAGGGGGTGAAAATGGAGATGAAAGTTTGTATGGGAAGTCAACCTAGTGTATTATATAAATCGTTAATTATATAATTTGAGCCCCTTGATCTCATTTTAGTACTGTTGGTAATCCATCTATAATCATCTAAGGAAGATAATTGATCCTCAGCGAGAAAATGCGAAGTAAATTACGCTCTCAAATGGCTCGCTTAAATATAATTACAAACAGCATTGAATAAAATTTTAAATTGGCCATACAAATGTTTATTTTGGCCTGGTAACTGGCTCATTAGTGGTAAGCATGTATCCCCCCCAACGTGCGTTCACCTTGTCGTGGTGGGGGGGCTCAGTAGTGCCCGGCAACCCAACCGGGCGCGAAGCCAAGAAACGCACAGGGAGGTGGCCCACTTCGGTGGGCGGTGGGAGGTGGCCCTCTTCGGAGGGCGGTGTACACCATGCGGGTTGCTCCTGGTACTTCTCTGATAGCAGAGTGGACCTTGGAGCAACCCCGTGGTTGTTGTGGTCTGCTTCGGCAGACCTGCCGTCGGGGCGTCGTAGTTGAATGCGTAAGCGATCCTGCGACGCCCCATTAAGATGGGGGAAGGCTTAGTTGGGTTTTAGTGGGTAGTACTGGCTTTGCCGGTGAGTCCCACACCTCGTGCGTAAATGCATTTCCCAACGTTAAAAAAAAAAAGTGGTAAGCATGTATATCGTTGCAAAATGGTCCTGGAAATGATTTACAGGTCTTGCCAAGTATAGTTACTAGGTATATATAAAAAATGAATTCCTGGGTCAGAATAAAGTTGGCAATGTCTCAAAGAGTACGTAAATTCGTCGGTCCTACGTCTCTCACCGGACGTTAAATTGTTGTCCCACCGGAATTTGAAAGTGGCAGGAATAGAGAGTGCACGTTGTATGCTATAATGTCTTTTGTGGACATGGTTAGTCTTAGTGAGTTTCGCCACCTCAGTCGAAATCAGTCAGGAGGTCACTCACTAATATTTTTTTAATTTTTTAATTTGACGGGAAAATAAACAAAATGAGAGCATAAGTTTTTTATTGAAATATAAATATTATATAAAATATGATAGGTAAACTATTACATGCCCTTTCATTAATGTATCGTAAATTTTATGGGTTAATAAAACTTATGACCCGCTTACAGAGTCTCAGGCTTATTTTTAATAGCCTCAGGGCATTCAGGTGCAGTGACCGACAGCTAGGAACTTAGGGACTAGATTTGATGCTAGATTTTAAGTTTATCGTTAAGGATAATGGCATGAGACGAAGGTGTTCCATAATAACATATAATAAAATATGAAACAGCTTTCACATTTTACTACTTACTTATAAAAACATTATTTGCCAGACATTTATGACTTAAGGGTCATTTAGTAATTTCTAGAATTTTTAATAAGTATAGTTAAGTTATCTACTAGTTTTGTAGACATCATAATTTAAAAGTTATGTAAATGCTTAAACTGCTTACTTAATTTCTGAGATAATAGAGATATTATTGGGTACGTGGAACGACTGAACATAAAAATAAGTATTGTTTATTTATATATAACCAATCGCTATTTCTGCTTTAATACAAACCAAGGCTATTACAAAAATATATACTCTTCAATAAAGTTAGATACGACAAAAGTTAAAAAAAAATCCTCTAAATCTCAAAAGTACCTATACAGCCTACAGGTATGTACGTCATGTTTCATTTCACAAAATTATCAGATAAGCACCTGAATAAAAAGATATAATAGTTGCTACGTATAAATATCTATTCTTCCTTTCGTAACAAATACGTGCAACAAGCCCTAGGTGCAGTGACCGTGATCAGGGTTCCGGCCTGCGGGCCGTGGAGGTGTCGGGCAGTTATGATGTGTAGTTAGATAGCGTCACGGGCGAGGGCACGCTCGGGGCACGGTTCGCTGACCGTTTCGTGTACACTGTACAATGTACATGCTATGTGGAGATCCAGGAATTCATATATATATATACTTATTTGAGAAATCAAAATTTAGATTAGATATTAGTCATTAGCAAAGAAATATTTGAGTGAGAGTTTTGAGTGCTTAATTTAGGGTGAACAAAAATTCTTCAACTTTTCAATTAGGCAGGCAGAGAGTTTGGAGGTTTATTATAAATATATTGTTACTTTGTATTTATTTTTAAACAATATGTACGCCAAGTGCATGTATTAAATTTGTATCATATACGTTGGTACTAGGTACCTACCCATACAATTTTCAGAAATCATAAATCTGTACTAAAATGTTAAAGAGAAAAGATTTTTTTTTGTACCAAATAGGCTCAGCAACTACTGAACCGATTTAGATGAAATTTGGTTAGAAGATAGGTTGAGACCCTAGGAAGGACATAGTTTTTATTTGAGAAATAATCCCTAAGGAGGGGAAAATGGGGATGAAAGTTTGTATTGGGAAGCAACCCAGAGACGAACCCAAGCAAAGCGAGGTGTCACTAGTAAAACATATTTTTTACCGTCGTCTTTATAATAGTAATCACTTACAATTTTGAATAAAGCATTCAGTAATAAGTATAATAATTAATTATTTTTACAATCTCTACATAAATTTTGATAATTTTACCGATGGTTATTAGTTTTGTGTCGAAACCATTTGCGTAGGACACACGTTGCGCCCACATATATTACGCATAATGTATCGATGTAAACATACGAAAATCATGTCCTCCCTAGCACTTAGGTCTTGTATTAAACACCTACGACCTCTTCTCAGGGCCTGAGTTCACCTTGTACTATTCCTATATAATCTGTATACCTGCATATGAACACGTTGATTGTTCATACATATATTAACTAATACTCTTGTGGTTGTTACTTTTTGACTGATAATTACAATGATATTTTCTAAGAATTATTCACAGTGGTTATTGTTAAGTTAATAAGCATTCACTGAAAAAAAAATCAATTTAAAAGACAAAAATTATCATTTTTTTTTATTTTATTTTATTCATCAATTTCATGAGCAATTCTACGCGTATAACTCTAACGGGTAATGTACGAGTATAGTAGTACTAAATTTTATGTTTTAAGATTATTTTGATAAATTAATGTCACGCAACTTATTTCATCACCGCGAATCTAATGTCACAAATACTTGTCAGGCGTGCCATATTCTCTATTTTGTATGTTTGTTAGACTTTTTCATTTCACTAAATAGATTATAAAATAAATTTCGTTGCTACTTACATATAATTAATATAGTCAATTATCCGTCAAGTCGTATATAAAAGTAGTATTGTAAAGTAAATACAGTTTAACGATTAAAAACACAATATGTGCCCGTAAAAGTAATCAAAACAAAGTTATCCGCTATACCATTTTTCACATAATTTCACACAATAAATTCTTAAATATACAACACTGTGTTGCTAGCAAGAAAGCATATTTCTTAAGCCATAAAAATATAGACATACTAACTGTATACAATTTCAGTCACATTAGCGGTTATTTACAAACTCGACGTTTGTTAGAGCACGTTAAACGCACTGTTTGAACAAAACGCGGAGTTTTCCCACGATCACCACACGCCCTGCGCCGGCGCAGAACGTGAAGGCATCGGAGCGAACGAAAAGTAAGAAAATTACACATAACAGGTTCAGTAGTTTCGTGTTAAGTTCAAATTGAAATATCTGATATTGCCTAAGGAAATAATTTTATCAGTTCGGGATTTGCGGTTGAAGTTGATGAGTTCGTAGTAAAGGTACTATAATCACACTACTAATTGGTTATGATTGGACTTCGACAGCGCGTAGGTATTTTAGAAAGTAACAAAATTAGTAATTACATGTTTTTGACAGCTGTCATTCTCAAACAGATGAAGACAACAGATGACTTGTTACTTTTGTTTTTTTTTAATTTGCATATCGCAAAGAGGCATATTAAGCCATGATGAATATTATTAAAACTTGCTTTATTTTAAAATTACCTTCCCTTCAGACTGTCAGACACAGGCAAAAATATTTTGTTCACAATAATTAAAGTTCAAATGTTCTACTGAAGAAAGCCGTTGAAAACAAACATTCTATCATTGTTATTTACTGAATAGTAAGTAGATTCCTTAGAGTTAGGTGTCATGTTATCTTTCAAGCGAGGGACTCTACAAGTTAGGGAACGGACGTGTGAATATACTATTCAATTCAAAACCGGCTCTATCAAACCTAATGAGCCTTTTTACTGTCTACGTTTCTATCCACATGCACAGGGTATGCAATTATGTAAAATTGTATCTATACGAGCTGTTGAGGATACTGGAAGCTACATATTATATATCTATAATAAATATTATTAATTAAAAACATTCACCTTCAAAATCATATTTAACTTAATTGTGTATAAATTTAGCCCATTTTAATGTTCCACTGTTGTGCACGGGTCTCCCACAATGCGAGAGTGATCAGGTCATAGTCTACCACGCAGGGAAAGTGCTGGTTGGCGGACGTCACATGTCTTTGGACAACTAGTTAGATTCTTTCAGACATGCACGTTTGGTTATTTACAACATTAAACAAATAAAAACATATATACCAATGAAAATTCATTCCGAGATTGCAGTTACAGAAGTGTACACGTGTACCACGCAGGGAAAGTGCAG